TCATATACTGTTGCCCGCCGATTTGAAATCTGCCATGAGATAGACGTGAGCAATCTTGACGTCGTTCCATCACGGTCAAGTAGCGTACAGGTTTCGCATCACATACGATGTACTGGTACCGTACTTCCTTTGGTCTTGGAATTTGCTATGAACTTGTTTACCTGTTAGATATTCTAAGATGCGCAACATCGATCAGCCATTCAATATCTGTGACGATTTAATTCTCCGTCGCATTTTCAACATTCATAACATCAAAACATAATGGGAACATATTGTATTCGCAAAGTTTACAAAAATGAATACAATATAGCCCCAAGAATATGGTTTGGCATATGCCGCAGTTTCATTTCCAATTGCAGATGCCTAATATGTAAACTGTAATGTCATTTTCGCAAAGAATCGACCAATAATCAAAATACTAGTTCACATTTTCTCCACATATTACACATCGAAAAAGAGCTCCATGTCTGGGGTGACAGCAGTGTTGTCGTTGACCCCCGGTTATCGGGCGATAACTGGGCGATAACCGGGGGTAAGGCACTTTGATCTTGACCTAGAGAAAGGGTCAAGCGTGATATGCGCGCGTGACCCCGTGGCAACCAAACGTCAGTTCATTGCGAGAATGCTTCATGCTCCATCACTTTAAGCATTTATTGCTAATTATGGTAAATAATGGATCATGTGCAGGTCATGCTTGACCTCTTGACCCCTACATCACTGATATACACTACAGACATGAAGGCATTTATTCCCCTTGCAAATGCTCTGAAAATGTGTTCTAAAGTGTGACCTATGCAACACTATGCCCTAATTAGGCAACTTTGCATCCCAAAAAGGCAGTTAAATACAATTTAGTGTCATTAACACAGCCTGCATAGATTTATTTTTCCACGGGAAACCTGATGCAAAAATGGTGAAAATATCTTATGTCTGGATATGGAAATAGTTTGGAAATTGGGCGGAGACAATTAAATTATGTTACGATTGTTTTACCGAAACATATCAGCAATAGTGAAACTATTTCCCAAAGGAAGATATTTCAGTCCAAAAATATGTGATACTGATATGTTTCGGTGAAGCAATTGTAACATAATTCAATTGTCTCCACCCGATTTCCAAACTATTTCCATATCCAGACTTAAGATATTTTCACCATTTTCCCATCAGGTTCCCCGTGAAAAAATAAATCTGTGCAGGCTGTGTAAATAACAAAAACGAACTGCGATCGGGTCTGCGGTGTATATGTGTCGCCTGTTAATGATGTAAAAGCGGCTGACGAGCATTATTGCGAGTTGCTTGCATACTCCGAGGAAGAAAAGAAAAGACAAGAGACTCGAGAGTTGCTTGAGAGCGCATGGAGGAGATGCGACTCGAGGCTTCAGATCAATCGCTGTACTTACATGTCACGCCTCTTGATTTTGCCCAACTATTTACATACTGTCGCCTTTCATAGCACCTTACTGCACCTGAGTTTTCTTCTGGCGGAGACAATTTCTGTTCATCTCTTCTTTCTTCATGGCCTCCTATCTTCGCAGCTGGCTATCTGCCCAAGCACCTGACACCGACGCATCCACCATCGCTGAGCACGGACCATCCTTGTCCGTCTCCTACGACGACGTTGACGATGACTCTGAGACCGTACACGGGGGCGACGAGCTCGACGACTCGCCACCCTCCTTCCCCAGCCTAAACAGCGTACAACGTCTATCTCCAGGGCCCAACAAGCAGGCATCAGACAACATACCGCGCATATTGACCGATGCCCAGTTGATGCCACCCCCACCAGTCCCTTCTCTCGCGAATCGACGACCGGGGACATCTACCAGCAGCGCTATGTTTTCAGGCTCGAATTCACTAGCCGTTCCTCTCACAACTACCAAACCACCGCTCAAGCCTACCGCAAAGCGGGGCAAGGTAGCCCTCGCCCCAGGGCACGGCCCGCTCGATTGGGCGAACCTTAAGAAGTCGGGGCAGGATCTCAGGGTGCGTGTTCTACGCCCTCTCGCCGGACGTTCCACCTGACCCACTCACAGTACGTATCGTAGGGAACCGACACGCTGCTGCGCGTTACGCCGTCTATGCTGAAAGAGCATAAGACGCGCGAGGATGCATGGTCCGCGTTCAACGGCAAGGTCTATAATATCACGCCATACCTCCCGTACCATCCAGGAGGGGAGCAGGAGCTCATGCGCGTAGCGGGCCGCGATGGAAGCAAGCTTTTTGGTGAGTGTGGACACTGAGAGCATGATCATTGTTGACCGTCCCGTAGCCCTCACCCACGCATGGGTAAACCTCGATTACATGCTGGACGCATGCCTCATCGGATTTCTCATACCTGAATCTTGAGCTTGACCACTCCTAGCCATGCTTCATTGTAAAATATATTACTGACTTAATATTTTCCCGTGAAGGCGTGTGTCAATCGCAGTATCTTGATTGGAGGTAGCGGCAGGGTCAATACATGGCAGATACATGAGCTGGATGTGGCGTAGATTGAGCTAATATACAGAACAGTAGTAATGTTGCTTAGACAGACAGAACAGACATGCTTCTCTACGGTAAGAATGACATTGACACAAATTATGCGATATGCAGACAGAATGCAAGCTCAAGAGACCAAAAGCGTGTCCTTCCACCGCTCCGCGATGGGCGTCCCGCGGAACACCTCTTGCAGGACCTCCCGGACGTCCTCGACATACACGAACCGGATCCCCGTCTTGACGCTCTGGGGCACGTTCTCCTCGATATCAGTGCGGTTCGCCTCCGGTGCGATGATCGTCTTGATACCGGCACGGTGAGCCGCGAGAATCTTCTCCTTCAGCCCGCCCACCGGAAGCACCTGCCCGACAAGCGTGATCTCCCCCGTCATAGCTGAGCGATCCGTCAACGACAGTCTTTGTGAATATCGCCGGGTTACTTACCAATATCCTGATTGACCTGAGTCTTCGTGAACAGCGACACGAGAGCAGTCAAAATGGCAGTGCCTGCACTCGGGCCCTCCTTCCCGATACTGCCCTCGGGCATGTGCAGATGCATATCTCGATCCACTAGGAACTGCTGATCGGCCGAGGTTGTGACGCCCAACTCGTACGCGTGGCTTTTGACCCAGCTTATCGCGATCTGAGCGCTCTCTCGGATAACCTCGCCAAGCTTACCAGTAAGTTGAAGGGCACCCTTGCCAGGCATCGTCTGCGTAGCAGTTGCAACAGATGTCAGTATTACACCGAAAACGTAAGGACGTGGAAGCACATACCGTGGCTTCAATCGGCATAACAGCGCCAGAACCATTGCCCAGGTATCCCAACCCGGTGCTGACACCCGGCGGCGGCGGCTTCGCATACAGTCTGTCCTTGTAGTAGATCGGGGGGCCGACGTACTCCTTCAGATTGTCAGGAGTTATGTGAACGTGCACTGTATCAGGAATCTTCATCGGCTTGCGTTCGACAGTAGTGACCACGCGCTCCTTATCCTCCTCCTGATCGGGCTTTGGAACCGTCGACTCGGGGGCCGCAGGGTTGTTCGGCGGCGCATCCTGCTTCTCAACGGTCTTCTGCTCGTCCTTCGGTGCCTCTGCACTGACGACAGGTTCAGGGAAGACCTCCTCGCCGAGATCCTGGACAAGTTTCAATGCGGCCTTGCGGTAGATCTGGCAAGGAAAACGTCAGCTTTACCGCATGCTTAAACAGACTGAAGCTACGTACCTTCTCGACATGCTTCTTTAAGTTGCGAACTCCGCTCTCACGGCAGTAGTACTTAATCAACACGTCGACGGCGGCAGGCTCCAGTTGGACATCGGCATCTTTCAGACCTGACGCCTCCTTCGCCTGTGGACATAGATACTTCTCCGCGATCACAGCCTTCTCCTCTGAGACGTAACCGCTGACTTCCAGGATTTCCATCCGGTCGAGTAAGGGCGCAGGAATAGTATCAAGGATGTTGGCTATCGGAACCTGGTCAGCATGTGAACTTTATCTCATATATTTCGCGGCATACCTGTGCAGACGAACAAAACACGAGATAAGTCGACAGGGACATCCATGCTAAGGGGGGACATGGTTAACTGACTGAGAAACCATACAGGGGAACCCGACTTACTAATGATCCAAGAACGCAGTGTTCTGCTCAGGATCCAGCATTTCGAGCAGCGCGCTTGCAGGATCGCCATTGATGCCTCGCCCGATCTTGTCCACCTCGTCAATGAGAACCAGGGGGTTTTCAGTGCCGACCCTCTTCAGAGCCTGGATGATCTTGCCCGGGAGCGCCCTGCCGGGAAAATAGTAAGAAATGGAACAAACCTCGCCAGTGAACCCTAATATACCCGACGTAAGTGCGTCTGTGCCCTTTAATCTCTGCAACATCCGTCAAGCCACCAACTGAGAACCGGAAGAATTGCCTGTGCAAAGCGCGTGCAATCGACTTGCCGATGGATGTCTTGCCGACACCAGGAGGACCTACGAGGCAAATAATCTTACCCTCGACTGTACCCCTAAGTTTGCCCACAGCTATGAACTCGAGGATGCGGTCCTTGACGTCCTTCAGGCCGTAATGATCCTCATCCAGCACCTTCTGAGCATGAGTAATCGAATAGTTCTCCGGCGAGTGCTGGCCCCAAGGAATCTGCGTCAGCCACTCCAGGTAGTTCCGTGTAACGTTCGCCTCGGACGCAGACGGCTCAAGGTGCTGGAGCTTGTTCAGCTCCTCGTCAAACACCTTCCGCACCGTCTCCGGCATCTTCAACGATGCGGCCCGCTCCTTGAACTTCTCGATCACCTTGTCTTTTCCATCAGACTCCATGCCAAGCTCTTTCTTGATGCCTTTCAGCTGCTCCATCAGGTAGTACTCGCGCTGGCGCTTCGCGATCTTGTTATCCACGTCGCGTGCGAGCTTGCTCTGGAGCTGTGCATTGATGAGCTCCTTCTTCAGCACGAGTAGCGCCTTGCGCAGACGATCTTCGACGTTGAGAGCCTCGAGGACGTCTTGCAGCTCGTTAACATCTCCAGTCGAGACAGCCGCCGCAAAGTCTGCGAGCTTGTCCGGCTCATCAAAGACATTCGATGGGACCTGATTAATCGAAAAATTGGTGATCTGGTCGCGGAACAGCGGGTTCAACTGCGCAATGTCCTTGAATACCGACACGATCTCGGACATGAATGCATGGATGTACTGATCGTCCTTGTTGTACGGCTGCGTGGCCAGATTTTCGACATTGACGATGGAGACACTATAGTTATGCAGAAAGGACGTCTGGACCGGTGCTAGTAAAGGAGGTGAATGACGATCACAAAGTTGAGGATGAAATACGCACGTGGTGTTGTGGTCTCCGGAGGGGGCGTTGGCAAAGACTCTTCACCGGTTGCTTCGGTTGCTTCAGACGGCTCAACCTTAGCCTTGCCAGCCTTGACAAGCTCAGTGATCCTAATTCGCCGGTGAGGGTAGAGCACCGCGGTAAGCCCCTCCTCCTTGTCGTCCTCCTTGCCGCCAGCGGTGAACACACTCGTGATCTGCGCGAAGACGCCCACTGGGTGTACTGAGTTGATGTCCGTGATGATGTCGCTATCTGTCTGTTCATCCTTAAGGAGGAACGCGCCGAGGTACGGCTGTCCGCGTCGCATCATCTCCTTGATGGCTGAAACGACGGCCGGATTGCGAATAACCACTGCCTTATAAAAACCGGGAAAGAGGGGTCGACGCGCAATGGGCAGGGCAAGGACCTGAGGATAGACATCGGGAACAGACTGCTTCGAAATGGAAGTTTGTGGTGGCGTTGGCGGTTCTGGTGATGGTGGTGGTGGTGGTGGTGGGTGGTCCGACTCATCAGACCCATCTCCAGACGATGACGATGAAGCAGGGGGAGCAGAGTCCGAAGGAGGTGCTTGATCGTCCTGTTTACTGTCTAACCGCACACTCTGCGATTGTGGCGCGTGCACCGAATCTCCCCCCTCATCCGACTTCACCGCTCGCGACCCATGTCCTTGCTTCGGATTAACCCACCTTGGATAATGCAGTGGTTGAGTAGACTGACAGCCGGAGACTGTGGATGAGTAAAACGAGCGGTGGAGGTGCGTGGTCGGCCGGATGTTCTTGGGTGCCAATTGCCAGCACAACCTCGACGGACCCGGCTCGGGATGGTGTAGCAATCGTCGACTACATAATCGCGTGGCAGTGGATGTTGGGGCTTTAATCCCACCAAAGAAATTCATGCACGGAGTCGTCGATTGATAGTACGCGGTCCTTCCGATGCACGCTACCCAGATGACCGCGCGTTCGCCGAACTGACAGCTGCAGACAGAATTTACGCGTGAAATTCGCGACATTGTGTCCAAAATACATCAGTACGCACCCTTGGTCCCGCGCAACCTTGCGCAGATGAATGGCGGTGGCAGGAGAGGTGCGAAATGGCGAATGCGTCACTCTCTCTCAGCCCGACGTTAATTGGTAAGCAGAAAATTGCGTTAACACAGCTATCTGATACAAATTACCATATATGGAGTTGTTTCCCGGTTAGCTCTCGATATTTCGTGCGCTAATCTTACACACCGAAGTTGTGGCCACGGACCATCTCCTCCAATGTGAGTTCGTCTGTTACAATGCTGAGCAACCCTCAGTCCTTTACTCGTGCATTTGTGTGAATAGTATGTTGCTCAGCGTCAGACCTGTGCAACATCTACGTGCAAAATCTTTTCTTCTCGCTGGCAGGCTCCGTGCCGGAGGAATTTTGATCCCGAGAGCGCACAAGTCTTTGTCGGCCGTCTCAAATCCTATCCCAGCCACCTTCATCAGAGGCGGGACATCAAAGGGCATATATCTGAAGCGCAGTGACCTCCCAGACGATGTTGCAGACTGGGACCCAATCTTCCTGGGGATCATGGGCTCTCCCGATCCCAAGTACGGCAGGCAGCTGAATGGCATGGGCGGCGGCATCTCCAGTCTGTCGAAGATTTGTGTTGTCGGGGAGCTTTCAGAAGAGCAACGTCAGGAGGGCATCGATATCGAGTATACCTTCGCGCAGATCGGCATCCGCGACGAGATCGTCGATTACTCCGGGAACTGCGGGAACCTCTCAAGCATGATCGGTGCGTTCGCGATGGACGAGGGCCTGTGTCAGCCATCAACGGTTGACATCTCCGCTCGTGTCCCGACGGCGACGGTCCGCTCCTTCAACACAAACACAAAGAAGCGTGTCGATACTACGTTCCCGGTGTCGGTTGAAGACGGCAAGCCCGTCCCGCTCTTGAACCTCGAACAAGAAACCATTGCGGGCGTGTCGGGTAAGGCCTCCAAGATCATCCTGGACTTCGTATCTCCAAGTGGCGCACGCACTGGGAAGCTCCTCCCATCCGGACATCACGTGGATGCCGTCCCTTTCACACTGGAAGATGGTACGGTCAAGGAGGTTCCAATGTCACTCGTAGATGCCACCAATCCCACCGTGTTCATCATGTTGGATGACCTTCGGGAGGCTCTCCAGCAGCCGGTGGACGTGGACTTTACCAGCGTGCCGATAGAGCTGGTCATCGAGAATCTTCGCCAGATCGGCGCGAAGCGCATGGGTCTTGACCCCCTCATGGAAGCGCAGCCGAAGATCGCCATAATAAACGAGCCAGCGCCAGACGACGAGGAGGCTGATATTGTCGTGCATGCGTACTCCATGGGCGTGCTGCACAAGGCTGTGCCCATGACGGTAGGGCTCTGTCTCGGTGTTGCTGCCGGTGTAGAAGGCACATTGCCATGGATGATCGCCCGTGCCAGGAAGGTGTATTCCACCAGCACGGGCGACATAATGGTCAGAATAAGACATCCAGGCGGTGTCGTTGCAGTCGGAGCAGCTATGCGCGATGGGCAGGTCACAAGTGCAAAGGTAATTAGGACAGGTCGCAGGTTGATGAAGGGTATTGTGTGGTGGTGAAGGTTTCCCTCGTGCAATGTTGGTATAGCGTCATAAATGTACATAGCATTCACAGCAATTTGGATGTACATGGCAGACTAAATAAGATGCAATGCGAAGAATACAATCCAACCTCTCAATTCGAATGCAGCACAAACTAATACAATTGGGTATATCTAAGCTGAGGTGACTGAAACTTCACCTGGCAGATCAAGCTTAGGGCTCTTGAAAGTGCCCAAGCTTTGCAAGAAGTTGTTCCAATTGTCCTTATGATACCTCCTTTGTTGCAATTCCTCTAGCTGGGCAGCAGTGGGGGTATGCAACCGGATGGTGAAGACATAGCTAGAATAGTCATTAAGCTGGAAGATCCGCAGCTGATTCTTCCCAGCAGTGACAATCTTGCTGATGTCAACAATGCTTTCGTCCTGACGCTGTGGAATCCACAAATTAGCAATCACACAAGAATCCATCAGGCAGGACATACTATGAATGGGGGAGACAGCGTGAAGCCATGATCGACCTGTCCATTCTTGAGCATTGCCCACAATTTGCCATCTCTTGGCCACATCGTTGGGAGGTCGTTCGTCACTTCTTCCAGAGACATATCCGAATTTTCACGAACTCGTTCCGTGCAATCGCTAAGTGCAAAGCTTGATATAGACATGCACTTGCTTCTTGTCATATCACTGCAAGCATACAATCAGCAAATGCCCTGCCATGGAATTTCTGCCGCTCACTCTCTCGTGTCATATCGCCCGACCCACTGTGATATCAGTGCAGCATGATCAGGATTCAAATCAAACTCAACCACTGTCTCTATCTTAGCCGACCCTTGAGATGACCATATGATGACTGCAGGCTCTGCCAGAGTATCGGAATCCAAAGGAAGCCGGCGGACATATGCTGGTCGACGCGACGGTCCATTCTGCATAATTTCTCCCTTCTCACCAGCATCAGTATGTTCCAGCTCTTCATCAAGAAGCTGCGAGCTAATTTCCCCTTCCTCTATGACATCGTCATCGTCACCAGGGATGACGGGGTCGCAGCGTACTGATGTTTTGCCGGGCACGATTGAAGCAGCCCGAGGGGACTTGCCTGCAGGCGCGGCTTGAGTAGGCGGCGAGACGATGCGTTCCAGCAGTTGGCTCTCATCAATGGTCATGCGGTCGCGTACAGCATCTTGCGCGAGCGACGGAGCTGCAACATTATCATGTGCTCGTAAAGAGGTGTCCACCTCAGAGTTTTGGAGAGTGCTGTCGACTTCTCCCTCCTCCATGCCCTCGTCAGTCCCCTCAGTAGAATGCGACGTCTCGATATCGACATGTGACAGCGGTTCAACTTGCTCGTCCAGACGGGCCTCCAGTGCCAACGGTGACTTTCTGGCGTCATCTCCCGAAGGCGAACCCGCATCACTGGCTTGCGTCATGCGCTCGGCAGTCTCTTCGCCCGGAGACTTGCGCGACGGCGACGACGTCCTGAGCTTCTGGCGCGAACTGCTATCTGTTATGCTAAGAGAGCGCAGTCGCTTTCGCGGCACGGATACGGTCGATGGGGATGGTAGGTCAGCAGCTTCATGCTCAATCTGAGCCAGTGGTTGAGGCTCCGGCGCAGTTGAAGACTCTTCGGCGGGGTTGTGTTCGAAGCCGCCCTCCTGAGGCCGTTATCATCAGTCACAATGAAGAGACACATTGCGATACACTTACATGAAGCGGGACTTCGCCCGCGGCGTCATCAGGCAGGACGTCCTGGGCAGCCTCTGCAGGTTGCTGAAGAGGCTCCGCGAGCCCACCTCCTGCTTCCACTGGCGGCTCGACTGCCGGCGTCGCGAACTGCGTTATAGCTTCAACAGTCTCTGATTCCGCGGTTGGTTCCGGCTGCATCTCACGATCGTCTACTTGCATATCGTTAATGATGAGCGTGTTTGTATGCATCGCCAGCTCACCAGCTTCATTGGAAGCAGTTGGGCCCTGCCGCAACATCTCGTCTACCTCCATAGACTGTTCGCTCGCTTCAGCAATGTCCTTCTGTCGATCTTGCTGCTCGTCGACCATGTCCACGTCGCCCTCTACGGGACCTTCGGTGGCTTGTTGAGGCCTGAACTCCTCCCGAGATGGAGATGGGTGTGGAGGGAGTGCGGCACCGGCAGGCGTCTCTGCGAGCGATTCGTGGTGTCTAGTAGCATGCACGCTTTCATCTCGTTCCTGTACTGACGGCGCGCCTTCGGCAGGGTTGCTCTCAGCCACCACGAGGGGGCGAGTCACATCATCGCTGGCTTTATCTGACTCTGCATGCTCCTTGACATCCCTCGACGCGTCAGGCGACGCCATACGAATTTCATCCTTCTGCATCGCATCCGGTGTCTGCTGCTCCTCCGTACCTTCCACGAGGACGGAGGTGACACCTTCTCCCGACATACTCGCCACCATTTTCTCATCCGGAGGCACCGGTAGATACCTCAAACCCGGCGGGCCTTTCTTTTTCTTTTTCTTGTCCAGCTTCTGGGAGGCTATCGAATTGAGCGGGTTCTTCAAACGAGGCAATGTCGGAGATGTGACGCTGCTGGTAAATTTTGTCGCTGCATCGTCAACCGCAGCAGAACTGCCCGCTTGAGTGGCGTTGGAGGGAGAGCTTTGATCTTCAACAGTGACCTCAGCTTTAGCATCCGCTATGGGTGATGCAGCCGTCGAAATGGATGAGGTCGGTTCATTCGGATTTTTCTCGACTGAGCCAATCGCTGCGGATGCGTCTGCAGCAGGGACTTTCTCATGATGGTCATGCGCTGCAGGAGAGGTTACCGCAGTTGCGGCCCCATCACTTTCTTTCGAGGCCGTCTGCTGCTTTCCTACCTGGTACCATTCCAGGTCGGCCTGGATAAATTCATCGACGTCTATGAATGATTTCTTCGACTTCGGCTCGACCTGCGTAGAATTCGGCTCTGCCGCTGTCTGAAGTGGTAATGGCAGCTGTGGAGCAGCATCCTCTGCTGTTTCCTGTTTGATGGGAGCCTGACTGATCGGGAACAGATAAGACGTAGATCCTGCGGAGACGGGAGCACCGTAGGTTTCACTGGGCTCAGTTTTGATGGGGAACGCTGCCTGCAAGGACCCGCCTGCATGAGCTAACAATCATATTAGTATTGCTGACGAACAGGATAGCTGTGCCTAAAAAGAGTGGGCACACCCGAAGATTGCGCCATGAAGGCGGAAGGCGTGGGATGAATAAACATACCATCATTTTGCATAGCGATAGAGGCTGCAGGCAAGATCGGAAGGCCTTGACTTCGTTGCAAAGGGTGGTCAGACACTCCAGATATCGAGTCGAGTTCTCGTATCAAATTCTCCACACGAGCTGAGTCCGGTAACGTCAGCAACATGAAAGATAGGTTAGATTGCGCACCCACCTTTCAAGAGAGGATTCGTGAACAAAGGAAGAAATGGATACACGGTATGAATTAGCTTTGCATACGGCTCGGCCCACAATGATTGATTCCCGGGAGTTCCGCCAGCCCTACGGACTTGAACGTGGGCGGTCTGGTAGGGTTGAGATGTCATGGAATCGGATTGCCTATATGAATGGACGCACCTCCAGCAGCTCCACAATCTAACCAAGCGCAGTACGTCAGATACAGTTGGGCATCAGCAACCAACTCAAACTTACTATAGGCAGTGCTCGCGCGTAATATGCCCTGTCCCTACTAAGCCAACTGGCGAGCTTGTCAGAAGTTGCTTTGAAGGTGGTGAATACGCCATCGGAGAGGTTCTTCCTGAATATAGGGAACAATTTTTCATTGTTTCTCTCAGCATCCACGTTGCGAGCCATCCTGTCGCTGGTACTCTAGAGGGCAAGAACGAGGACGATAATCGACGATTGACTCGCGGCCACTACCAGCCAACTTGAACGTCGTGATGCACAATTCAAATCCAGCGACTTCAACAGCCCATTAAAACAAGGCTATTACTGATAACGCTGGCGTCTAAGCTTGCTCATTGGTCCAACAGTTGCGACGTCTCACATTGCTGTGCTCGCTGAGGTTCCTTGGTTCAACATGATGCTCGGCCGTTGCTGATGCCAAAAGATTATGTATCTGCGCGATAAGGAACGCGGTGGACAGTGTTTTCTGTGTTTTCATTACCATCTAGGAGCTAAACCTCGCAGTATTTAAGGTATTTTACTACTTTGTATGGTTGCGTTTGACCACAATCATGCAGTGTATATATACAGCGGCTCTGAACCCTGGTCTCTAGTCGTTTTATCGCTCTTTTCTGCCTATGTCCTGGCGGATTTGAATGATAACGGGCATCCTTCCGTTATATTGATCGGGCTGGCCAAGCTTTGTGCATGGACTGTGACACGTTCCTATTCCTGTTATCGTTAACTCTCCAGAAAGTGATGCTCTGTGCGTGGATCAGTCAGCAGCTGAGTTCTCTAGATATGCAGTAGAGATAAGCAGACGAGTCCGCCGCCACGGCTGCACCTGCAGTTGACATCTGCCTGTTCTACGTAAATCTCCCGTAAACCGAGATGTTTTGCAAGAAGCGGAGGCAGAGAAATTTGGCGGTTCGGATCCCCGAGGAACGGGAGGCGGAATTCACCGAGACGCTGGCCAGTGCGAGGGAGGCCATGGACGGTACGCAGGACCGTTTGTCGGCTTACTCGCACCAAGAATGCTTCAGCAGGGGACAATAGACTTTGTCCCGATGCCTGATGTCAACAAGTATCCACGGATCCAGATCTCCCCAATCGAAGGCTGAAAAGAGCCCGTTCAATGCCCGGGCAATAAAGGTGATTGTGGATGATACAGACCGCGAAGAAGCGCAAGTCGGCATACTTGCGGGCAAGCGAGCGGTATTGAAGGTCTATCTGAGTTGCTGTCTTACCGAAGACACAACTGATGCCCTTTTGTGCGCACAGGACAACGTCTGTCTCGCTGGAGTGCCATGTTTTTCGGCACGGACGTGTTCTCGGAGTGGGTGCCTAAAACCGATGCTACTGTGGTTACCTGTACCTGAAGCCAGTGGAACAGCGCGCCTTTTGTTGTCGTTGTCGTGATTGATCGAGAACCGAAGCAACACTTAGACAGTTGGCAAAGCTACTTCAAGTCATTTCTGGCTGCAGATCGAATGGTGAGGTTGCTTAGTGTCGCTCGCAGTTTCGGCCTTTAGGGTGTCCAGCTCACTGGTCGCGTGGGCAAGCCCTACGACCAGGTTATGCCTATCATACCACAGGTGGCAAAGGTTATGCAGATAGGGCTCTTCACTTACCAGACGCGGTATCTCGTGCCTCAAGCGATACATATAACCAAGAGAGGCATCACCGTCACTACAAGGACTACAATGGCTTGGTTCGTACCTTCAACTCAGTGTACTCCAGCTTGAAACTGACTCTCGAACGATCCAGACATACGATACACAACCCTTCAACAACACCGGCCATCCCGCACTTTTAATCGCCTGTGGTAAGCATCCGCCGCCAGAGGGCACAGAGTCGCTGAGACTTCCCATGGGAATGCAGCTGGTCGGCAAGTTCTGAGACGAGCTCACCTTGTACACAAAGCGGCAATGGCCTGCATTGACGCTTATGATTGGACGATGCTGTGTCTTGCCATAGACGCACATCGTCAACAAGGTATCTATGTACGTTCAGCCATTCACAGCTCTATACATTCCAGCAAATTGCTTTGTGTCGTGAGGTAGCATCTATAAACAATGACCATGTAGCGCACTAAAGCGTGGCGCCTTTTCGTCTACAGCCACTCAACCGTCTGAAGGCCAGTCAGTACCATGGATAGCAGGCACGGAGAAGATACTCACTGCAGGCGGCTTGGAAGAGATATCATAGGTGACGCGATTGATGCCCTCGACCTCGTTCGTAATGCGGGAGGATATCCTGCGCAGGACTTCCGGAGGGAAGGCGAACCAATCCGCAGTCATGAAATCTTCCGACTGCACAGCGCGCAGAGCGATAACCTAACGACACATCCGTTCAAGTCAACTGGCCGCACACAGACTCTTGCCTTACACACCTGCTCGTACGTGCGCTTGTCGCCCATGACACCGACAGCCCTGACTGGCAGCAACACCGCGAACGCTTGACTAATCTTGTCGTACAGTCCCGCCTTGCGGATCTCCTCAATGTAGATGGAATCCGCTAGCTGCAGGATCTTGACCTGCTCGCGTGTCACAGGACCAAGGATGCGGATCGCAAGCCCAGGTCCGGGGAAGGGATGGCGCTGCACGAGCGGGGCCGGAATGGAGAGCAGTCTGCCGAGAGCGCGGACTTCATCTAGAAGCGTACGAGTTAGCGATAGAGCTTATGATTCTAACACCACATGGTAGAGACGCACCCTTGAAGAGCTCTCGAAGCGGTTCAATCAACTTGAGCTTCATATCCTTCAGCAGACCGCCGACGTTGTGGTGCGTCTTGATCGTCGCGCTCGGGCCTTTGAAGCTGATACTCTCAATGACGTCGGGATACAGCGTGCCCTGCAGCAACCACTCGATCTTGCCCTTCGCCTCGGCACCGCTTGCCTCCTTTTCTGCTGTAACAGCCTCGAGCTTGGCGGCCTCATCCTCGAAAACATTGATGAACGTGTTGCCAATGATCTTGCGCTTCTGTTCTGGGTCCTCTACGCCGGCGAGACGGGAGAGGAAGAGCTCGGATGCATCGACCACGGTGAGGTTCACACCAAGGTCGCGGTTCAGCATGGTATGGACTTGTTGCGCTTCATTCAGACGGAGAACACCGTTGTCGACCATGATGGCATGGAATCTGTCACATAGTGCATGCCGTCAAATCACATACCGCCAACAAGTGGCTGGTGTCATACCTGTCACCAATCGCTTCGTGCATGAGCTTCGCCGCAACTGTGCTGTCTACTCCTCCGCTGACGGCACCAATGACACGACCCTTAGGACCGCAAAGTTGGCGGATGCGAGCGATTTCTTTGCCGATAAACTCTTCCTGTACATCTGCTCAGGACGGCGTCATATCATAATATACTTCTTGTACTGACCATGGTCCAGTTTGGTTTGCATCCACAAATGTTCAGAACGAACCGGCCGATGACCTCCTTCCCTCGCGGCGTATGTGTGACCTCGGGATGGAACTGAATTCCATAGAACGGCTTTGAATTGTGGGCAACTGCAGCGTAGGGTGCGGTTTTGGTGCTTCCGATGACGTGGAAGTCCGAGGGCATCTCAGTCAATTGGTCGCCGTGCGACATCCATACCTACTGCCACCAGCTCAAGAGGGGAAAAAACAAATGAAACGCAAAGAAACGCACCTGCATCTCGTCTCCCAGGCCCTCAAAGAGAGCGTCCACTGAGCTCTTGTCTGACCCTATCTCGTCTCCCGAGCCCTCAGAGAGAGCGTCCGCTGAGCCCTTGTCTGACCCCATCTCGTCTCTCGGGCCCTCAGAGCGAGCGTCCCCTGAGCTCTTGCCTGACCCTGTCTCGTCTCCCGGGCCCTCAGCGAGAGCGTCCACGGAGCTCTTGCCCGACCCTGTCTCGTCTCCCGGGCCTGCAGAGAGAGCGTCCACTGAGCTCTTGCCTGGCCCTGTCTCGTCTCCCGGGCCCTCAGAGAGAGCGTCCGCTGGGCTCTTGCCTGATTCTGTCTCGTCTCCCGGGCCCGCAGAGAGAGCATCCACTGAGCTCTTGTCTGACCCTATCTTGTTTATCTGCAACTGCGCGAAGCCGTACTCCCTGTGGTCGCACTTCATAACCTTTCCGTTCATATTCCATGCCATCTCCTACTTGACCGCGGGCAATCATGAGCCGTGAGCCAACGTTCAGGCGGATGACACGACGCACCTGGAGACCGTAGCAAATGCCGAGAACAGGAACGCCCATTTCGAAGACATCAGGGTCGACATGCGGTGCATCGGCATCGTAGACAGAGTATGGAGAGCCAGATAGGATGATTCCTGCAAGCTCATGAGCAATGCACGCATCTTCATACGACGCCCGTGCTACCTTTCGGTTTGAATTTGAGGTCCTTCATCTTTTCGGTGCATGGCATGAGCTCAGCATAGACATTGAGCTCTCGACACCTTCGCGTGATCAGATGACTGTACTGCAGATGAGCTTCAGCTGAGCCAACGATGCATGAAATAGGACAAACCTGAGAGCCGAAGTCCAAGATGAGAATAGTGTCGAACTGGTCATGAATTTCAGCCATGTCGCGGGAGACGTCTGAGCAGTCAGAGCACTAGACGAGATTATCTAAGAGGGAGGGTATGGGTATGTATGTCTACTGTCGAGTCTGTTCTGGTCAAGAATTGTCAAAGAATTGACGCCCTAGCAAATTTTGCCATGACTGGCCCGATCAGATCGCATTGATGGGGGCGATTAGTGAAGCCTACTCGATCTGCGAGAAAATTGGTGTGAATATAAGGCATCAGCATCTCCGTTGCGCGATGGAGCTGGCCGCATATAAAGTAGCATGCACGGCAAGGAAAATCCGTGCGGCGTCAGGCCTTCAGACGCCAGTGAGCGGCTCGCAGCCATCGAATGGCGCCCTGACGGTTTCAAAGCCTCCGCGCCAACGTACAAGGTGACCGTGACAGCAGACGGCCCACTGTATACAGAAGCATAGATGCGGCCTTTCGGATAGTAATCAAGTATTCCGCCAGCAGATCAGCACTGGTTGAGGACCAGAAAAGTTCTCAGCGACCATTATCGCTTGAAACATCCATAATTGGCTCCTAATTTCGTGCTGGATTGAAGACAGCTACTGTCTTCGAGCAGAAGCTACATAGCGATGCACCTTCCATAGGGCAGTAGAATCGATGTCGACAGACCAGTAGCTCGAGAGCAGGAAGTAGTATCTACAGTCTAACATGCAGTTTTAATGCAGGAAAGTGGTAAATGGCAAGCCGTGTCGTTTGGGCGCCGATACGAGAAGCTTCACGACAGTGTACTGCGCCGGGCGCACATGTGGCTGGATGCGATGGTCGAAAGAATTCTGTCAACCCTGTTTGAGAAAAACTGGAACAGCGTCGTTGCTTGAACGGAAGATTTCGCGATCAAACGTTTCATGCCTGATAGAGGCTGAAGAGAGGCCTAAAGGCTTAGCAACGCCAGCCCACTGCGAGACGTAGGCCACAGTCAAATTGTCCAGATATCGGTGCAAAGTGCTATCATCAGCGAGTCACGAACTAAAATACAAAAATGAACTGGAAGGCAGTACAGCGGCGAGATGCAACACGGTATTATTACAGACTGAGATACATTGTGAGCTGTCCCGAATGTCCCAGAAGACCCACTATCGGTACGCCAGACGCACAAGCTTCACGATGATACCACCGGAGAAGCAAATGTGCCCCGCCCTCTGCCTCGGCTTCTACCCCTGGATAGTCCGCCGCGGCCTCGCTCAACATCTGATAGAGCACCTCCCCGGCCCCGGAAAAACCCTCCTCGCTGGGGTACAAACGCACCAGGCGGGGCACCTGCGCGAAAGCCAGATCCAAATCCGCCTCGTTGCGCGAACGGTGGCTTGCCTCGGGCACCGTTCATGCCATGGCCATTCGAGTGTGATGCAGCAGGAACTGTATGACTGTTCGTCACAATGTTCGTGGGCACACCGTTTGCTACGGCTACACCTCCGCGACTATTGGTGTTGACAGGCGGACGATGCATTACGGACGGACCTCCCCGATCATTGATACCTTGCGGCATAGACGTGTTATGTGCATTGTACGACGCCCCACGGCCGCGGTTGGGGTTCGTCATGATAAATACCGACCCTCCTTGTCTAGTAAAATGAGTCAATAACATAATCAGCGGCGCAACAGCATCGAAAAGCGTACCTTGCCTGAGCTGGACGGAAGCCAGAGGCAGCCTGTTGACCTGGCGGGGGCCGTATCACAGGGTGTGGACCGAAGCGCGGTCTGAAAGGAGAAGTTGGCTTCTGCTGCTTCGGGTCCTTCGGGTTCGTGGATGTAACAAATTGCGGGTCCGTCAGGTTCAGGCACGACGTAAACTCGACGGTCGCTCCCCGATACCGAGAGCACCTATATAAGGACCGCACTCAGAGCCGCACTGAAAATGATGGGGTTATCTCACCTGTCTCCGAGTGTCGTGCCAGCCATGAACGGTGCGTCCCACACGATGTCCATCGATTTAGCGTTCATGCCGACAACAACGCCCTTGATCGACAATGGGACGCTTCCAGAGTCCTGCACCATCGTCACACGATCACCGAGCACGAAATGCTGATTCTGCAATCGATAAATCGCATGCGACGGCTTGAGGACAGCTTGTCTCGGGATCCCCTTCACGATAGCTTTCTTGATAGCCGAAACCGACTTGTTCTTCGTAACTGTGTCCGCAAGCTCCTCAATCTCTTTGACGGTGTCCTGCACGCCACGCCATGAATATGAAGCGAGCGGAGTGAATTCCAACACGCGATACGCACCTTCTTCAGTTGATCGCAGAAGAGAGATACAGGTTCGAAGTCGCGAACACCTTTCGAGTTCAGCCACGCCTTAACCTCCTTAACCTTCGCATCCGCGTCATCCTCTTCGGTAAAGACATCACCTGCATGCAGCATCGCTACAACATGCTTGTCAGAATGATACTCGGCCCTTCGAATCGGCCACGTACCATCGCTGTTACGGTTAAGCGAGCGGAAGACCTCTGGATACTTGTTCTGTTCAACAAATCAGCAAGAAGAACAATATACTGCAGCACAACAGTAGAGACGTACCTTGTACTCCCCGATCAGTTCAACCGCCTTCTCACTGAACTCCCAGTACCTTCCTTCCTTGCGCGAATAGTCGATGACCTTCAACCCCTTCGCCTCGAACTTCAAGCTCAAGCCCAGATTGTTCTTCTGGCCGTCTGACGTGATGACCATGAAACTCGACGTAATCTTTGCCACCGCGCGCCCAGACAGGCCGAGCATGTCCGAGACCTTGAACGACGGAAAATACCTGCTGGACATGCGATTTGTCGCGATATTTTTGAACTTCTCGTTCTCCGCCTTCTCCGAAGGGAAGAACTGCGCGTCTCGCTGAGTCGCCGTTCGAAGCGGTCAATCAGAAAGACAGACTTACGGCAAGAACGACGGAAAGCGTGTCGTTCGTCGTCGCAGATACTTGTGCTGCAACTCCATATCCGTGTTCGCCCAAGAAGAACACCTTGCTTCCCTCCGGAAACTCCTCGGCTAGCGGAGGCGGCTCCTTCTCCGCGAATCGCAGGTCCTCCGAAATTACCTCTGATACCGTCATTTGAACGGCTTGTTCGACCTCATGCTCCTGATCCTCATAGTCCTTCACAAACGCGCCAGTGTCCAGACGCTTAAGGCCTGCATGTCGTGAGATTAGCACAGGATACAGAACTAGTGTGACAGATGCCGACCTTTTAGTGGTCTGACATGGACGAGAACGTCGATGTCGCTAGTGATCACACCACATCTCTTTGAGTAGTAGTGCTCTATCTTCTCCGCCTTCGACTTCCACAGGCCCAGCCCTTGCGGAGAGTGCGGGTTCGAGATGACCTTCGGCGGGCGCCCCGGGATGACTGACATCTTCTCGTACGTGAAAAGCGAGTCTGAAACTGCCGTCACCATGCCCTCCTGTAAGAACGGCCACCCGACGAATGTCCGCTGGCCGATCATCTCATTCGCAATGTCCTCCACCTTCCTATTGCTGTGCGGGTTTTCGATGTGCACGATCATCGACTTGTTGCGGCTCTCAGAACCATGCACGTTCACGCCGTGGTATCCGAGCAACGCAGTGTGAGGGAGAGTCTGCAAGGACGGGAACCCGGCGAGGGCTTCAGCACCGAGGAAAACCCCGTCGCACAGGCCCTCTACGAGATGGAGACCATCCAGAGTCGGTAAGTCGAACGACTCCATTTTGCATGTGCATCGAGGCAGGTTTGGGAAGAAGCCAGGTAATGAGGACTGATATAACGTGGGCTCATCCGGATTATACGTGAACTTCGTACTTGTGCCGAAAGAATTCCGGCGTTGCTCTTCCGGCGTCAGACGATGCTCTCGTGCTGCAAGCAGACGAATCACTAACGGCGTTCTTTTAAACATTGCTTGCACTCACTTTTCATCGCGGCCAGCAACCGCTTCTCGTCAATGAACGGAATCTTGACTATAGCTTCCCATTCTGCCTTCTTGCCGTTCAGATCCTGCTCAAACTCCTCAGGGTAGAAATCGAGAATGGGCGAATTCGCATCGTTCATGAGATCCTGCAGAGAGTTGAGCTATTTTAGGATCCTCCTCACTATCGTGGCACTTACTCGATACGCAAGAGGAATTAGATCCTTGCTAGCCTCCGGCAGCACACCCATCAGCTGCTCGAACGGCCGGAAGGGTGTGCCCAAATCGAAATTGAACGACATCTCTCCTATACCCTTCAAGTCTAGCGGTAGTCGCGCCGTCAGTATCCCATCATGCATCTTCATGACAGGATGCATACCTGAAATGCGCGGAGCATAGTGATAGTTGTAGAACCAGCTCCAAGATGCCACACCACTGTAATAGTAGTGCATGACCCACTGCAAGCCCTGCACATAGCGATAAACGAGAGCATGCATCTGCTCCGGATCGTCATAGGAGATTTCCATTTTGCCCTGCAAGACTGTAAGCAAGCGCAGCCATGCCACATCGTAGCGAGCGTACCATGTAATAGTTTCTCTTCCATTCGTCCATCTTCTCCTTTATGGTCAATTCGTATCTCGCGTCAAAGTCGCCCTCCTTGTCGTCCTCCAACACCTTTGCCTTCTCGTACTTCGCCAACACGCGATCCACTGCGACGCGGCTCTCCTCGTCCTCCTCGTCGTCCTCCCACTCGCTATCATCCCCGCCTCCTGCCGCAATCTCCACCTCCTCATCGACGTTCTCCTCTCCATTCTCAGGGAGCGGCTCGTCCAGCTCGCCCGGGAATCGCCATGTCACCAGGTTCTGATCTTGCTCATCGTACTCGTCCCACGTCAGCGTAAGATGCAGATCATCGGCAAGCTTGTTGATGAACTGTCTCTCGCGTGCTGGGAAGGTGTTCGGCATCGTGAGAACTTTTGGCGCGTGTGCGGGATCATCCCTGTGCTCCGCGATCCATGCCTTCACCTGATCAAAGATCGCCCGTTGAGGTGTAGTCAGGGCTATGGACACGATGAATGCGCTGAGTGGATCGAGGCGCTGACGACATACCAAACTTAGCACGTTTGCGAGCATCTTCCATCTCCTTGACGTGTTTAATCTGCTTCCCCTTATACCAGTTCAAATCCGCGTACTCCTTCTCAAAGACTTCCTGCTCCCATTCAGCCATATCGTCCAATATGACTTGCAATCGCTTCGTGTTGATGACTCCGTTGTCGTTGATGTATCCATCTGCGGAGACACTGTATGAGGTGTTTGACTCGGGATTAACGACGGCTGCTGCTGCTCACCTAGAGACGGCAGAGCCTTCTTATACACATCAAACAACCTCTCCAGGCCATTTTCGTGAATATGCAGATCAGGTAGATTAGGCAAGAAATCGTTTCCAACGAATACAGCGAGCACGATGAAGTCGTCAATGATGTGCTCCAGATTATACCCAAACGGGAGGACCGGCTCAATATCATGGAACTCCAAATCGAGATATTCACGCATCAGCGTCAGATGCAGCAAGTAGAAGTTGATCGATTCCAGGCTGAAGGGCGAATTAGTCGTTGCATTCGGTATCAGATGCGAAACGAAGCAAGCGCACCTTTTGTTGCCCTTCTGATGTCTCGACGGTCCAAATTTGACCTCCTCTCGCAGCAAGCAGAAGTGAGGGTCATGGCTCAGAAGCCCCAGCATGATGAGGTCTGCATCCAGTCCGTACAAGCAATGTCGCACGTTGGGGTCGTAGTCCGGCTGAGCCCTTGATTTCCTGATGTACTCCATGATCTTGTGTTCACCCTCTCCGGGCACCTCATGTCCCGACAAAACGACAGTGACACCTTGCCAATTAGAGTCCTCCGAGATCTTCTTATTCACAAAGTACTTCAGCTGTTCCGAAAGCCTGGCCATGAACTCCGTTCCTTCGAAAATGTTAAGACTACATATAGCTGACAGACCGCGACAATACTCACCAGGTGTGATACAATTGCTGTCAAATGCCTTCTCGTCTGGTAACTTCTCCCCTTTCCGCTCCGCCTTTTCCCTCACTTCCCTTGCCTCCTTCGCCGTCCGGAACCGACGACTTCGCTGCTGGTTCATCTTGGCACGCGGCGCGACGCCATCGACGGCCATGAAGAATAACTTCTTCGGCTTGATTTTCCCGAACAGGTGGTCCACATATGCAAAGATAGATGTGAATATCTCCCTCTCGGAGAGGCGGAAGTGCGCATCGCCATCATTGGGATGAGAGCCTAAAATTTTTGCTTAGTTATGAGAGGGTGACGCGATCGCGATGTACACCCACAATTGTGAATAATCCCATTGAAGTCAATGTACAAGTTGTCTGTGTGCGAAATGAGCAGTGGAAGAGCATAGGCCAGCGGGGTAAACATACCGAATTCGGGTATCTTGTTTTCTTGAATCAATTGCGATGTCAACGGGTATCGCTCCCTGAGAGTATTTCAGACAAGGTTCATACCGTAAGATATTGACACTCACGAAATATATCTGAAAAACTAGACAATGCAGGGCGTTAGTGTCGATCGTAAACTTTCTAGGACTGTCCGATGACTAACCTTAGGAATACCTGGAAGCAGAGCGTGATCAGTTCACATAGCGCAACGAGCTGGCTGGTCCGCTGCTCACCCATTATGCAGGGTGCTTATGATACGGTGGCAGATGTGGTGAATGAGCAAGGCGTCGGCTTCTCCTGAACGGGAAACGCACGAAGGCTGCAAGGCACTTGCCTTCTTTGCATCACGTGACGCCCGCACGACGATCGAGGCCACACAGAGCCGCGCTGGTGACCACAGCGAGAGACCGCGAGTCCTCATTCAACTGAGTCGCCTGCAGCCTGCAGCAGAGGGTCAACTCCCTGCCAGTGCCTCAGCCTGCTATTTAGACTGCATTTTCGCCACCGAGTTGCACCCTTGCTTCCGCACCTAGAATGATATCTCAGCGTGAGCCTGTCCCTGGACGCTAAAACCGACTCTTCGACGTATCTTTTATCGCTTGCTATCGGACATTCGAATCAAGAGGAATTTCTTATGTCGGGCTGATATATAAACTGCTGCTCTCGAGCTCAATTGCTCTATTGCTGATGCCAGTTATGAAGTAATGTTCGCTATCGTTTAAACGGAATCCGATCTGCGTACTGTCGACGAGTCTAAATTACTGGTGCCATCCTTTGCAACGGCTATGAACTTATTGCCTTGCATTCCGCTCCTTCACGGATCACAAGGAACATCGCCGCGGCGCATCAAGGCAATGTCCGGATTCTCATGGACGTCGAGCAACTTTTTCGACTTCGCCAAGTCCCTGATCGCTGACAATCCAACCTCGCACGCTGGTTCTGGACTGTATTCCATCGGGCTGCGCGAACGACGTGATTTTTGCACGGATCACTGCTATCTGCCACTCGCTCACGCAATTCGCAGTGTGGGCCGCGTCATCAACTGCACTCCGACACCCGGGCCGTATGGTGTGACCAGGCAGGATTTTGATGTTCATCGTCTGGACCGACATAGATATCATTCAGAGTTTCAGACGGCGTCGATATTGGTCGTACAGGCGTTCAGAACTTCAGATAACGGTGCTCGCACGCAAGGCCTTTATCGCGGTCACGTGTGGTGTGTCGCAATACACCCTTCTACTCGCGTTTGGTTCGCGTGAACGATCCTCTGACTCCCTCGGAATTCATTTTGTATAAATTATGGAGGGCGTTCCCGGTGAAACACAGTGTCGTCTGCATAATGGCTCCCGTCGCAACAGCTGAGAACGTCGCCTCCACCAACGGTCCCTCGAACGGTTCTGAGGCTCATCCCCTCAAGGCCGTCTCGACGAAGGTCTTCAACCCTTTCTACTCTCCCTCGGCTGGCGACTTCGATGACAGCGAAGGTGACGCTGCGTACGAGTTCGCGAAGTACAAGGTACCGTAACTTGCCGTGACACATATTTATTGCGATCTGATCTTCGCCGATATCAGCCTTACTTCCCTGATGTGAAGTGGGCTCCTCTTAAGGAGCAGCCCATCATTGAGCGCGCCCTCCTCGCTGATCCGGAGAAGAAGAGCCTCCTCTCCGCCGCTACGAAGATCCAACACTTGACGCCTGCCCTTGGTACTGAGATCTCCGGCATAGATCTCCGGCAGCTGACGGACCAGCAGAAGGACGAGCTGTGAGTCTCATTCACACTTGATCGACCAGCATTCTAACCAGCTCCTTCAGGGCTCTCCTTATTGCTGAACGGGGAGTTGTCTGTAAGTCCTTGTGCTCCTTATCGTGTGTTTCAGGCTCTGAACTCGAATCAGTCCTTCGGGACCAGGAACTCACTATCCAGGAACAGCTGGACCTGGCGCGCCATTACGGCCCTCTCCACAAGCATGCGAGCACTCCTGTGCCCAGAGAACCTGGTCTCGAGGAGGTGCACGGTGCGCATATCCCATCACCATCTTCCTCTTCGACCTCATATCCGTTCATGCAGTTGTGTACAACGATGCTTCCCGCCGCCCCGACCCGACGGCGTTCAGCAAGCTCGAGCTCTGGCACTCAGACGTCTCCTATGAGATCCAGCCCCCCAGCATCACCTCGCTCAAGGTCATCGCGGGTCCTCCGTACGGTGGCGACACACTCTGGACCTCCGGGTGAGTTCCTGTTTCTGACTTATGCCAGGTCAACCAGCTGACCCGCTCTCAGCTACGCACTCTACTCCTCGTTCAGCCCGGGCTTCCAGAAGTACCTCGAGGGGCTGTACGCCGTGCACAGTTCCCAAGCGCAAGCGGACGGCTCGCGTGCCGCAGGCCACCCTCTTCGTCGCGAGCCTATTGACACCGTCCACCCTATAGTCCGAGTCAACCCCGCAACGGGCTGGAAGGCCATCTACGTGAACCCCGGTAAGACACTCCAACCCCACCAACAAGAGCGTAACGCTGATGGGGCCACTATCACTCCCAGGCTTCACCCGTCGCATCGTAGGCTTGCCAAAGGCAGAGAGCGACGCCATCCTGACGCTCCTCTTCCGCCAACTTGGGTATGTCATCTCACATCTCTACTCTGGGCTATCACTGACGTCAATCACCTCCATCAACCAGCGAGAACGTCGACTTCCAGGTCCGCTTCCACTGGGAGCCCAACTCCATCGCGATCTGGGACAACAGAGTAAGTCTCGTGCACCTCCGCCGACTTCAGAGGGATGCTAATTAGCCTCATCTGACTTAGGCCGTCACGCACTCTGCCACATTCGACTTCTGGCCTCACACCCGGCACGCGCTGCGCGCGACACCGCACGGCGAGCGACCGATATCTGTCGAGGATTACGAGCGCCAGGGCAAGGTGGCGAAGGACAGGCAGATCGACCTCTGGACGCAGCAGGGCATCCCGCTGCCGGCAATCGCGGACGCCAGCGTGAAGCCGCGCGGGTACAGCGACTGAGGGAGGCGGCTAGCGTCGAACTAGTGTTAGCGAAAAAAATGAATATAACATGTGTACTTGAGCAGGAGGGGACTTGCGGCCCCGCCTCATGGATCAATCTTCGTTCGTTTCAGATCTATAGATCATCGTCGATCCTGCCATCTGCCACTCCATCGCAGCAAGATAAGATCCTTATCCGATATCCAGTAGGATGCACGCAATAATGTTTTCATTAAATATGGTAGGCCATACAGTATGTAACAGTGAGGCGTTGCAGCACGAGGATGTCGTAATTCATACAAAGAAAATGGAGGCGGAGATAACCTCGGAACATGCAATGGATCGGTCACAGGAGCACACCACTCCACAAGCCCAACATGGCAAGACGGGGATGAGACGAGTTCAGCCGTATCTTCGCATATGGCATACATCGAGTCAAGTTTTTCATCAACTTACTGAGGAGATGCGCGAGCATGTGATGGAGGATGCGACGTTCGCAAATATGACTGGTGATCCGACGAATAGCCAGTCCTCCCTGACGATGCGGAAGTCATCCAAGGCGGAGGAGGCACGTTCACACTGGTTTCACTGTGAGTAACCGAAGGCGGCGGTGGAGGAGGCATCATCTGATGAGGCTGTCCAGGTTGAGGCGCCGGTCCCACCGGCATCAGCTGGTAAGATCCTTGGTGAGGATGTGGAGATGGATGCCCAGGATGATGCATCGGTGGCGGGGCCTGCTTCTGTTGATCATACGACGGAGGATGCACGACTGCCGGGCTTTGTTGATGTGAAGGTTGCGGCTGAGGTTGAGGACGAGGAGGCTCAGGCTCAGGATCGGCCGGCCCACGATTCGATTGTGTTGACGCGCGCAAGGTCTGCAAGTCAATCGGCGCTGTCTTCCCATCTGCACCTTTGTCACGCTTCCGCATAAGTTTAGCATAATCTATCAAGATCATCTCAGATAGCATTCTATTACTGAATCCCGATGAACTCACGCAGGCCACATGCATTGCATAGCGTCCTTGCACCATCCGGCCCTCGCCTCCACTCCGGAGTCTCGCGGATGTTGCACGAGTGACACTTGCCTGGAGGGGTAGCGCGCTGATCACCCTATCTTTAGCGAATCCACTATAAGTGAGACCGCAACGCGACTTACACTGCGTTTTCTATATTTGCTCTTCGGCTGTCCAGGGGCAGCAGCGCTAGTGCTGGTCGCCCGCTTACTGCGGATGATTTCCATGTCGGCCTCAGCGGTGGACCTGTCGGCGATGTCCGGATACTGTCCTTGACCCTGAGAAAGATTTGAGCAGAATCAACTCCCGATCCAATCGGCATCGTCCAAATCCGCACTTACATCGGCGTAGCCATTGCTCGAAGCGGGATTCCCATCGTCTTCCCATGGTCTCTTGGGAGGACGTGCGTGCTCTTCTGCAGGACTAGCTCCGTTAGGTTGGGCGGACACAGCCTCTCTGGGAGCCTGCTCCTCTGGGCCTCCAAGGCGCCGCAAGTCGTCCAACAAGCTGACTACCGCGTTGGCGCGCCAAGTCATCTCTTGAAGTTCAGGCTGTGATGGCACTGCTTGCGGTTGAGTGGCCTGCAATTGAGCTGCACGAACGAGCTCAGATAACAGACAGAAGACATTAAGGATGGCAAATTATACCATAATGTGCGGCAAACTGGTGCAAATGGTAACAATGGTCATAGATCTAACCGAGAGTAAGTCAATTGCTTTGAAACTTCGAGCGGATGATGAATTGACCGTGCCAACCTGGGACAACGCCCTTTGGCGCACGTTAGCTTTCTCTGCGTCGGTTTGAGGCGGCATATTGACACCACGAGGATCTACAGGGACTTGCACAGGGGGCGGGGCTCTCGGAGGGAAGGGTGCATATTGACGCTGCGCTTGAGGCATAGGAGGCGGCGGCTGCTGCCAATGTTCAGGAGGAACAGGTGCCGAATAGACAGGAGGGGGAGGGTGATGAGTCACGATAGGCGGAGGGGGAGGTGCGACTGCATAATGCCGCTGCAAAACGTGAGGAGGCGGAGGATGAGCGTAGTATCCCGGGGGTGGTGGGTGGATGTAAGCGCCAGGCTGATGAACAGATTCATGATGCGGAGGCGGCGGCGGCGGCATGGAACCGGGAGGACCTGATTGATATCCAGGATGCGGAGGCGGAGGCTGTGATGCGTAAGAAGCGTGCTGAGGGTACGAAGCCTATATCGCGACAAAGCGTGCCCGATCGATGGACGATTAGTTACATCGCGCGGCACACCTCACGGGAGAAGTGGTGCTTACGTGAGAGCGTTCCGGAGAGACGCTGGGATTGACACCTGACTCGGGATGAGGGCGTTTCATAGGATTTTGAGGCGCGTCACCGCGAGGCATACCTGGCCCGGAACCATTTGGTCCTGCCATGCCTGCTCCGCCTTGCTGGTGTGCAGGCATAGAAGGGCTGGCGTAGTGCCCCTCTGGCTGCTGGAGGTACTGCGTCTTAGGACTTTCATGCGGCGCTGACCCATTTGTCTGATGTTGCGGGGGCGGCATAGAAGCGCCCGCATTAGCGCGACCCCAATTCGTGGAATCATGTCGAGGGCGCGAGTGGTCGGGCGCCGTATTGCCATTTGGCGCGGATTGTGCATCTTGGCTGGGAGGAGGGCGATACTGAAAATTCAGGTCCTTTAATGACGGCAAGCGCACGTCATTCTGCAGCATTGGGGGCGGCGGGTGCGAGTACGAATGCTGAGGTTGGTGAGCCGAGGCCATGGATAAAGATTGTGCAGCAGAATACAATGTCTGGTGTAGCCAAGGCCGTCGTTTATTTGCTTGCCTTCGGTAGACCAGATCTACAACTTCAAGGGGGGTCAATGAGTCGAAAATGTGATAAATATCGGCGACACCCACAAGGTGAAGACCGGGAAGGCTATGAAACACCACAGAGAACGGAGATAATGGGTATGAGGGGCAGGGCTGCAAAATCGACGGAAGGATCTGAGTGGGTCGAGGAGGGAAAGAGGAGAAAGGCAAACGAGGACAAGAGGAACGCGAGAGAGATCATCGACGGAATCTGGTCGGAGTTCAAACTTGACGCGCCGAATAGAAATCGGGCGAGATTCGAAAAATAAACTCCGATTCAGAACCTCAGGTCTGGAAGCGCCCGACAGTTTGGCTCAGCGCGGTGCATCCCATCAAAGTGCCACGCCACATGCTGATATTGCTGCTCTCCTGCGCGAATGCTCCATTCCTTGTCGTCGTAGCATAGGGATGCGCTTTCGCAGACGGGCTTTTGGAGATGGGGCCGGGATGGTCTCGGTGAGATCCATCAACAATCTGGGGAACCGGCCATCCGGGAATCTCAAGTGCCCGATACTTAGATCCTTTCCAGTACGTAAATCCGCATCGCGGCACGGGAAATCCACGGTTCGGCCGCGCCGCCCTTCCTCCATCTCCCATCAGCCGCCAAATCGCCCTCTATTGTCAGATCACCACCATCTCCTGATTCCAACCACAGATATCGTCTCTCCTTCCAACGGCTGCCTGGGGAAGGGAATGGCTTATATATCACAGGGCAAGGCGGATCAAGGAGCACCCGGCAGGGAGCCTCAAACCACCCGGTGCAGCCGAGAGAAACTGGAGAGTTGTTTATGCGAGAGGCGCCATTGAGCGTCAGCCCGTGAGGTTGGACCGCAGACTGCCGTTGATGGCCGTCGACGTCCCTGAGCGCGTCAAAGCTGCTGACTACCCAGCCTTCGTACGTCCGCATGGCGATCTCGCATTCGCGATAGTTCGCGATAGATCGCCTTCCCCGACAGAGCACCGCAGAGATCCATCGTCCCACAGCGATTGTGGACAGCCAGCATGCAAGCATCTTACGTCGACTGCTGGCGAACGAATCGTAACGCGTTGAACTCTGTATGGAGCGATACGTCAACTGTATAAAACTGCTTCCGTGGACTTCGAAGAACGTGTGCGTTCAGTGAAGCTTCAAAGACCTCTCACCTGACGAGGAAGTCTCGGAACTATGCGAGAGAGCTTGAACCTGGACCTGCCAAGGTTTTATTTATCGCCTTTCATTTCAGGAAAGCATGCCAAATTTAACGCGACCTGATCAGCCAGAACAACCCAGCGGCAATGGGCCCCACTGACGGTCTTGATCGTCATAGGCTCTGGAGCGGAAGACAGAAACAACATCCGTGGACTCTGCACGACTGCTGGCTATATGCACTAAGTTCGCAGCCATGTGAGACGCCGGTTCCTGGGAACAACGTCGATGCCAAAACTGTCATGGCTTTCGCCTGCTGCGCGAAGCGCGATGAAACACTGTCCACATGAGGTCGAACCCTGGTGAAAACGGAAGATAGGTCAAGAAGGCGGCGAAAAGTGGGTGCACCAAGTGCCTTGGCATGCCGCCCCCATCACAGCAGGCGGTCGGGGTCAAAGCTCCGGCCGCTACAAACACAACTATGGCTCGCAGACGGCCATTTCTGCAATGGCTCAAATGTGAAAGCCCTATGCAGAGGACGACGCGCAACGTCACAGCAAACGTGTTGTGCCCAGAATTCTGATGCAACCCTTCACCGAAGAGAATCATCGCACCTATTGGATATCCGCTACTTTGTGTTCGGGAGAAGTGCGAACTCTCGCCGCACTATTTGGAGCGTTCCCACATCGGGACGCCGGGTTCCCCTGTGTCTGACACCGGGTCTCTGCGAGGCTGCATCAGGAATGTCCGTTACCGAGACGTTCTGCGACATATCGGCGCGTCCTTTCTCTGCGCTCCAGCACCTATGAATATGGTTCTGGTCTCATGGGAACGGCTGCGCAGCGCCCAAATGCACTGCTCCTCAAACGTCATTCGTTTGTTGCACGTACCCTGTGTCTGAGTACCATGGAAATAATGATGCGCCACAAGTTGCGGTAATCGGATCCTGCGACTGGCGTTGGAGGGCGCCCATTAGCACGAGGTCTGTCAGCAATCTGCGCGAACAACGTACAAGCTAGCAGGGACGAGGACGATTCTAGCGCGGTGCGATGCTACCGCACCAGATTGCACCTTGTGGGGAATACGCCGTGTCACCCATTGCATCGGGAGGTGCACAATCCAGATTCGGCCGCACTCGAGCACGAGGCCGTTGAATACAATATCGAGATTTTTGTGATCCCTCCGTGTCGGAGACCGACGGGCGCACGCGTGGATTGGCCTCCCGCCAGCGAATTTCAGGCTCCGCCTCGTTGATCGTCGTTCCGTTCAGGAGCTTGATTCATCCTCAGGGCGGCGTCGGGAAACTCCGACACGGCTGGTGTGGAACTGGACTTCCTCCCCAGGAAGCGAACGCGTTGTGCTCGCTACCGCCACCATCAAAGGCTCTTTGCTCTTCCCTGAGACCGCGGTGCTGCCTTAGCCTGATGCATGCATGCCTGCCTCGTCGCACAGCAGCTGTTCTTGATGCTGATGCCTCTTCATCTCATGGTGGTTCTATGCGCTTCCCCGGAAGTTCGTTCGCATTCATGCGAGATGAACGTGTTCGACTAACCTAAAATGACATGAAGCATGTGCCCAACGCAGCGTCTGGCAAAGCGTATCAGGTTGTGGCAGATTCTGACCAAAACGATTCAAGAAGGGAAGTCGGAAGAGGCCGCAGGCTCCTGCCCATTCGCCATGGCCATGCTGCCGATATCGCTGTTCATTGCTGCCGATGAAGGGAGATGCGGTCAGGGCGTAGAAGCAATGCATAGCCACCTTCTGTGATGCATATCACTGCGAGAATGTGGTCATCTCCGCGAACTGTGGAACCATACCATCCAGAGTCGTAATCACCGTTGAAGATGACCTACGTGGAACAGCGCTCTGTTATATCAAATACTCCCCATCGTCTTGGTGGCTGCCATCCGGTGTTATCCACAGTAACGTTATACCGCTCCAAATGATCGACGTCAATAATCTCACGGCCCATTCAATTTCCAGAGTCCCAGCTCATTTTCTTCAATATCATCAATAAGGTTATTCCTCGTGCATGTCAACATACATTCGCGTCTGTAGTGCCGTAGCAAGCATGTTTGATGCAGCAAGCACGCCTCCACGTGTATGTCACTTTGTTCAACCGAGAGCATCGTGGCATCACACGGACGTGAGTGATCTGCCTTCATACTAGGAAGTTGCTGCAACTTTACGTACTTCAGGCTCCGCCCGTATGTTCTGCATCCGTTCTGGCATTAAGTAGCGTGAAATGCCGGTTGCACCCCGTGCGAATGGAAGAGCCCATTAACCATCCGAGCCCTGCACACTGCCTAGCTCGCCGTGTCTTGATCCTTGACGTTCCTTCTATCCGACAGAACGCCGCCTCAGCGTTGTTCTGGCGTATCATCATCGCGCTGACTCGGGATATTGGTGATGCTAGTAGCATTTTTAGCATCATTCTCTTCGCTGAGATGACGACACCGAGGTGAGGTTGAGCCTGCTATCAAATCTTGGCTTTTTTTTACTGAGCGACGAGGGCGAGCTCCCATACGCGTAGATGCACCCCATGAACGCTATCTATCAAACAAGGACAGCCTTTATTGGCTCGCTTTTCTCAGGGTCCTCATCCAGATTGCCGGTAAGTGCTGGATCGCTCAGCTGAGCCCACCCATAACCCCATCTCTGCAAACGGTCTCCATCCTGGCGTTCCACATTGTATGTCCCACCTGGCCTGCTGACACTCTTGATTTCGGTCGCTCCGGTCATAGCCAGCCAAACCGTGTTCTCAACGCTGCAGTGTTCCACATACACATTGACGAGCCCTTGTCTCGGTGACGCCCTTCCGCCGGCAGCCCTGGTTGATGAAATGCTAGCTTCTTTCCGGACGGCAAGTGGCGACTTCGCGGCTGTGTCTCCGCGTTGCATTGTTCGCGGTGGAGTAGCCGATGGCCGCCGACGTGAAGGCTCAGCGTGGACGGGCATCTCCAACGCATGCTTTGTTTTCCAGATCTTCCCGCGTAGCTCCGTGTCCATATCCCGCATGGTGGTGCGCTCGGCTACACGACGTTCTCACGGGATTGTCCCCGTCGACAAATTACGTTCTGCACAACAGACGGCCGCTAAGAAGAGTGTCTCCAAGTGCGGTGCAACACGACCATCTGGTGTATATTTTCGGTGCATCACGACTCGTCCTCTGCGCTGGCCAACCAATCTGCAAGATATCTTTTTGGAATGACCGCATCTTGGAAGACCGGCGTTATGCCATCGACATGCTGTGCTACTCATCAGCGACTAGTGATAATCGTGATACTGACTGATAAGGCTGTACTAATCCCCAGCGCCGATCAAGTTCTTAAGAGGCGAAGTTGATGACCCGACTATGATCAACATCGTCTGTAAGTCCGACCGGGCTGCCTCAAGGTGCCATGAACCTCTAGGCAAGCCTCCGTTCAACTCGTGTGTACGTCTCTGTTTTTGTTCTCCGTGATGCTGATCGTCGAAGGCCCGCGACTAGAAAACACGTCTTCGGTGTTCTTCGGATGAACTATCTGGATCAGCCCATACCCAAGACCGTCTTAGATGCGCAGAAGGCCAAATAGAGGCTGTGGACCGGTTTCATTATCCGTTCCTCCTTCTTTGCTGCGGAGCAGGCTTCTGAGTCTCGAAGCTGGGTATCGCGGAAGTGTGCAAACGCCGTTATTCTAGGCCAGTGTGTGTGCCTCTGCTTCAGCGCGGTACGACAGGAACGCGTGGAGAATTGGTCATTGCTCTATCATGGACTCCTCCACGGTGACGCTGCTTGCTCCTCCACTCGATGATTTCCGCGCGTTATGAGGGGCTCCACAATGAATCAAGATCTGGTCAGACCGCGGAATATCCGGAAACTGCTTTCCTCGGACATGGTCCCCGCTGGTGGATCGTAATGCTGTTCACTTGATGGGGCCTTGATCGGGTGTTGGTACCTCCTCTTCAAGTTGGACAGACTACTTAACAATGCTCGTTTTGCGTCGCTCACCATCTCGGAAAACAACGATGGCGTCATACCTCGCAAGAGATAATGCCCCAAGTGAGATGTCTGAATCATTCTAGGAACAGTTATTCAAGTACGTCCATCCGCGCGGCTATGTCTGATGCGGTTACAGTCTGATGACATCCATCTATTGACCGACAGACCCTTGATACATTGCTGGCGCAGTCCCAGCTCAGCGTTCTCAATGCCCGATGCCCGACAGAGAATACAGCGCCCGTGACTCGGGTCCAAGGGATTTTGGATGATCAATCAATCTCTCGCGTTTGTTCGCATCATTTCGCGCGGTTTCCAGTGCGACTGACAAGATTCACCGAAATCTCGGTGTTCATCCATGTCATACGACGGCGGCCCGAGCGTTCGGGCCATATCACCCAAAGAGCTCTTGCTGTTGTTCTTCCGTGGCAATGCAACATTGACTGGCGGTGCTAAATTGATGTGGATGGTGAGACTGCTCTCTGGCTTTTTCAAAGGGATGTAATGTATTGAAGACAAGGGCCGACAAATGGGGCGACTCCGGTCAATTATCGCCCGCCGCTTCCCTGCAACGGGACGGAATGCCGACGGTCAGATGACGCGACGCCACGGGCGTCTCGCTCAGAGTCCTTGCAAAGATTATGGACACAGGTTCCGAGGATCCCCCGGTATAATGCGCCGTAGCCTGTTATAAGCCAGCTTCGTGCAACATCGGCCAGTCCAAGGTCGCGTCTTGCTCGATCTCCTTCACCACATAGCATCCGAAAGCAGTCCCAGAGATGTCCACCGAAGTCAAGGTCGAGTACGACGCGAAGGGCATGCCTTTCCGGAGGCTGGGACCCAGTGGTTTGCGGGTGCCGCTGTTCTCGCTTAGAAGCTGTAAGCACGTCGACGCATGGAGCTGCAGATAGAAGAGTAATACATTACGCAGGGCTCACCTTGGGCGGATCTGTCCGTGGCGATCCCGTCAGGGTATGTATCATGATTCTGTTGGCCTATCACAATGTAATTGAATAAGGCACTCTCGCAGGATATCATCAAGACAGCCTTTGATCATGGCATCAACATGTTCGATACTGCCGAGGGTTATGCGGCCGGACGATCGGAGGAGGAGATGTAAGCTCACCGGGCTTCACGGTGAACACAATGCTCTCATGCTTATCGATCGTTCCAGGGGCAGGGTGATTCGGGAACTGGGCCTGCGTAGGACGGATCTGATCATTTCTACGAAATTGTTCTGGGGACCGCATAAGTCGCCAAATGCCGCGGGACTGTCACGGAAGCAGTACGTCAGATGAGAGTTTCGTTGGAGATGTTCGTTGCTCACGGTTTGTCCAGTATCATTGAGGGCATGAAAGAATGCCTCCAGCGGCTAGGGCTCGATTACGTCGATGTCATCTTCGCCCATCGTCCGGATCGCACAGGTATGTACGATCAAGCAAAGCATCGAGACCTGTAATGATCGTCAATACACATCAGTTCCTATGGAAGAAACTGTCCGGGCATTTAACTACGTGATCAATCAGGGATGGGTAGGGAAATTGTTATTGATACTAGCACTGCATTGAAATCAGTCGTTCTTTGCAGGCGTTCTACTGGGCAACTTCAGAATGGTCCGCAGAAGAGATCGAGGAAGCATACCGTATGCATTATATCTGCGGCTGAGTTTGACTGTGAATGACCACTTTTCTACCCAGACATTGCCGACAAGCTTGGTTTGATGGGCCCTGTTGCGGAGCAATGTAAACATCAGTACGTCCTGTGGCGCCATCGAATCGTATGCTATATCAACTGTTCTGACACGCGCCTGCAGCATGCTGCATCGGGAGCGCCCAGAGAAAGAATATGCGTGAGTCATGAAGATGCCAATATTATGTATTTAGATCACTAAGACTCTCCTAACCAGCCCCATCTACCGCAAGTACGGTACGGGAACTACGGTGTTCTCCGCTCTCGCTGGCGGTCTTCTGACCGGCAAGGTACGCGTGTTCGAGATCGCCCATGGTTGCTGCTGACTGTTTCGTTCACGACAGTACAACAACGGTATTCCTCCAAACTCCCGTCTCGCTGTGGAGCAGGAGCAGCAGTTCAAGGATCAGGCCGCGATGCTCGCTACCCCTGAAGGCGAGCAGATGCTGGCGAAGATCAAGGCCATCGCAAAGTTTGCGGAGAACGGTACCTGGGGTTAGGCTTTGCCGTCAACTTATACGTTATTTATTCTCATCTCCCAGAACTGGATTGCAAGATCTCACATCTCGCGCTTGCTTGGGTGGCGAAAAACCCCAACACCTCCACGATTATCCTCGGCGCGTCTAAGCCGGAGCAGATCGTCGACAACCTCCGGGCACTGGATGTCCTCCCCAAGCTAACGCCGGAGGTTGTGGAAAAGATCGAGGCGATTTTGGCAAATAAGCCTGCTCCCCAGGTGAGTCCTCGCCTTGTGTTGTGTTGGCTACTAGATATCAACAGTGATTGATGTAGGCGACGTTTGGCCGCCCGCCACTTGATCCATTTGGTAGGCTGTAAGGGCGCTATAGGATGGTCGCGGGGCAGACTAATCGTGACCTGATTATATGTATAAATAGAAGGTCAGAGGCGGTGAAACCCCAGGATGAGGCAGAATGTCCCAGCGATTACTTCTAATAACCACGCGTATACAGCACGCCAGCGTGGCCTCATAACACTCACATGATGGAGCCTCAACTTGGACAGACGACTCAACAATACTTGCTTTGCGCCGCTCACATGTCGGAAAACAGTGATGGCGTCATACCTCGCAAGAGATAATGTCCCAAGTGAGATGTCTAAAATCATTCTAGGAACAGTTATTCAATTAAGTCCATCCGCGCGGCTATGTCTGATGTGGTTACAGTCTGATGACATCGATCTATCGACCGACAGACCCTTGATATATCGCTGGCGAAATCCAAGCTTAGTGTTCTCAATATTCGATGCCCGACAGAGAATATAGCGCCCGTAACTCGGGTCCAGCTTCCAAGGGGTTTCGGATTATCAGTCAATCTCCTGCGTTTATACGGATCATCTTGCGCGATTCCTGCGACTAATAACATTCAGTGAAATCTCGGCGTTCATCAGTGGTCATACGACGGCAGCCCGAGCGTTCGGGCAATCTCACCCAAAGAGCTGTCCTTCCGTGGCAACGCAATACTAAGTCTGGCGGCGCTAAGTTGATGTGGATAATGAGACTGCTCTCTGGCTTTTTCAAAAGGATATGATGACGCATCGCCATCCGAATCTCTTGAAGACAAGGGCTGGCAAACGGAGCGATTCCGGTCAATTGTCACCCTCCACTTCCCTGCAACGGGACGGAATTTGCTGTCGGTTGGCAGATGACGCGACGCCACGGGCGTTTCGCTCAGAAACGCCAAGTCCTTAGTCAACGTCGGCTTGCCCAAGGTCTCGTCTTGCTCGATCTCCTACACCACATAGCGTCCGAAGGCAGTCCTAGAGATGTCCACCGAAGTCAAGGTCGAGTACGACGCAAAGGGCATGCCGTTCCGGAGGCTGGGGCCCAGTGGCCTGCGGGTGCCGCTGTTCTCGCTTGGAAGCTGTAAGCACGTCGACGCATGGAGCTGCAGATAGAAGCATAATACATTCTGCAGGGCTCACCTTGGGCGGATCTGTCCGTGGCGATTCCGTCACTGGCAGGGTACGTATCATGGTTCTGTTGGTCTAGCACAATATCACTGAATAAGGCGCCCTCACAGGATATCTTCAAGACAGCCTTTGATCATGGCATCAACATGTTCGATACTGCCGAGGGTTATGCGGCCGGACGATCGGAGGAGGAGATGTAAGCTCACCGGGCTTCACGGTGAACACAATGCTCTCATGCTTATCGATCGTTCCAGGGGCAGGGTGATTCGGGAACTGGGCCTGCGTAGGACGGATCTGATCATTTCTACGAAATTGTATTGGGGACCGCATAAGTCGCCAAATGCCTCGGGACTGCCGCGGAAGCAGTAAGTCAGAGAGAGCTTCATCTGGGATGTTCGTCACTCACGGGTTGTCCAGTATCATTGAGGGCATGAAAGAATGCCTCCAGCGGCTCGGGCTGGAATATGTCGATATTATCTTCGCACATCGTCCGGATCGCACAGGCATGTACGATCAAGCAAAGTCATTGTGACCTCTAAAGATCGGCAATATACACATTAGTTCCCATGGAAGAGACCGTCCGGGCGTTCAACTACGTGATCAATCAGGGATGGGTAGGGAAATTGTTATTGATACTAGCACTGCATTGAAATCAGTCGTTCTTTGCAGGCGTTCTATTGGGCAACTTCAGAATGGTCCGCAGAAGAGATCGAGGAAGCATACCGTATGCATTATATCCGCGGCTGAGTTTGACTGTCAATGATCGCTTTCCGCTTCAGATGTTGCCGACAAGCTTGATTTGGTGGGCCCTGTTGCGGAGCAATGTAGACATCAGTACGTCTCGTGGCGTCGAATTGAGAGCTAAACCAACGTCCTGACACGCCTGCAGCATGCTGCATCGGGAGCGCCCGGAGAAAGAATATGCGTAAGTCATGAAGATGCCAACATTATGTATACAGATCACTTAGACCCTCTTACACAGCCCTATCTACCGCAAGTACGGTACGGGAACTGCGGTGTACTCCGCTCTCGCTGCCGGCCTCCTAACCGGCAAGGTAATGCGTGTCCACAGATCACCCATGGCAACTTCTGATTGTTTCGTTCACGACAGTACAACAACGGCATTCCCCCGGATTCGCGTCTCGCCGTTTCGCAGGAGCAACAATACAAGGATCAGGCTGCGATGCTCGGTACCCCTGAAGGCGAGCAGATGCTGGCGAAGATCAAGACCATCGCGGAGTTTGCGGAGAACGGTACCTGGGAATATGCTTTGCCGTCAATTTATACGTTATTTATTCTCGCCTTACAGAACTGGATTGCAAGGTCTCGCATCTCGCCCTTGCTTGGGTGGCGAAAAACCCCAACACTTCCACGATTATCCTGGGCGCGTCTAAGCCGGAGCAGATCGTCGACAATCTCAAGGCACTGGATGTCCTCCCCAAACTCACGCCGGAGGTTGTGGAAAAGATCGAGGCCATCCTGGCTAACAAGCCGGCTCCTCAGGTGAGTCTCCGCCTTGTGTTGTGTTGGCTACCGAAGCTGACAGTGATTGATGTAGGCGACGTTTGGCCGCCCGCCACTTGATCCTTTTGGTAGGCTGTGAGAGCGGAATGGGTTGGTCGTAGGGCGGACTGATCGCGACTTGATTATATGTATCAATAGAAGATCAGAGGTTGTGAAACCTATCATGGAGCAGAATTTCATGTTGCTGTGTGTTAATCGCTGTGAAACCCCCTGTAACGAGCGACATATTCGAAATCGTGATGCATATGGCTGTCGTCCGTTATTTACGTATCTGGCGGTTGTTCAGTTGGACGAGAGTGCTCCTCTTTACATGTTTGCATGCCGATCCTGCCTTTCGCACAATGCTGCAGCGATCTTGCGCGAGAAAGAAGTTGACACAGAAAATAAGGAAAAGCATCGAAAAGTAGCAAGATGTGTTGCGTAGCCATTGTGCTACTTCTATAGCCATTGCGCTGCTTCTAATAGCCATTGTGCTCCTTCTATAGCCACGCGTATACAATTCGCATGATAACACGTGAACCGCGTCTTTGCGCTGCCACAATGAGCGCTTCAATGAACCGACCAGGAACCGCACGAATGCAACGTTTTTAACTTGCGACCACCATCATATCTCTGTCGGCCGCCTGATTCCCCCCCAATGGTTGACTTGTCAGCGAAAGACGTCAAGGTGCAGAATTTATTAACTTCTTGATTCGGAGTCTCACCTAATTAACGCAGCCCAACGTGTCTGAGAAATTGTCTGAGGAGGAGTGGGAAGACGAGTCGACGGAGGTTGATGACAAACTGAGCAGCCGTCGATCTCCTGTACCTCCTGGTTTCGGGAGGGCACGCAATTCTCGCCGCAGGAAGGTGGTGCACCGGGCAGTCAGTACTGTCTCTCAGACAGCGACCCCACGAAGGACACCTGGACCTCGCGACGAATCTACTCCTGTGATAGACCGGGAACAAGTCCAACAAGCTGTCGTTACTGGAGCATCGTCTGCGTCCCGGTACTTGTACGATATTCTCTCGCTTGCGTTACGACTACTCCGCAAACCGCTTGGAATACTCCTATTCATCTGGATCTTGGGCGTTCTCTTCACGCGAATGACGCAGACCTTCCGCACGGTCTTCTCGCCATTTTGTATCATTCCCGGGATCTCCAACTCTCCGTTATGCCGCATGCCACCGCCCATCGTTAATCTCAGCCCGAAATGGGCAAACTTCACCCAGCTTGCCGAGATGCAGGGCGCGACTTTCGAGCAGTTGTTGGACGAGTCGGTCACTGGTTCTAGCCTGAGCTTCGAGATCAAGAAAGCAGAGATGGCGACGAGCGATCTTGTCACGCTCGTGCGCCATAGCAATCTGATTAGCAGGGACCTTTTGGCAGAGTCATTGGTCGATTTTGTGGACGACGCAAGGAAGACAGGACGAGACTTGCACAAATTGAGCTCGAAGATCGGAGGAGCAGTGGATAGGTGACTGCCAACATACATATGACATATTATGTCCATGTGCTGACAAACACGAAGTATCATGGCTGTGAACAACTACGCAATCCGCGCCATCGAAGCAGCGAACGAGAAGCCCCCATCATCTTTCTTGAAGATTTGGCCATTCGCGTCCTCTGTTACCTCTGCTGTGACACGAGCGATCGTCCTGCAGACGTTCGCGGACTCCATGGACGTCTCCGCGAGTCAGATTCAACGAGTCATCCTCGAGGCCGAGGTGAACCTCGTGAACCTCGAACGCCTCGAGGAGCACCTCAAGACTGTCCACGAAGTGATCAGTCGCGAGAACGGTACTGTCACGGCTGCGCAGGATGAGCTGCTCGCGTCGCTGTGGACGTCGCTCGGTGGAAACAGGCGCGAGCTGAAAGGGAAGAAACAGCATCTCGTGCTGTTGAAGGGACTCGGAGCGTACCGCAGACGGGCACTCGCACATGTCACGGTTGCGCTGCAGACGCTGCATGCCTTGAGTGCGGACCTGGAGGAGCTACGTGAGAGGGTGGCTGCGCCGGAGATCCTTGGCGAGCAGATACCTGTGGAAGTGCATATGCAGGCTATCCAAGCCGGGCTCGATCGCCTGAAGGAGGGACAGACGAAGGCACGAGAGAGGGAGGCGGTGATTTTTCGTCGTCTTCTCGGTTCAGGTGCACCGGAGTTGGATGGATGACGTTGTACTAATACCCGTCGTAACGATCTCTTGAGTCGCTCTGCTTTTTCTTGGAAGTTCTCGGTACTGAGCGATGTATCTATGCAGGCAATCATTACCGATAAGAGTATGTACGAGTTCGCGAATGTTGTAATTGGATGTATGTTCCCGCTACGTAAGTAGTGGGTTTTTTCGTTCGTCGACTCTTCCGCCAAAACTCGGGTCCTGCCCTAAAGTCGTCGATGGAGCGTGTACGTCATTGCCGAACCGTGCCGTCTCTTTCTCGCATACACTAGCCTTTGCGTGCAGTCTGATTTCTTCTCGACATGTCTGCTCTCAATGGCTCGCGTCGTCGTTCAAGGCTCCGCGAAATCGAAGAACGTTTTCACGATAATATAGTCAATTTACGTGCCTTTTCTGTTTCTACATTATGTTCCACTCAAAAGTAACCTACCTAACCACCTGTTACATGAACTACCGATTCTAGGGTGTCTACTCACGAACATAATGTATGCGAAGTGTTCCAAATCCCTCCTCGCCCCATCTCATTATGTGCAGAAATATATCTTTTGCACATGAAACACCCTAACGAACCTTACTCTGCGGGTTGAGTGTTTTGCGCCAAGCGCCGGCTGGCGCAGTAAGCGCGCTCGACGTAGCGGGCGCTGCCGGCACCGGCCCTACCACCTTTTATGATATCGTTTCGTAGGAAGACGGCCGATAATTATGAATATTTGTTGCAAGGTTACTCTATCCCGTTGACGTTGTCTCAGAGACTCGTAGGTGCATCTCCCTTCTGTTAATTATCACGGTTGGATCTCAGTTGTGCATCTCAGTCGAGAGTCAACATTCAACTAGTGCACGCGTGCACGCCGTAAAACCTGGGATGAACGGCCATTGTATGTGAATTTGTGATCAGAGGAACATGGGCGCCGGTACCGTTCCAGGCAAAAGCTCACGGTCTGTATGCTAGTCGCATGCGAACGGAACGAACGGCGCAAAGCCGGCGAACGTCCTCCAGACTTTTATCAACGCATCCGCCGCGTAGCGCTGGGCATCGGCGCCGATAATGGACACTGTGGATGTAAGGTGCAACATGCTATGGAACCTCGCGAAGGTGTCGAAGACCCGGAACAAAGTGTGTCCTGTGCCTGCCGCCATAGACATCGACCACTGCATACACATGTACACGTACATCCGACCACAGCGACGCCTGTTGCACGTGCGTCAGCGTCCCACAAATTCATTGACGTCCACACACCGTTCGCCGTGCGGCGCACAGGGAAAAGGCTGCATTTTTCAGGAGTATCAGACGCCACACTGGACCACTTGATCGTGCAAGGTCGACCATTTCGCGTCATCGCCCTCGATGCAGCTGATTGTCTGCATTCACAATTACATTGATGATCCAACCGTCCCGGCTAGTCTACATGCGAGGAGGCGGTCCTTGTCCTTGAAAGTGAGAGTTAATCACGAGCACCGCTCCGTCCCGCGAAACCGCGCCCTATCAAGCCACAACCACCACCACCGCCCCGCTTTCCCCCCACCACATGCACATGCATGCACACCTCCCACCTATCCCCCTCAAGCTCCAGGACCGCGCCCACCCATACACCTCACTGTAACGCCGACGCCGACGCCGACACGCACTTCCATTCCGTTCCAAATCCCCATTTCGACTCGTATGTCATCTGTCGCAGCGTGCCTGGGCAGGCACAAAGCTGTGCCCGGTGGCACCGGGCACTCAAGTTGCTCAAGCTCAAGCTTCAAGCTCCAGATTCCTGATGCAGCAGGACCAGCATGGGATCTCTGGCAGGGCTTACCCCGACGACCGTTTGTGCGATCCCCTCGGGCGCGAACCGGTGCGCAGCGGCAGCTCGCATATGATCCTCCGCCGCTTTGGTTTGTCGAGTGGCTAGGACGGATGGGTTCCGCGCAGATGTCTGAGTCGCTTGTGCTATAGACGCGGGACCCACGCCGAGCATTCCTGCCGGACCTTTGCGTGTTACGTCGCGCAGAACTACGCCCGAATCTTTACGTCTGACATCTTGTTGGGTCGTCAGGTAGGGGCACGGTGGGACGGGCATGGGCGCTCGTCATCAGCATCAGTATGCGTTTCCGTCTCTGCCTCCGGACGTCTCTCCTTCTCACATCTCTCGCATCTTCCACGCACCAGATGGTGAAGATGGTTTGGTATGGGAGTCCTTGCGGGGGAACGTCTCGGGAGGTGATGCGATAATCGCTAGTACCCCGGGGCTATACATAGTTGGCGCTAGAAGGTGTCCGGTAGTTGATTAGATTACAGCGACGCGAGACCGTCACGAAGCGAGGTATTTTGCGGTCCCACCGCTACACCGCGAAATCTTTTCAGAAGATTTTAGTTGGGCTGTGGGCGATGGATGGGTTGCGCGCGCGGAGAGTTTGGTAGCGTCGTGAGTCCGTGTACGCCGGGTACGCGCGAGAAGGGAACTGCGCTGAGCTCGCGAACAGCCGTCGCTTCCGTCGTCTTCCGTGCCCCGCGTCAGATGCAGACGCCACGGTCCTCCGAGAACCGACTTGCCAAGATCAGTTCATGGAGAAGGGGGTGTAAGACTTACGTACCACGCCGAGTAGTCTGGGGACACGCCAGTGAGCAGTATCCATATGGACGTGACAGCTCGCGCGAGAGGAAGGGGGGGGGGGGCTTTGCCCACCACTGGGGTGCGGGCGATAACACGAGGCTCTCGCAGCGCGGGTCCGGCGCGGAGGCGGAAGGAGGGGCATCTGTTCGGAGAAGCATATGCGCGCAGGGCGACATATGATGCTCACGAGAACACACGCATTTCTCCGATCTGGGAGAGCTGCATCGGAAGTGGCCGGTGAGGGCGGCTTGGTCGCTATGCGCCATGTGCTGCGTCGTCCGTGTGAGTGAGTGGGCTGCGAGGAGGAACAAGCGTCGTGGCCTGAGAGAGGACGAGGACAGCTGCAAAGGATACATTGAAAGAAGGCTGATTAGATTTCGCAGATTGGAACGCGCTATCCCGATAGAGGCAACTCGTCTCACCAGAGCCCGCCTCTGAAAGACAATAAGCTCCCTCTCACCCATGGCTCCTTCCCCGAACATCGCCCGCTCCTATACCCCCTCCCGCTCGCCAAACTCGCCATCGCCGGCACTGCACCCAGCAGCGCGCACCGCGACACACGCACCGTGCGGACACAGGCTGCGCGTTCCCGCTGCGCTCTGGCCACCCGTTCTAACAATACTCATCACAAAAGAGCGGCGGCCCTGTCCACCCCTCCTTATTGTTCTCCACGCCAAACTTTCTGCCTTTCTGTCCCGCCAGCCGTTCATCTCCGACCCATCTGCAGTCGGCTATCCCAAGAGGATAGTCCACCCACGTCGCAATCCTGGCGCTTGGAACGGGAGGTCTCGTCTACGGACCTGCTGCAGGTCAGATCCTTCAATCCCACCTCACCGCCAGCGGGATGATCGCCGTCTACAATCTCGACAATGGGGTGCGCATCGTCTCTGGGTTGGTCGTGCGACGTATCCTGATAGCATTCTATAGGGCGGTCCTGGCACCGGTGCCCTCGGTGGGCCTCCAATGCAGCATGTACGTATCGTCGTCTCTCTCTCCGGGCTCCTCTCACCCCCGGGCTCAGAACTACAAACGAGCAGTATACCGTGCTGCCCCACAAGCATTCTCCACAGAGGTCCTGCCGCCCACCAAAGTCGGTGCGTGTATTACACTTCCCCTACCATGACCACATCTCACATGGCACCCAGGCAGCAGCTTCGCGTACGGCCTGCGCATCTACCCCATCACAGGCCCCGAGCTCCCCGACGACCAGTCCGGGCAATCCAGCGGCTCCAGCGGCTCTATGCACACCGAATACGACGTCTGGCGCCGCTGGGAAGACTGCCTCTGGTTCCAAGAGATCATCGAGGAAGAGTACGAGCAAATGGCGCGCGCAAAGCGCTCACGGCTCGCCGCAGGCAAGGGCGTGAAGAAGAACGGCGTGTACGTCCACTCGGACCAGGCCGCGTCGTTCGAGTCCCTCCCGCCGGGCCCCGAGGCGGCCAGCATCGCCAAGGGCATCCACGAGATCATCCCCAAGCTCACCAAGAAGGGCACGTTCTTCCGCGCGAGCCAGAGTACCGTCGACCAGCGCGGACGCGAGTTCTGCGCGATGATTCAGGCGCTGTTCGCGGATGACGTGCCGACGCTCGTCAGGGAGCTCCGCGAGACCCGGCTCGTGCGCGATTTCTTTGGGTACTGGCGCCGCGACAAGGACCTTGAGCGTAAGCGCAACGTGCGCCCGGCCTCGAGCCCGGGCGCGGGCGCGAAGATGGGCGTGCGCAGCTCGTCCGCGAGCACGATGAGCATGTACTTCTCCGCGTCGAACCTCTCACTCGCCATGGCCGAGCCCCCACCAAGCCTGCCCCGCTCACGCCCACACACCAGCCCGAGCGCGCCCATGCCCGCATCCGCGCCTCCCGACCTCTCCGCCTCCTCATCCAGCACCGGCAGCCTCTCGCCCACGACGCCAACGCAGGAGATCCCCGCACCGATGCACTTCTCCGTGTCGGACCGCGGCTCGCTCGCCCTCGCGCACCCGCCCTCCGAGGACGAGCTCCAAGCGCGGTACTCTATCGGCCCGCGCAGCGTCTCGTCCAAGATGTCGTCTCTGCGCTGGTCCCGCGCGACCTCGAAGCAGGACGGCGCGGCGCTCATCGACGACCTTCCATTCGTGTTCGTGCCGGAGTCTCAGGGCTACCGCGATGAGAACCATGGCGGGCTGCAGTCGCTGCCTGAGGATCAAGAGTATGTGCCAGAGGTGAGCGGCCTGACGGCCGCCGCGCGCGACGCGCCCCTCCCCGCCCGCAGGCCGCGCGGCAACTCGTGTCCCGAGCGTGACAACCGCAACGTTGCCGTCTACGTCCCTCCATCGTCTCGCTCGCAGGTACAGACGCAGCCCACCGCCTCGCGCTCGCGCTCACGCCCATCTTCACCCGCGCCGTCCACCGCCGCCGTCGTGGAATCCGCACGGCCGGAATCTGTGCTCTCGGACGTGTCGCTGCGCTCGTCCTCGGGCTGGCGCGACTCGGTGGCGTCCGACTTGAGCGTCGCGACGGAGATCGCGTCCGGCATGCCGTGCGGAGCCTATTCTGAGAATGGACATGAGGGCACGGTGCGCGCGCGTTCGTCAGGGGTGTATCGGCATGCGGCGCGTGCGTCGGTTGCGACGATGAATTCGCTCATGTCGGGGTACTCGGTCGATGCGGTTTTGCCTAGGAGGGCGTCGCCGCCGCCGCCGCCGCCGATTGCACGGCGGTCGCAGCTGCCTGTGGGGTCGCGTCGGCCGGTGACGGTGAAGCTGGTACCGCGTGAGGAGGTGTGGTGTGAGGCGCATGAGGAGCTGTTGGATGCTTATTTTGATGGTGGGTCTCTTAGCTGTGCGCTGACCGTTTGAGGCTGATTTGAGTTGTTCGTGTAGAGATGAGCCTCCGCTCGGCATCCCCTGTAGACTCGGCGTACCGCTTCCCGCGGGAAGAGACCTCAAGCAGACTTGGCGAGCGCACCATCGCGCCGTCGTACGCACCCAAAGCCTCGCCGTCACCCCAGCCCTCACTCACCCCCACCGTCTCCACCAAATCCAACCCACTAAACCCCGACTCGATCACCGTCAAAGCGATCCTCGACGACTCCATCGTGCTCGTGCGCGTGTCCTGCTCCATGTCCTTCCTCGAGGTGCGCGCGCGGATCCAGGAAAAGTTTGCGAACCAGGAGGGGATCCCGCTCCCGGATAGGTTCGCCATCGCGTATGCGCCGCCTGTTGACCGCGCTAGGTATGCGCGCGGCCGTGCGCGTTCGAATTCGGCGTCGACGGTTGGGAGTGGGCAGGTGCAGCCGTTGCGGTATATCGCGTCGGATGAGGAGTGGCATACTGCTGTTGTGGGCTGCGCGTCCAAGCTCACTGTTCGCATCTTCCAGTCCCGGAATTAATCTCTCCCATCGTGTTGTTGTTAATTAGGTTGTTGATGTCCACCCTTACGATTATTCATGACTTCCTCATGCTGCACCTGCTCCTCTGCTGTGCTTAGTCTATTCCGGGTGTACTGTACATCTTCGCATTTTGACATAATGTAGCTGTTGTGACTCGTTATTTTTACCTTGGTATTTGTTTGTAGCGTTGGTGCTTGCTTGGAATCTTGGGACTGTTTACGTCTTCTCGAATAGTTGTTGCAACACGTACTGTTTCGCGTACGTACATAGACAGGGCTTGCAGGCCCAAATGAAAGAACTGCGTAGATTATATAAAGTCGTTCATGCGCCAACTTCGGTCTGAGGCGGGTTGGGAACGCTAACATGGGAAAGAGCTCGCGGCGCGGGCGGCGCGCCAACGGGCAGCGGTATCCTCGTCCAATCCGGCAGAAGAAGAGTCGGCGACCGTCCTGGATCCAGGACGCCACCCAAACCGTCACCATCGTCCTGTACACCTGCCTCGTCCCATTTCTCACGCAAAATCTCCGGACCACCCGTCTTCAGCGCTCTGCCCACCAACATTATCAGCCAACGATCAGTCCCAAGTGACCACTCGAGATCTGTCAAACGTGAACGTACCCAGCGAGGGAACCGCCGATCCAGGCCATCATTGCTGGAGTGAACGCGGGCGCCTTGCCTGCGTTGGCGCTGCTGCTGACGGAGGCTGGCGCTGGCGGGGAGGGGTTGTTCAGGATGGCGAAGTGGCTGGCGAGGGCTCTGAGTGAGGCGTAGCGGTGGTATGGTTCGTACTTTGGCTGGCCCGGATGACTTGAGGGATGGGAAGCTGGAGGCGATGGTGTCGACACTGCTCGTACGAGTTCTGCTTGTAAGCGTGGGATGAAGCCTGGTAGCATGGGGGTGCCGCCGACGACTAGGATGGATGATGCGAGGGTTTTCCGGAGGTCGATTGGGACCTGCGCGGGGATGGTTGACCAGACGGTGTTTCATGGTGCACTCGGGCGTACCTTGAGAAGAGAGTCAAGTATGACTTCAGCGACACTGCTCTCGTCCACATCGCCTCCCTCAAACAGCACCTCCGCGGCCCGCTCTCTAATCCAACCAGGGATAATCAGCGTCCCCCTACCTGTTCCCGTCTGCTGCGACGCAGGCGGGTCAACTCGCATGTGCAAGTCGGTTGCCGTCGAATGCCGCTTGTACATCGTAGCGAGTGCCTGCAGGTGGCTCTCTCCAGGGCGAGGCTGGTCCGGGTTGGGCACCTGCGAGTGCGAGACGACGGAGAACCCTGAGGACGCGGCCTGCTGCGACGAGACGTTGCTCTCAAAGTCCGCAGAGACGCGGGAGAACTCTGACTCGGACATCGCTGGGTCGCTCGGGGGAAGGTCCACATCCATCGGGTCATCACCGGATGAAGATAAGGCGCGAGATTCCGCGTCGAGTGCGTCGCCGACGAAGCAGCAGCGGGTCTTGACTTCTTCTATGACTGCGTCTGTTAGGACTTCCTCTGGTACGCGCATGGAGCGTGTCGCGGCAGGGATGTTTGCTGCAGCGCTTAGCGATGTTGGTGGTGGGAGGTAAGTGCCGAAGAGCAGGAGGAGGGCGCGTATATGTGATGACAGGCGCATGCCAGCGAGAGGGGTTGTTTGCAATTGTGGGAACAGTGGCCGGGAGGAGTATATCTGCTGGGTTTTCAGCACAAAGCCGCGAAGGTCCGAGTAGAACTCACTGGCAACACTGTTGACTCCAAATGTCCACAGTCCAGTACGAGTCCTGTCAGGCGTCCAGCCGCCAGCAAGGCTAGCAGATGGCTGGAAGCAAATGATACGGAAGGGACCTGGTGTCTTCATGAAGGAATGACAACATAACATGATAGACGTTCGCACCTGCAGATTCTCAAATAACAGTCGTGCGATCATCTCTTTGAGGTACATCGGTAACAGCGGATGCTCCACCAGAATCACCTTACGCGACTTCGGGTCCGTCATCAATGAGCTTAGAGCAGTCCATGAGCGACACAAGGCATGTCAATAACACAGACGTACTGATGAAACACTCTACGTAAAGATGTCTGCAACCGCGCCTCCAACATCCTCTCCTCTTCCTCCCCCTCCGCAGGCTTCATCGAGCGACTAAGCGTCCACAGCGACATTCCGCACTGTCCAGCAGCAAAGAACGCATCCCTAGGTTTTCCCTCTCCGCTGAAGCCGACCTTCCAGATGTGTGAGCCCGGGTCTATTATGATGCGATCCTCGGTGCCATACAGCGAGTGCCGCCGTGTCGTCTGGTAGTGCGGGGATGCCTGGAGCGTGTGTGACGACGAGGCCCGGGTTGCTTGTGAGGTGCTTTCCTGATCATGGCTGCCTTGCCTCCGAGGTGTGGCTGGGGTGCTGGACATCGCTGTAAGTGGTTACTGGACGCAGTGCACGGTATCTTGAATGTGGTCACTGGTAGCAATAAAACGACCAGGATCAAGACCGGCTGAGACGAATTGCTCTAGCAAGATCTTTTCAACAGCACAGAATCAGCAAAGCAGAGATGAAATCCAATTTCGGCGGAGCCCTAGGACAGGTAGTGCAGTCGCTTAAGCTCGCCACACCAAGAATCTAACCGCGTCCCCCTAGACACGACCACGTGACATCTCATGATGGCCACAAGCGCGACGGCAATGCGCATGGTGCTCCACATCATCCCATTTAGACTTTCATAGTCAAGCAAAGTTGTGAAAATGACCTGCAGCAGGACATATTGGATTACATTCTTCCAACGCAGCAGTCCGCATCTCACTGATTGCTCACGCTGGTGCGTACACGCGTTCGTACATATTATACGGCCTACGGCTCGAACCGTGCACGCTGGCATTACACATGAATATCTAGCAACAGTCCATACATGTCCATTGATCCAGTTATGCAAAGCTCAAAATCTCCGTAAAGTTCCCAAGAGCAATCGCCTTCAGTCTCTCAAAGTCAGGAGTGCCGAAGCCCGTCATCGGGTCCCACCCAACGGTAGCCTGACGTATTCAAGTCAATATCAGCCCGCACCACCACAGACACATAGCAGACAACGTACGTTGAAGCCCTCCGTACCGCAACCAGGGTTGTTCCCGACGGTGATGTCGTTGAAGGCCTTCGGCGCAAACGCGCCGATCGCGTAGATGTACGGGTTCAAGAAGCCCAGAGGCGACAGGCCGTTCGCGATGCGCGCGTCGTTCAGCATGGAGACGACGGAAGCGAAGGTCGGGGATGCAGCGGATGTTCCTCCGATGGTTCCTTCCACGCCTCCGACGTAGAGGTTGAACCATTGGCCTTGCGCGGAAACGTCAGGGTAGGCCTATGAGCCGACGAGTCAATCCTTCAGTCAGTCGATGCACGGTGCGACACTCACACGGCCGGATCTAATGTCACGTTCGTCATTGAGTTTATGCAGCTGGGTTAACGACATAGGCGGACTCACGCGTTATACAGTCCTGCGTACGTTCCAGGCGCAAGTTTCTCGAGGTAGCTTTCGACAGCATAGTCTTGCCACACGGGACGCGCAAACTGATGAGTGGATCCATGCTTTAGCAGACACAATGCTTCTCTACAGCGCAAAACTCACGTAGTTGCTGAAGCCGCCTCCCGAGATATAGTAGCCTCTCTCGGGCAGGTACCAAGTCGCACCCACCGTGGTCACACTGTGAGACGGTCAGATTGTGGCCTTAGATTAATGCGTCGGCCAAGTCCACGCACTATGGGCAACTCGCAGGGAAGGCCGGTAAAAACGTTGTCTCGTTCAGGCCGTTGTTGGTGTAGCACTTCTGTGTAGCCGGGTCGGAGTCGCCATCGCCGACGCCGTAGTCACCGGAGCTGAAAGTCAAGGAGACGCCGCGAGCACCTAGTACGCAAGGCTGTCAACGTCTGCTAAGGACCATGAGGCATTAACGCGAACGCACCGAGCTGAGCAAAACCTGCACAGACGCGCTTTGCATAGCTCTCAGGCACTGTGCTCATCGTCAGTTTATTACACTGATATCGAGTTGCGCTACTACTTGCCTGTCTGCTCGTTATCTCCGTAACTCGTCGAGATGGTCTGCGGCAGATCAGTCACGTTCAGGATGTACTCGAGCCACTACGCGGAGTTAGGAAGTTAGCGTATGTCAAGCCGTTCAACACGCTGGCAGCTCACGTCAGCATAGGGCTCGTTGGTATCCTCAATAGTGAGCTCGTCAGGAATGTAAGGTGGACTTCCGCCGGTAGAGTAGAAAGTACGAGGCGTCGGGTATGTCAGGCCAAACGCGTATTGCGTGTCTATAGGATGTTCAGCTCTCGGCTTCTGAACGATGTACATGCAACGCACCAAGGTTTGCCTCGATTCCAGCCGCAGCGAAACTTTGGTTGTTCTCTCCGCCTGGATTGATCGAAGAAGTAATCAGAATTCTGATCGGGACGCACAACGGGCCATGATCACATCCTCACCGTTGAGGTAAATTACGTCAAAAGTGGAATTGGCCGCTTGAGGAACGAACTTTGCGTTGAACGAGTTGAAGTCGTCAAAGTTGGCGTACTGCTCGAGATACCCCGTGACCGCGATCTGGTTTTCATCCGTCGCCTCAGGCGTGTATGCCACGAAGTTGTACAGTTGCTTCAGGCAGGAAGGCGTGATGGATCCGTTGCAGCTGGCGTTGACTTCCCCGTTGTACGCAGAGGGGATTTGAATGAACGATCCGCTGAGGTCGATAGTCGGACGCTCCTCGTCAGCCCACCTGTATGTCGCCGCCATGCCCTTCATGCGAGCGAACATCGTCGTGGGCTGGACCACGTCGACATGCTCGAGCAGGTGTTCTGGGAGGCTGTAGGAAGTCGTGCGGACAGCTGCGTCCCCAGACTCGTGCAGCCAGACATAGTATTCCTACGATGCATGGTCACTGCGCTGGCCAGATGGTTACGTCATGAATTTGACTTACAGTTTGAAGCATCTCCTCCGCCAAAGAGACGGGCACCTTCACCCTGACCCAATCCCTCGCCGGCGAGCGCGATACCGCCTCCTCCCCAATCCCATAAGTAGCGAGCCATTCGTCGACCAAGTCAAGGCTCTCCTCATGCGGCGCAATCAGCTCCTCCACTTCCTCCTTCGACAGGTGTGCCCCATACCGCTCATGGAACGGATCGCTGATAGCAGCCAAAGGACATCAGACCGAGTGATAAACATGACCCACACACCGCATCACGCACCTAACCTCGTACAGGTGCTGTTCGAGCAAGTGAAAGTTGGGCTGCGGCAGCCCGATGCGCAGGTTGATCGTGTGATCGGCGGGTGCCGGCCTGAGTCTCGTCCATCCCCGCGGGGGGCCGACGCTCTCCTTCACCTTGTGCGCGTACTCCCTCGCCGGGGCGGCGGAGACGACGGTGCTCGCGACCAGGGTAAGCCAGGCGGACAGGGCGAGAGACCTCATTCTGGACAGCGCAGCGATACGCCCAGCTCGAACGACACTTCTTATGTACCCGGCCGACCGTATTTATAGCAATCCCCCTGCGAACTCGGGCTCGATTGGAATACAATTCATCAAGAATACCCGCTCTGCGGTCGCTGATGTCGAGACATGAAACACGAAACTGCCCATGTGCACAGCTCGGCTATATAGCGGTCTCTGATCGCCGTCCAGGGTTTCACTGGCTTCGAGCTACCAGAAGAAAGTCTCCTCCTTCGATGCAATTGTCTTACGAGATGCAAGCTAGCGATTCCTTTGTTCAAGCGCCGGGTTTACGTTTCTGCTGGTTTTTCAACACCATCTAGTTTGGCATGGTCATTCCCTCATTAGCATTGCAATTAAAGGGCCGCAAAGTTCGGGAATATCATCAATATGATTGATAGGCGCCATCTGCCATCTCTGCCCTTCAAACCCGGAGTATGTCGCCAAGCATGGCTCAAGTGTCCACAAACTCGACTCGGGACTGTAAGCGCGCACAGCCATCTCGATGCCAGTCGCGTAGATCACAAAGCTGGCTACTCGCTGTCCTTCAAACCCGGAACATGTCGCCAAGCATGTCTAAATACACTTCCAAGCGTCCACAAGCTCGAAACCTCGACTCGGGACTGTAAGCGCGCACAGCCATCTCGATGCTAGTCACGTAGATCACAAAGCTAGCTACTCGGGTGCTGATCCGCCCTCGGGATCGTCAGCCGATTGCGTTCAGTATTTACTCGGATACACCCCAGTGGCACTTGCGCTGAGATCTTGCTCTTCTTTCGAGTGTTGGAATCCAAAAGTAACAGATCTCACGGATGAAGGTTTTGGGCGCCCCAGCAACCTAGAAACGACGTTACAGGACATGGTGACACTTCAACACCATCTCAGCTTTGACGGCTTCATTTTGGATATTCGTTGCATCAAACGCTACGCATTTGAGTCTCAGTGATCAGCGCCCAGGACCATACTTGGCGAACTGCGTCGGTATGTGCTTGACTATCGCAAGAACAGCTCATGTTGCCGTCAACCTGACGCATTTATCGCATATACACAGAAGTGAGAATGCTCACAGATCGAGAAGAGGTCCGTGTAACAGTTGACAGGCCATGGAGTGCACTGATCCCTGTCATCGCTTTAACAGCCATGCGAATGGGCTCGTCGTCAGCGGACGTGATGGTACATCTATCGTTGATCTCCATCGGTGTAGCACTAAGTGGAGATGTGAAAGATAGGAAACGGGCGCCCTTGAAGCTGCCGTCAGTGGCTGGACGCAGCTTCAGACGAAGACGCGTGAGTTCAGATCATTCAGTGAAACATCGTACCAGGGTCGTGCGTCAATGCATCATTAGCAATGATGTTGGGCTCCTCTCCAGACAACCGAGTTTCGCCAGGATTTAATCATGTACCTCTGTGTGCGCGACGTGGTTGTGGCCCGAAGAAGCGACGGCACGAAGGTATGGTGCAACGATCGTCAGGAGGGAACGCGACGCGTCTCTGCGATGGGGTTGGGTCGGTGACAGCGCTACCGCGCACACGTACTTGGCCGGGTCATAGGCAGCTTATAGCAATTTCTTACCATTGTTAACACCAGGAGACTCAGACGGCGACGTGCACGAATCTCCACCGAAATCCCCTGAAATGAAGTGTCCCATGCTAGAAGAAGACAGTCAACACTGGGATGACAGAATGCTGCACGCAGATGTTGTGATCTTCCTTCAGCCCCAGCAGAAGGGGAAGGGGCATACACGGACGGCTCTCTCGCTCAGAAGTCTGCTATAAGTGAAAAAGGCGTTGCGACGCGTTGGTGGCGTGTCACGGTCATGTGCTCTGCGCGACGATTTTTAACGCGCTATAGTCATGTGATCGCGTCGCGTCGCGCTGGCCACAAAAATCCAGCACTGGTGTGAAGGTCAAACAATGAGGCCTTACGCTAGTTTCCTCCGTCAATATTTTCACGAGAAATGTCGTATATTTCGACAATCTTCTTGTAAAGATCAGCATGATGCGGCAGCATCAGTATAAAGAGATGAATAGCGCTGAGCCTGCAATCACCTTCAAGACTTCCTCACCACCGCCACGCCTGCCAGTCAAGCGTGCCACCAGTAGCTGCTGCTATTCCTGCTCGATCAGCTGCAAAGCGACATGGGTATTTCCTTTCAAGTCATCGATGATCCATGACAGTTGCTTCACCCAACCGCTTCTGGAAAACGATGCGTAGGGTGACGGACTCCAATAGCAGCGAGCCCGCTCGCCGATTTCGTGTGACACGCAAATGCACGAGATATGGAACTGCCCAAATGCACAGCGTTTGTTAAGCGACTTCTGATGGCCATTCGCTGGATACAGGTTTGATCGACTTCGACCGACCCGAGCGGGGTTCCATGCACACCAGCCATGTCTTCGATCGATGAGCTGAAGATACGTCCACGGCTTCCGATTGACGGCCCTGCACAGTGCGACTATGTCAATAGCCGCACTGACCATAGAGCAATAGCTATCGCGATGATGATCCGCCTTCGGAATTGTCAGCACTGCTTCCGTCTCACAATGTCCAAGGCCACAGCATGTCCATATAAAGCGAACATTCCAAAACATCCTAAAAATGTGGCTTATCATACAGACCGACCGAGGGCGTCTTATGTCACCAAACGTCCATTGGTCTACCCAAGAAGGATGTCCTTCAAGACACCAAAGTCAGGTGTTCCCCACCCAGTGACAGCATCCCACCCAACCGTGGCCTGTAATTGACAGCATGTTAACGATAAACCCGGCGTCAGAGATAACGCGGCACCCACATTGAATCCTTCCGTGCCGCACCCAGGGTTATTGCCGACAGTGATGTCGTTAAATGCTGACTTATTAGTCGCACTGAGAGTGTAAATGAGCGGATTGAGGAACCCGAGTGAAGAGAGGCCGTCCGCGATGCGGGCATCGTTAAGCAGAGAGATGAAGCCCGCGAACGTGGGGGAGGAGCACGAGGTCCCAGCCACAAGGACAGACGCCTCTTCCCAGAAGATCTCGAAGTTTTCTGACTGGGCAGAGACGTCGGGGAACGCCTGTCAACGGGATGCCATCAATGCCTGAATGTTGCTCCATCGATGCATGCGGAAGACCAGCTTACTCGTCCGTCCCTGTAGAAATATCAGAGTCAGTATGCCAAGCTCATTCATGTGGTAATATTTGCTCACGGATTGTAGAGGCCCTCGTAGACCCCTGCTGGCAGCCCATCAAGATACTTCGTTACGGCTTCGTCCTGCCAAGCAGGACGAGCAAACTGTACACCGTCGTATCGTCAGCACACTGTTAATACAGATGTTTGCCATATCTACATAGTTGCTAAAGCCACCGCCAGAAAAAAATGCGGCAACCTCGGGGATAGACGTCGTTGCGCCAACCGCTGTGACGCTACAACGCCGATATGTAATTGATGTCTGCGCTCATACGTTCTGGGAACTTACTATGGGCAGCTCGCAGGGAACCCGGGAATGAACCTGGTAGTGTTTGTTCCATCATTGGTGTAGCACTCCTGGGTAGCCGGGTCAGCATCACCGTCACCCACGCCACCGTCGCCAGAGCTAAACATTATTGACACCCCTCTGGCGCCTGCAACCATGAATGAACAGATGGCAAGCGGAGGACGAACCGAGGTACGCACCGAGCTGAGCGAAGCCTGCGCAGACGCGGTTTGCATAGCTATAGGGGACTAGCCATTTCACGTTGAAAGTCAGGATAACACGAGGGTTTCCATGCAATTTTTACGCACCTGTCTGTTCGTCATCACCGTAGCTGGTCGAGATTGTCTGAGGAAGGTCAGTCAGGCTGAGCACGTAATCAAGCCACTTCGCGGGACAGAGTGTACGTTGAGATATGTCTTAGATCGAGATCACTATGGCTGCTTACTTCGCTGTAGGGCTCGTTGTAGTCGGTGGGAGACAGATCGTCTGGAATGAACGGAGGACTCCCACCGGTGGAATAAAAAGTTCCGGGCGTGGGATATGTCAAGCCAAATGCGTACTGTGTATCTACACGCTCGATTAGCCAAGCCACTCGCACGATTCAAGAGCACCTCACCGAGATTGGCTTCGACACCGGCCGCGGACGAAGTCTGATTGTTCTGTCCACCTGGCCCAAGATCAACAAATGCACAACCAGCATGGTACAACGACCATACCGTTAATCTCTACAACTGCGAACGCCGAATTCGCAGCTGCCGGTACCAAGGCCTCGTTGAAGAGCTTGAAGTCTTCCAAGTTAGCGTATTGCTCGAGATAGCCAGTCACCGCAATCTTGTTCTCCCCCGGTACAGCAGGCTCGTATCCAACTGCGTTGTATAGCTGCAAGAGACACGACGGCGTGATTGTACTGTTGCAAGAGGCGTCCACTTGGCCACCCGAAGCAGTGGGATCTGGTATGTAACCGGAAGAGGCTGCCACAATGTCCACTTTCTGATCCATGAATCGGTAGGTGGCTCTCATCCTCTTGATCCGGGAGAAGATAGTCGTCGGCTGGATCACGTCGACGTGCTCCAGGAGGTTCTCTGGGAGACTGTAGGCGGTGGTGCGAACCAGCGAGTCTCCGCTTGCTGTATGAGTCCAGATGTGGTATTCCTGAGACAAGTCAACCTCCGGTCAAGCGTTATTGCAAACAAGTTCTGAGTTACCGTATCAAGCATCTCTTCGGCAAGTCTGACGGGGACTCTGACAACGACCCAGTCTTTCGCCGGTGAGCGAGCTATATCACTCTGCGCAATGCCATAGGACTCAAGCCACTCGTCCACGGCATCGACGCTGTCAGGATGCGGAGCAACAAGCGCCTCGACCTCCTCCTTTGACAGATGTGCTCCGTACCGGGCATGGAATGGATCACTAGTGGTTATTCAATTCGCCGCATAACACGGAGCTCAGTGTTTAGACGCACCTGATCTCCAGGAGATGCTGCTCCAGCATGGAGAAGTTGGGCTGCGGTAAACCGATGCGCAGCTCAATGATATGGTTAGCAGGTGCCGGCCGGACGTTCGTCCATCCATGAGGAGGATGCACGGTTTCCTTGACCTTGTGTGGGCATTCCTTTGCAGGGGCGGCGGCAATGAGCACGCCGAGTGCCAAAGCGACCCACGCCGACAGACACCGCATGTTGTAGAAAGATGGACGACGGCAAAGGCTCACGCAATATACCGCGAGAATGCGCCTTTATATACTGGCGATCCATATGCTGTAGGCTTCGATAGAATAGAAGGACTAAATGTGGCACAAGAGGATCACAAGCAGACGCAAGCGGCCAATCACTTCGTCGCTAGGCATCGCCACTTTCACAAGCGAAATCCCGCGATCAAAATGTTCAGGCACATCGGGTAGACGGCAACAGACATTCGGCCAGGTTGACCTTACGACTTCGAGTTCGCCATCGATGAGCTTTGAGCATACATGTGAGGGATATCGAGTGCGCCAATGGTACTGACGCACTGGTGAGAAATGTTCGCAGTAGACGTCCGCAACGCCGCTGACGACACTATGCCAGATGTGCGAGCCTTGGTTCAATACTGAGATATGAGTGCCATAGTGTCGTGTGGGAATGTGAGAATGCCTTGAGCATATGGAATGACATCCTCTGCATAGTTTGCAAGTATCCTCCTCAACGCTGGCTTGCCTCCGGGGGCGGTTAGGACACTGGACGTGGTTGAGCCTGGATGCAGTGTGCAACGTCTGTGTGGACACCGGTCCAAGATACTACCAAGACAGGGACCATACTGGAAGAACAGGCGGGCCTGTTCGACAGCACGAAGTCAGGAAAACAGAGACGAGCGGCGTTTCGGCACCTAAGCGCCCTCTTCTTGTCGCGGCCACGTGACTGATTTCCTTGTTGCCACAGGCGCTGCAGAATTCCGATCCGTCTCGCCGCCAGTGACTTAACTCCACATCAATTAAACAGTCGAGTGAGACAAAGAGATGATACATTGATGAGTAGTGAGTATTTCATAGATCGTGCTCTTCCGACGTAGTGATGCGCGCATTGCTCATAGCATGTGGCAGACGCGTTCGTAAGTACTACAAAGCTGCCCACCACTCAAGCAATCTACGCTCATAGCTCACATGTGCACTCAAAGACGTCCATAGCTTTCATTGATCTGATATGATGACCGGCAGGCTCCTCATAAAGCTTTCAAGAGCATCTACAGGCTCGGAACGACCATTTCGTGTTGCAAGTCCATATCGCTATCTCGATAATTGTGCTGATCACAGAGCTAGCTGCTCTGACGATGAGGAGTTTAATTGAACAACAATTCTACCTTGCAAAGTGTGCATTCACGCTTATTATCCACAGGAGGTGGACACTTCTTGCTACGACAGCGATCGATCGCGATGGAATAGAAGATCAAATGCGGCACGAGAAGATAGGATGCATACGCGAGCGGCCAGCCGCCGTGTCTTTAAGCAAGGCCAGTGCCGCTGAGACGAGCGTGATCTCGGAATCACAACACTTTAGATAGGCTGCTCATCCTCTTCTTGTCTTGCGAGACCAGATCATGCTTGTCATGCAATCATTCGATAGATACATCTAAGCATTCGATGGGTCGCTTCAAACGGCGGCCTTTATTGGAGAGCAAACAGCAAAATGTTCGCGTTGATCGCCCAATTCCGAACTCCTATCGATCGGGAAGCCGACGTCACCGTTAATGAGTGGTGCCAAGTACATGCAACTCGATCTGTTGCTCGACGACAATGTGAATGGTATAAAATATGCGTTATTCTCAGGACGCACAGCTTCACCGGCGTCCGCTCGACTACCTTGTACTCAATCCTTCCAAGCCGAATTCTCCCACAGTGCTTCTGTCCAACTCGTTGAACGGATCGCGCATGCTATTGGTCTTGGCTCGCCAGAGTTGCGTATACAACGCCTTGATCTTCTGCAACTCCGCATCAAGGGCTGCCGTTTTGCTGGCAAGAGCGATAAACGTTGCATGCTGCGCCTCCAAGGTTGACGAGATAGCTGTAATATTACACAGAATCAGGGATGACACCTCTGTTAGTGAACGTTTTACTTACCTTGAGGTGTATACTGCGATTGTGCCGCGGCAGACGATAGCTTTCGTTCAATGTGCTAGTTTGCAATCCCGAACTTTAATCTCATAGTAAGTAATAGTGGGTTTGGTACTGACCTCAATGGTGGTTTTGTACCACCTCAGGCGCTCTCTCATTTGTTCAGTAACGCGGGTGAAGAATCTGGTAAGGGATATGAGCCAAAGGGGAATGAACCAGTTTCGGAGATCGACAAACTCTAGTGGGAAGTTGGTATAGGCCTTAAGGTAAGCACCGTGCTGATGTAGATTCCGAAATCCGTCTACAATGCGAGTTGCAATGATAGTGTCCTGGACCGTCTGGTCTACCTTTGCTTTGAGATCCTTCGTATGTAATACATCTGAGTGGAGCGTTGCAATCGCGCCCACGAGATCCTACAATGTATTGACTGATTATTACTGGTTTCTACTTTATCTGACGATTGGAACGCACCTTGTGCACATTACGGACTTCTTCCTGCCCCTTTACCGCTTCCTCGCCCAGCTTTCGCTGCTTAAGATCGTTGCTAATTTGTATACGTCCCTGGATGGACGCACTTGAGCAACATCAGCATGCAGCGCTAACTATCGCAGACCTGGCGAGACTTACTCAATAGTCTCTAACGTCCTTTTGATATCGTCAGGCAGATCATTAAACTTGGTCAACCTGGTGAAAGCTGGGGGTGCAGAACCAGACACTGAAGGGTACGGCCTGAATGAATAGATCTTAGTGCATGTCTCCACTATCGTGTTGAGAAAGTCCACCGAAGACAAATACTCCGTGCTTCAACGAATGAGGTACTCACTGTTGTTGAGCAAGAGGCCTGTTGAATAATGAGATTGCAGGGGCAGCAGAAGTGCCTAAATTCTGTCCAAACATCCCCGTAGTCTGCGGCTGTGACGGTCCAGCACCCCAACCTCCAAACCCACTTGTTTGGCCCAACGTCGAGCCAGTGCTAGCACCAAACCCAAAGGGGCCACCTGCCTGAGCGCTCTGTTGTGTCTGAGTAGTGCCAAAAAGGCTGGTCCCGAGACCGCCGCCCTGCGTGCTCTGTTGAGGCTGAGCGCTGCCGAAGAGACTTGGCCCTAGCGCGCCACCCTGCTGCGTGTTGGCCGCGGGCTGGCCAAACAGCCCAGTAGGTTGTGTCTGTTGTTGCGGATTCACTGCAGACTGGCCAAACAACCCAGTAGATTGTGTCTGTTGTTGCGGATTCGCAGCTGGCTGGCCAAACAAGCTCGTAGACTGCGCCTGTGGTTGCTGCTGGCGTTGTCCAAATCCACCAAACAGCGAAGTCTGCCCGCTCTGTGGCTGGTTCTGCTGTTGCCCAGCGTTCTGTCCGAGGGTGCTCCCGAAAAGAGAAGAGCCTTGGGCTGGTGCTTGACCTTGAGCCTGTGGCTGCGAACCAAAAGTCGAGGTCGCCGATTGCGACGCTCCACCAAAGGGAGAGCCTTGTTGGGGATTGGTCGTAATTTGACCAAAAAGTGATGTACCTGGCTGGGCAGCAGGGGTCGCACTTAAAATCGAAGAACTGCAGGATCCCATGGTGTCAACATTGTGCGTACACCACAGCTACCACGCTCACCTGCTTGGGAACGCCATAATGACTCCTGCGACAGCCTGCTTGTGTAGCAACTAGAGCGTCCTCAGAGCACACAACACGTATAAATCCACGTCGACAGAGATGAGATGCAGCAGGAGAGGGCAGGAATGAATGATGTCGCGATGAACGCAGGTTAGTGCTCGGATTGCCACTTCGTGACGTATCACGGACTGTCACAGTGTCACAGTGTCACAGTGTCGCTTACTGAGGTCGCAACGCCGCAGGCTAACGCTAACGTCCACCAACCAACCTTGCCACTTTTCATTGCCGCCCCTCTCTGCTGGAAAGTCGCGCAGGAATGTTTCTCGCGGAAGTGCGGTATTTCCCGCTGAATCTTGCTTGTGGGAAACGCAGCAAGACTGCGCCTTGCTATCGTCGACCCGCTATGCTGCGGAGTCTGTCTCTTGAATGTTGAACTGTTGAAGAATGTCACTTCGGCAAAAGCGGAATTGCGATGGCTGCGGCCGCCTATGCGTTAGAAGCTTGTGTTCTGTCGGGACGAATGCACACAAGGACTCTGCGGTATACTGGGTGTAGCAGCCACTGTCTTACTGCCTGCAGATCACGCAGTAACCCACATGCGTGATCCATAATGCATTTTCATGATTATGGTCCGGCGCGCAGATCTACACAGGACGAAGCATCCGGAAGAACTAGACGGCCCGCATGCTCGTACAAGTTACAAATCGTCTGGACATGCTGCAAATGTGGGACAATCCATAACGACGGTGAAAGCAAACACCCGTAAGGTTCGCAGGACCGTATGCCAACTACGTCATCTTTCTCCTTGGAGCTGTTCCTTCAGGTACCCGCGAACGACAATGCGCATGAGATCGCAGATCAGCCGAGTCGCTTCGTCGCGCAAGGCCGAACGGCCTGGATTGTCTGTTACACTCCGTGGTCCGCTCCGTCGCGCTAACTGCTGATCGGTCGTTCGAGCGCGTTTTGCCACTTGACTGCGGTTGCTACGCCTTGGAGACACCCCTAGGGCCGGGTTGCAGCTAAGGTCATAGATTCTGAAGCTCTTCTCAACACACCATGTCTAGTCATCGGCGCGTGTCAAGCTTGTGGCATTACATGGCTGGATTATACAAGATTTGGTCAGTCGCAAAATTCTCGCTTGCCTCCGCGCATCTAGTCTTTAAATCTCAAACGGATGTATCAGACGGTTGGGTCGGGATTATTTTGCGTCACCGTTACCTGACAGACTGGTAACCTGCCTAAAAGTAAGAATCCGTTCCGCTCAGAGACCGAAAACATCGGCCAGCACAGCATCTTGATTCCGATGCGAGGCTGGATTGGAGTCTCTGGGCACATCGTCCTCGGCAGACAGCGGCGGCGATCCTTGCAACGTGGACAGGGTTGCGCACGAGGCCGATCGCGCGCCCAGGCGCAGTGTGCGCATCTTTCGCCCAATTAACTAATTGACACCCCTGCCCTGTGCAGCGTTATACAGTAAGTGACTGAGCACTCGACCAACTAGTGCTGCCGAGGCCATCAGTTCTCCGTCATTGGCACTCGGCCGCGGCTGCTGTATCCAATACACCCTCGCTTATCGTCCGCAAGCTACGGACTAGGGAGAGTTCAGATGCACTAGGAAGCTATCGTTTCGCCATCCGTTTCAGGCTCGAAAGTACGTCAACAGACTGGTGTATCCACGGCAACTTCCCTCGCTAGTTCCCGCGTGGATAGAATGTCGAGCGCCCTGGATGATCGGTGGCTGCGTCGATTCTTCGCCTTCCCCGATGGCATCGCGATGGCGCACGTCTTAGCGCGAAACCCAAAACAAGACCGCAAAGAACGAACTATCAAATGTCAAGTACGCAGCGTTTCCTTTTATGGGTTCCCAGTGTTACAGTGACCGATTATCTTGCCAGGTCGTGCGCGCCCGCGTCGCAACCCGGCAAATTGGTTGAGGGCGCGCAACGTTGCTGGTCGCCCGCCTCGTATAGTTAGTTCGGGCCTTACGTCGCAAGTGACCAGATGACGACTGTTAAGGGATGACTCGGTTGTCGCCTGCCTCCGCCAATGAGGCGCTCATGCTCATTTGGGTATGAAACGTGTCTGGTCGTCGAGGATTTACAGTCCGGGACGTTTGCACAGTCCGCGATCCATATTCAATGCCGTTCTCGGCTCTCGAACGACACAGCATAAGCATTCATTTGGGTCACCGTCGCATGCAGATGACGGAACGAAATGGATAGAGCCGTCCTGTATAAAAGGCTCCGGTGTCCTGTCCTCAGGCTTCAACTCCCTCCCGTATTCCACAACTCACAGCGGACTTTTCGCATTCCCTTTTCTCTTGTATTACTGTCAACACTATGTCCGAGGGAAGCAAGGTCAGTGGGATGAGACCTCATTATGCGTTAGTATCTCATTCAATATTGCCAGCCCCATATGCATGAAGGCAAAGATAGCGATTCCGAAGGCGAGTCCTACTCGCCTAGGACCCCACGAAGAACACCGATGGCATGCCAGTTTTGTCGAGGTAGACAGCTTGCATCTCAGTCATAACAGACGCTAATCATATAGTCCGTAGGTCGCAAGATGAAATGCGATGGTCGTCCGATATGTGGCAATTGTAGTCGTCGCGGGATCGCTTGCTCCTATGTTCCTGTGTCAGTTTTCTATATTTACTTCCCGCGAGTCTCCGCTAACATGCATGTGTCTCCTAGTTCGGCGCAGAACTGAGACTCTATTCTCGATCTCCCTCCTACCTTCAGGCCAGCACAGCCAGCTCGGCGCCGGATCGTCTCAACTATGCGCACTCTGCTATCTATCGCTCTCCAGTCTTGTCGGCATACATGGCTGTTCTAGCACAGTTTCCGGACGATTGCTGTCGTTGACCACGACACTTGTAGCTATAGGCAACTCGCGCTCGCTTCTCCCATGCACATCTACCTCTATATCTTGATAATTACCCTCTAGACTACCGTATTGTACAACTGTTCTCCGCTCCGCTCATACACGCAGTGACATTGTGTTCGGCCGTCGTCGATCATATTAATTAATCATCGTATAGCGTAGCATGCGGGAATTCCACGCCGCAATCACGCGTGTTACGGACTTCTCCTCCTTATCTTCGATTCTGGCGACTTTTCTTTGATATATCTGTCAGATGCTGTGTGCGTGCGATCCCAGAACCACGCATGGCAGGAGATGTCCGAACGCCATACTGAATTGACTGACGGGTGCCATGAGTCTCACATCGCCCTCTGCTCGACATCCTAAAGGCCGCACGTTCTCCGTTGTCGAACGGTAGTATCCATATTTGCAAACCATGTTGGCCACCTTTGTTGACGGGATGTGCGGATAGAAACCATGGACAAGGAGATAGCATCACCTGAAGACGGTCAAGGTTTGCCCGGGTACAATGCGGGGACACTCACGACAGAGCTTGTCGTGCACCAGGATGTCCTGGAGGACAGCAAGGGCAGTGCTTGTCTCTGGCTCAATGTCAAGAGCCGAGCGAAGGATCCCAAGCATGTTCCATCCTTCGTCGGCACCGATACCATCACAGGGACCGTGGAGGTCGATTTCGACAAGATGAGCAGTGTAAAGAGCGTATCTGTTGCCGTACGTCGTTCTTGCTTTCACGGCGTCCTCCTAGTATCAATCATCTCAAGATCCGCTGATGTCGCACGTTCATGTCTCCGCCATCAATCACTAGTTAATGGCCGGCATCACTGCTGTCGGCCAAGAGGAAACTAGCTTCCTTCATATCCCGCAGACCCTGTGGGATGGCAAGATTTCATCATCTGCGAAGTTATCGGGCAAGCAGTCGTGGCCGTTCTCGATCTCTATTCCCGCCGAGGCGTCTATGGTAGGAAAAGACAAACGGGCATACCCTCTCCCACCTAGTTTCTCCGAGCGGGCGAGCCCAGTATACATCGAGTACAAGCTAGTCCTCACTCTACGCCGCGGTGTTCTCAGAGCCGATCGGACGTGCGTGCTATCTACTACTTGTCCGATCAGTGTGTCTGGTGTGGTCTGACGGTGATGCTTCTCAAGCCTCGCTACGAGCATCCTGTATTTACCACTATGGCGCGCTGATCCACACTCGCAAATGCGTCAGCCAACGTACAGCGAATTAGCGAGTCTTCCTGGTCCCGATGATGATCTGGAAGGGTGGAAGGTACTCAATACTGTCCTGCTTACCGGGACCCTCTTCGACACACGGCAGGTCGAGTTGCAATGTACAGTGCGCGCGCACTTTCGTAATCCCGTTCTGCATCGGAGCTGAGTTTTATCCGATAGCTAGCTATAGCCAGGCCTGTATGGGTTCATCGTCTTCTCCAGCAAATATCGGTTTGATCATTTTTTTACTATGTTGGGATATTGCACAGGTTTGCTACGCGCGGGGCTCGCCGATCCCGCTGTTCCTGACCATAACAAGCGATGATGACCATGCAACGGACCTCCTCGCAACCCCTGCCGCGGTGAAATTGCGCCTCATCTGCACCCGCGTGCTCGGTCCCTACGCAACGGAAGAAAACTCCACACCTCCGAGCGACCGCGTGTTCCAGGAGACAGTAGGGACGGCATTTTTCTGGCCCGCCCCGGATGGTGTGTCTGGGACTGGAAAGCGCACGTTGCACGGTGAATTAAGTGTCAAGATGAGCCTGAAACCGAGTTCTGTGTTTCCTGGGTTCGCGTTGCGGGTATGTCATGTCAATTTTAGCTGGCACAGCTACGTCTTGGCTAGTCCGGCGCTGACATGTTTCAACTATTTTTTAACTGGTGTGGATGCACTTAGTACCATCTCGTCCTGTTGCCACTTCAAGCTGCTGGTTTCGTATCCAAAACGCCGACCGGCGAAAGACTCCTGACTGAGGAGGTCAAGATAGCTCCATTCAATGCTGTGGGCGTCGTCCCACGTTCTTTCGCTCCTCCGGGCTACGTCCATGTTGAAGAGGGTGACTACAACAACTCAGTCGGATATCTGGAGAACGGAAATCAAAGGTGAGACCGCGTACCGTGATGTGATTGATTGTGGACGTTAGAACGGATCATATCGCTTCCTTTGCAGGTTCCTCCATCACGGAGGCATGGGAGGAATCTCTTAACGTGAAATATATGCAAGATTCTTCAATACTTACACCTATATACGTCGATCTTCTTTGGTGCTTGTATTCGCTTTTAGTTCGGAAACTTCCATTCCTATCTGTGTTCGCCGGCAACTTCGGTATCGGTGTCGCGTGCCGGAAGTCTTCATGTAGGATATTGCGTAATCCGGGGAACATTTCGCTGCTTCCAAAACTTCTGATGCGGCGATGACTTCTGAATCTCTCGCAAGCGTGATTTGTGGATTGCCACACCGCGTCGGAAATCATACCTGCATCGCATCGTTGATTAATATTCAATCCTCGGTACTGTTTGCATGCATGGTGAACCACGCTCGTATAGCCCAGCACAGATGAATTATTTAGAGAGCGATGCGCTGCCGTCGGAGGTCGCGTGTTCGTTGGAAAGGAGAGTGGCTCAGGAGCCTACCGGCGTCAGCCATGCCCGTGAGCGAATGATGCGTCGCAGATACTAGGACGCGCTTAGCTGATATCACGTGTGTGGGGATCATCCGGTCCAGCCTACCCCGTGCTCGCCGACGCACATATGTCAATGTGGGGATAACCTGGGGTAGAGCACACCGCTCCTCTTCATCCTCGACCACGACCTCCTGGTGGACAGAAACCTTGGCCTGACTGACTGAACGACCCGAACGAGCACCGATTGTGTTGCATTACCGTCGTACATTCACAGCAGAGCCACACATTGGTACCTTTCGTCCACGACAGCCACTAGTCGCCATAATACCCCACAGGACCAATGTCTTCATCAAAGCCAACGCAGCTCACACCGTTTGGTTACGCACTTGCTGGTGCTCTGGGTGGCTGCTTCAGTACCGCGTGCGTGGCAGTGGTATGTCGCCGAGATGCACGTAGTTGACCATCCGTAGCGTGGTATACCCCCTAGATATGTACGTCCATTCTAGCCCTCCAGGAAAGCATTGATGGACATTGGGTCACAGTGTCAAAACACGCATTCAAGCCGCAACGGTCGATAAAGATAACAAGAAGAAGCTAGGCATCATCTCGATCCTGATGGGCATCCTGAAGGAGGAGGGCATCGCAGGATACTACAGAGGATTCGCAGCAACCATGATCAATACATTCTCCATGCGTGCGTATGCCATTTATCTACTTATCTCTTCAATGTCGAAGTCGACCTGGGCACCCGAGACGATTTGACGTCTGATGACGGTGCTCCTGGAAAGCTTCAATCAAGATTTCGGGTCCCAGTCGGTCGCAACGCTGTGACTCGCTGGATTTGAATTACGCCATATTTCATGCCTGCACGCTTCGTCGGAGTGGTTCAATAGTAACAGCCCAGCTTGGGTCGCATTTGCCATAAATCGCAAGGTGCCCGGTGTATGGGGTGTTGATGGGGCGCTGAAGCCTTGAATAAACTGCCGCGCACGCCGTGTCCTTCGGGCGTCGCAAGTGGTCTCACACCGCACTTCGACATCCATTCCACACACGCGGGAACCTGCTGGCTGTCGAGCATAGCGTGGTCACTCCTTGAACTCCGCTATCAGCTAACAACATCCACTGTGCCGACCGGGCTGCCATGACCGTTGTGGAATGCCGCAGCTATTTCTTCACGTCCGGAAGAGCGGATATGCGTTCACTGTTGGTCGTACGACCCGCATGGTTCTCCGCTGAGAACAAACGTCGGTCATACATATCACATATTTCGTTTGCGTGGTTTCGTGGCGGCCTGTAGGCAACTTGGACAGTATTCATCATCTTTGCTCCACTTGCTCATGTGGAACGTGGTGTTAGCAGTTAGCGGCAGCTCGGAACAGTTTCATGTCCGATTTGATTCGGCCTGTGCAGCGTTCCTGACTGACCTGTTCTCATCTCAGAATATGCCTACTTCTTGTTTTACTCTTTCGTCCGTACAAACTACATCAAGCGACTTTCTGCCCGCTTACCAGCGAGTTCCAAGACTCCCGCACTCTCAACAGCCGCCGAACTCACCATGGGTGCCATCGCCGGCGCGCTCGCGCAAATATTCACCATCCCCGTCGCCGTCATCGCGACCCGTCAGCAAATCGGCCGTTCGCTCGACCGGCCGCGCAAGTTGCGCCCGGCGAGCCCCCTGTCCGCATCAGTCGAGGGTAATGGCAACGCAAAGGATGTCGAGAAGGCCGAAGGCAAGGAGGACGAATACGACGACTCGTTCTTCGGCATCGCGAGCGAGATCATCGAAGAGGAGGGAGTGGGTGGTCTGTGGCTGGGCATCAAGCCTGGTCTGGTGCTCACGGTCAATCCTGCCATCACATATGGTGTGTATGAGCGCGCGAAGGGCGTGCTGCTCCTTGCGCAGGAGAAGGCAACTGGGGCAACCAGCCGCCATGCAAAGCTGAGTCCGTGGACGACGTTCTTCATCGGGGCGCTGAGCAAGACGCTTGCGACCGTTGTAAGTGTTTTCCGTTCACCTATAAGGATGTATATTTAACTTCCCCACAATATTGTAGGTGACGTATCCGTATATCATGGCGAAAGTTCGCATCCAGGCGCGTTCTGCTGATATCGAGGAAGCCGTGGTGGAGCACCAGCCGTTACCGCCCAAGCATGCATATCACCATGCACACAGCAAGCACGTCGGCGCCCTCGACATCCTTGCGAGGGTGTGGCGCAAGCGGGGTTTCCTCGGGTGGTATCAGGTCTGTTGGTCGCACTGCTCTCCCGTGTATGACTGATTCAATGTGTGAAACGCAGGGAATGGGCGCGCAGATCACTAAGGCGGTCATATCTCAAGCGTTGCTGTTCATGTCGAAGGACCAGTTCGAGCACTGGGCGCTCGCGATTATGGTTCTGTTCTGGAAGTTGCGCCAACCGAAGCTGTAGTCTGCGATTAGCACGGGGCGTATGTCGAGAGGGTCTGTGGTCGGGGCTTGACGTGCGTGGGCTGTCAATCTGGATGTCACCCACGGCGTTGTACGGGATTTTACGTAGATCTGTTTTGTGTTTATCGCTATATGGCCCTTCTCTATCTTCAGGAACATTATTATGAGCCTCCGCCTGCGTTATCATACCAGCCACAACATGTGCCGCAAATTCGATGTTTGAACCTCAGAAGTGGCCAACGAGCGCGGGCTCGCGTGGGCCGTGTCGCGTTGCCATTTACGCGGTCCCGTGACCGCGTCCACTCGCGTGTTGTTCGCGTGGCTGCGTGGCTCGACGCGAAGTGCCGCTTCATTTTGAACTGCCAAGGCGCATATAGCCATTCACCAGCTTCCACTTTGCCTCGTCGCACTTGCATTAGCCAAACATTCGATCGTCATGCCGTAGCATGCTCATTTCAACTTATCATCAGCCGCTCTTGGACAACCTTAGAGCGACGGCACTTAAGGCGGTTTACAGAATGCAAGCGTTAAAAATGCACATGGGGGGAGCTGGTGGCAGATCTGGCTGTTAGCCTGTAAGTCCTAACATGATCTCGGTCACGGTGTTCAGAGTTCCGCAAGACGTCTTCGGCATTGCATCCGACACGATGTAGGCCACAGACGTATATGTAAAACATAGTATGGGTAAGCTTCCCGACGTCTTGCTTTGTCTTGCGTAGGAACTAAGAAATACAGGTACTATAATCACATCTAAATCATGGCAGGACGTATAGAGAAGGACGTCATGCGGATCGCAGCATGAAGTATTATGGAGGATGTCATCTAGGTTGTAGCATGAAATATGTGCTGTAGGTGAGCAGATACTGAAAGCCACAGACAGCCTGAGACAGGGTTCAAGGCTTCGCGGCAAAGCGGGACTTCTCCCTCAACCTGGCGCCGATCTTGTAATAGATGAATCTGAACAAACTTGTGTGATTAATGTGGTCGCTCGCTCAATGTCTGTCAAACTTACGGAAGCGGCGCCATGAGGGTCGTCAGACCTGCCAAGAGGGCAGTGGCTCCGACAGCACCTAGCCGATCGTACATCGCGCCTGCGAAAAGCGGGAATGCAGCAGCAAATGCCGAGCGCAAGGCGCTATTGCTGGCCATCGCGGACGCGGCGATGGGACGGTAGGCAATGACCAGGTACGTGAAGACGGACGTGAAGATGAAATAAATCCCGGCACCGAACGGAACGGAGGCGATAATGGGAACAATCCAAGGTACGCCGCGGTAGGTTGTAAACGCGAGCCAGAATAGGCCTGATGGAGGAAGTCAAGCAGAGGTACGGTTGACGAAATTGAGGGTAGGTACCTATTGGGGCGAGTATTCCGCCGACTTGTCCGATAACGAGACGCGTCTCTGGGGGCGGGTTGCCGTCATATTTCTCTCGCATTCTGCGGTTATAACTAACGGAAAGATCCCAGTGAGCGGTGAATACATGAAACGTGCCGAGCGCGGACTGACCGGTTCCAAAGCGGTTGTGAAGCCAACGCAGCCACCATGCCAATGCCGATTCCGAGAAATGCTAGGCCCGTCTCTTGGTAGTTGAATCCGTGGATGTCTTCGAAGATGATAGGGAATGCTTGGAATGCCAGATATAGGATGCCTAGGAGAAGCGCGGTCCTGCATAACGGTCGAACGTTCGTTTTTTGTCGCCTTTCACATGGAGGGTACATACCATACGTTAAGCGATAGCGCCATACGATCGTACAGGAGGAGCTCTGCATGGTATGTAAGGAAACATCCACACTAACGGCCTGTGACAGATGACCCACCGAAAGGAGTGTAACAGTTAAACAAAATGGCGTGGAACAGGCTTCGCTCACGGCGGTCGAGGGGTGCCCAGTATTTCTCATCGCCGGTCTCCTTGCGCACGCTGGCCACGCGCGTGAGTGTGACAGAATTTGTGGAAACCACGCGTGCACTAAACTTACCGTGCAGCCTTCCTCTTCACCAGGACCGGTTCGTACGTTTCCGGTACGAGCTAGAAGGGCGATTTGTGTCGTGTTGGATGGAAATGACAGAGAACACACCAGAATCAGCATAAGGAGGACCACAAATTGCCAGATGAGCAGCACTCGATATGTCCATCGCCAGTCAACGTTCTGTCATATCAGAGCAAGGTTACTTGGGAAGGTAACAAAAACAACGTATGTACTTACTTGACAGATAAACCTAATAAGTTGCGAGACGACCATCAACGAGGTGCCAGTCATCACAACGCAGTGAAATCCTACCCAGATACTAGAGGACCGATCACTGGGCCGAGGAATGGAGACAAAGTGTAAACTGCCATGGGACTGCAGAACAATCAAGGACTGGACCTCGAAACATGCAATCTTGCCTACGTTGCGACCTTCTCATTGACAAACATATCACTGACACTGCCACCGGCCACGCTGAGGAACGCCGAACCGCAAAATCCGGTTATGAAGCGAAATACGAGATAGGTTGCTGTTTGAATGAAACGGTGAGCAAGTCCGCGTTATGTTAGCGATCAACGCGTCAAAATATACCAATGTTAGGCGGGAAGGCCACGGGCCACGTGAAGACCCAGAACAAGAAATAGGAAACGCAGTAGATGTGATTCCGGCCATAAACCTCGGATAGAGGCCCCACAAGTAAGGGCCCAAAGCCTATTGAAACCAATTGCCTGAGAGCGACGTTACGTTGGTGGCGTGAACTACGTACCTAGGCCTTCCACAAACAGACTGACACCTAGAATCGTGACCTCGTGGACGGTATGCAAATCTCTAGCAAGCCCAGCCTCGGTGAAGGCTGCCTATTTACATGCCAGTATAAGTCGCGGTCCGTGACGTGTCATGCAACAAATCTACTGACCGCTGAGGATGCAAAGGTGGCACACAAAGCACCCATACTGATCGTGAGAAGGATGGTCCATTTTCTCGGAGTAGACAGATGCTTCGGGCTCTGGTCGAGATCTAAGATGACCTCGTATAAATCAGAAACCTCCTCGCGTTCCGCGTCCGCAGGAGGGATGCTGAGCGCTTGTTCAGATTTATTAGTAGATGCATCGGGTGGAAGCTCTTGTTTCTCTGCATCGACGGTCAAAGATTCAGACGGTTGGAAGGACATTGAGGAGACTGGATAGACCTGGTGTTTGTATGTGAACTTGTTCGATTGCCGTAGTGCTGAGAGAAGGGAACAATCAGTCGAAGGGGAAGGGCGACTCGTCACTGCAACGACAGCTATGGGGAAGGAGAGCAGGACGCAAAGGTCAACATCCATGGTTTTTCATATATAGATTTTTCAAGAGGCACATGCCGGATCTTCTCCAAAACAAAGCACCCCTGGCGGAGATAGGTTACTGCAGCCATGAGTCACGGTGAGCCTGAGTCATGAAACACGCTAACGACGGGATGTATAAGGCTGCAGCGGTGAGGGAGTGGGGTCCATGACAAATCGAAAGGATCATCCGACGCTAAGACGACTTGAGCGGAAGGCGAAAGCCTGCTGTATCGGAGAGCAAAGAGTGGCAAAAATGTGCAGCGGGGATTGTTTGATGGATTTTATCTGAACGAGTTTTCTATACTATACGGCTTTATCTTATCAGATAACTCGCATTAAACTCAATCACGTTCCCGTTGTTGTCCGAAACGAGCTCCTCGACGCCAGCGGCAGTGTCGAACGCTTTAACTACCGGCGAGCACGATGATCCGTGCACTACCTGTCTCCAGGTCGGGGAGAGGGACAGTGCGGGCTACACGTCGCGTACGTTCTGCACCCTAATCCAAATAATTCCTTGCTAATACTATCCAGTATGCCACTGAAGCTCCCGCCCAGGCACCGAAGAAAAAGAAAAGGATATTTCGTCGATTCGTATTCTACACTACCGTGGCAACAACTACGTTCTATGTCGGAAGCGCGTTTGTCGCGTACCATTATCAGCCATACCGTGATGTATTCGTCCAACAGGTCCCTCTTGGTGCCGCGGTCGTACAGTACGGAGAGGACCACGACTGGGACACATTGACGCTCAAGCAAGTCCTTGACGCAGCGAGGAGCACCGTAACATACATCACAGGACTCATCACTGGAGAGCGCGATGGTGTTAGCACGCCGACGGCACTTGACAAGGCAAAAGAGGCCGTAGATCGCACCAAGGACGTCGTCACGAACAAGGCACACGAGCTCGAGGAGGCGGCTGAGAAGAGGCTGCAGGAGTCGCGCGAGCGTATCAAGGGCGTCGCAGACACGCTCAAGACGACCGTGCAGCGAAGCGAGGCGGCTGAGAAGAGCGCCAAGGCGGCCGCCATCGCGAAGCATCAGGGAATCCAGTTCTCGGAGGGTGTCGAGGAGCTTGTGCTCAAAGCAGAGGAGGCACTTGCTGAAAAGCAGACGGAACACTTGCCCGAGACAACGACGACGCCTGCACAGCCGTCTGTGCCGCTGCCCGACGAGGCGGAGGAGGGCGCGCTCAATGCAAATGTGTACAACGTTCCTTTACCCATCGGTTTCGAGCCTCCGCCCGGCTTCTCTCGGCCTGCACCACGCAAGGCTGCGCCTACCCCGGAGTCTGTCAAGGTCGAGTCGACACTGCAGCCGCTCCCGCTCGTGGCACCCGCTGTATCCGAGTTCAGCGCATCGGAACCGGTTATCGCTCAGTTGGCGTCGGTTATCGATAATCTCGCATCGTACCTGAACGAGAACCCGACCGCAGCGGACAAGGCACGCGATATCCTCGACACGGCCAAGGTGGACCTGACGTCGCTCGCGACGCGCATCGAAGCAGTGAAGGAGGAGGAACGACAAAAGCTGGAAGCGAGATTGGACGAGAAGACGCGGGAGTATACGGTGAAGTTGCTGGAGCTGGAGATGGAGGCGCAAGACAAGCTTGACAGCCAGGAGAATGACTTTCAGAAGTTCTTCGACGAGGAGAAGGCCAAGTTTGTGCAGGCGTATCGGGAGAAGCTTAACAAGGAGTTGCAGACACAGAGCGAGCTGATTAACGAGAGGTGCGTGGCTGACATTCGAGAATGCTTGCACGTTCTGACCCGTCACCTCCAGGCTGAAGGAGGAGGTCATCGCACAGGGCATCGAGCTACAGCGCCGCTGGATTCGGGACATCAAGGTCCGCGTCGAGCAGGAGCGCGGCGGCCGCCTCGCCAAGCTGGACGAGCTCGCGACAAACCTGAAGCGGCTCGAGCGAATTGCGCTCGACAACTCGGCTTATCTTGACGAGAACATCCGGATCCACGCGCTGTGGTCCGCGCTCCGTGCGCTGAACAATTCCGTCGAGTCGCCTGTGCGTAAGCCATTCCGCGAGGAACTGCGTGTCTTGCGACACATCGCGGCCGCACGCGAGGATCCAGTCGTGTCATCCGTGCTCGAGTCGCTCGACGCGTCGGATGTCCCAGACGTCGGCGTGGAGCCATTTGCAGATCTTGCGACGTGGTTCAGCTCATCCGTTGCACCCGCTGTGTCGAGTGTCGCGCTCGTGCCTGACCAGAATGCGGGCGTGCTTTCGCATTTGGCGTCGTATCTGATCTCCACATTCACGTTCAGCCGACATGGATTAGTGCCTGGCTCGGACGTTCTCAGCGTGCTGGCGCGTGCAGAATACTACATGAATGAGAAGGATTTGGACAGTGCTACACGGGAGCTTAACCAGCTTAGGGGATCCGCAAAGGTAGTACTGACGGACTGGCTGGAAGCGGCGCGCAGGAGGCTGGAGGTGCTGCAGGCATTGGAGGTATGTGACGCGTTGCAATCTTGCTTGACACGTCTGAAAGGTTTCCGGTCATAGGTTGTACAGTCGGAGGCGACGCTGGCTTCCCTGCTTGTTGCTCATGATAAAAATGTGTCCCTTCAATAGAGGTAATACACGGGACGTTTTTGGGCATTCATACTTGCTGCCAACGTGTGTCTAGTCTGTTATTGTCGCCACAAACTGTGTGGACGTGGACAAATCTCGGGCCAAGGTACCACCACACAATGTGCGGCCACCAATAGGGTGGACACTCAACATTTTTGATCCCACACTTTGACACAGGACCTTGTTTACCTCTGATTAGGTTCTATCTAAAAATTCCCGCTTCTGATATGCTTCCGCTATCTTTGTCCAGCGCCTGGCACAGCGCCAACATGGAGTACTTATTGGTATATCAAGACTGAGTTTTGCTATCTCCCCGAACGCGGAAGTCCTCCCCTCCTGAAACATGTCTTCCGAGGTTGCTCCTGCGATAGAGAAGGACCTCGAGTTAGTCGTCGCCTCTGTGGCTGACATCGAGCCTGAGCACAGGCAAGGGAGTAAGCATGGCCGGCGTTGTACAACCACTCGCCTGGAACTTTGGGCATTCTACGTCTATTATATCGTGAGTAAATCGGCATGAATGACACGTACTCAATCAATGTTGGCTGATCCCGCGCCTATAAGGGCAACAATGGTCTTTCTGGATTCAACTTCGGACCATCACAGTTCCAGAACCTGCTCTATCTGGCGGGCTATGATGTGAATCATGCTCCTTACACAGTGGCTTGCACGTCAGACAGCGACTGCGTCTTGCCATTCCTGGGGCGCATTCGAAACGGTGAGATCAACGATTACAAGCAGAGCACAAGCTGACGTAACGTAGTCAACTCGATCGTACTCCTAACTAACGGCATTAGCTTTGCTGTGCAAGCGGTGGTCCTTCTGTCTATTGGTGCTTGGGCAGACTACGGACAATGGAGGTGTGTACTGCCATTCATCTTAGATGATATGTACATCCGCAAAGGCACGTCAGACCCAATATCACAATCTTCTTCACAATCCTGGCAGTCGCGGTGTCGTTCGCCTGGCTAGGTGTCGAAGATCCCTCACAATGGAAGGCCGCGGTCGCGTTATACATTCTTGGTTGTACGTTTATCATCCAAAATTGATTCTGTGACGCGCTTACCAGTGTTCAGTGATTACATATCAGGTTTGCTGTGTATCATATCTTCTGCGGAGACAATGTGCTGATGCTCCACAGTGTGCTCTCACGTTTTGGACAGCCGCTTTCCCTGGTTTAGCTGGTGACCTCCCGGAAGTCCAGGCGTCAGCTGAAAGTGCTGCCCGCGGTGAAAAAAACGTTGGTTTTTCTCTTCATAGACACTCGTACATTTTGATTGAGTTTCAATCAGCTTAGAGGAACATTCCAACTATGTATCACTCGCTCGGAACCGCGTGTCAAACATCTCCTTCACCATCAGCTCCGTTGGCGAGATCATCATACTGGTGATCATGGTCGGGATCATCGAGGGACTCAAGGTCGATGCGAGTACAGAGAACAATACGAAGGCATTCAGCGTCCTCATCGCATTCTCCGGCGGTGTCTGGTGTACGTGGTCGCACTAGCTTCCGCCTGACAAGTACGGAATTCACCGGCACCTTCTAGTACTCTGTGCTCTTCCTTGGTTCTTCCTTGAGCAAAGGCGACCCGGTTTGGCGTTACCTGCTAGCACGTCTTTGATGACGATAGGCTTCAAACAGACATATGTCGCTTTGCGGGAATGCATGCGCCTCAAGCAGACATTCCTCTATCTCATATTCTATTTTCTCATGTGCGTCTCTACTGGCACTGCCCATTGACAGTGTTTCATGATAGTGTGGCAGGGGAGATGTATTAAACACGACAGTGTGAGTGTGCTACAGACTATCGAGGGACGCTGATGGATTTTCAAACGCTCCCAGCACGGTGATTGGGACATTACAGAACAGGTCAGTTGTGAGGTAAGCGGGCGGGCGGGTAAACGCTTATATGAACTCACCAGCGTTGTCTCCTACTCTACACTCCAACTGACTCTGCTTCTCATCGTCGGTATTGTGACCCAGGCATTGGGCATATAGTATGTCTCAGAACCTCTCCGCAACCTTGTCTTAACGAGTGCATAGTCTGTTCTGGGTGGTGCAGAAATACTTCAAGATATCTACGAAAGCAGTCAGTCGAGCCGAGTCGATGCACATCGATCAGGAAGAAAACTGACTCTGAAGCTAGATGCTCTCTTTCAACGTCAGCTGGATCATCGTATGGCGCATATTTCACTCGGAGTGTTCGTCTATATCATTCTCTACAGGTTCTGACAATCTGGGGTCTCATCGGGGTCCATACGGATAAGTTCGGTTTTAAGCATGTCTGGGAAATTTGGCAAGATTTTTGAGTCTTCAGAGACTCGTTCGCTGCTGATGGCACGGATGTAGGCTTTACCAAGCATACTATGGGTTGATGGTCTGTCCGTGGTACGCATATAGTCAGACAATGATCAGCGAGGTTTCACCGCTGCCGCAAATGTGGGTTCCGCTTTAAAGCTCGTTTGACCCATATCTAAGCAGTACAATGTGTCGCAGGTTCCTCTTTTTCGCATTGTTCTCTGTGGTACGTCTTCCGAGCTACACGTTTCTGCGTTCTTCCCACTGATCGTCTTATATAAGATCGGCAAGACGTCTGCGTTCATCGGTCCTTTCGTCTCGTCCGCGATCATAACAGCATCAGGCAACAACGACAACTACCCGTTCGTGTTTTTATTTTCACTGTAAGCCCTCATATTTCATTATGAATAGAATTTCTAAGTTGATTGAGCCGAACGCGTTTCGTCCAGGGGTACGTTCAGTACGATATTCCTGTATTTCGTGGACATGGAGAAGAGTCGCGCCGAGTGCGACGAGTTCGTGGCAGCCGAAGCGTCGAGGGCGGCTTTCGGGCAGCCTGTGTCGGATGCAGGGCCCTCGTCAGATCTGGGAGATGAGGATGAGGGCAAGTCATGATCGAAGCGAGAGGGCTGTCTTACGTAGACTGATGTTGTGCATATTAATACTTCTTCATGGCGATAAATCATCCTCATCTACATCCGGTCCACATCAGTAGCATAGTCTCAAACGTGTCATCTACTTTGCTTGCGGAGGTTCCTCGAGCACCAGCACCTCTGAGAAGCTCCGCGTCTTCCTCAGGGATTGCCCATGAGTGAGACTCCGGCCTACGACGAGCAGCGAAAATAAACATCTCCTCATTGTCCATGGGTGGTTGGAAGCGAGTCCAAGCATTTCCAATATGCGTATCATGTTTCCCGGTTTTACGCTTGACCCTGTGTAGCACTGGTGAAAAGGAAAACCACAGCCCAAAGGCAGACCAGAAGGGCGTCTCTTTCGAGAGACTGCGGATCTTGTATGATATGATGAGCAGGGGAGATTCTTCGTCGAATGGCAATACTAGCGGTGAGGTTAGATGCAGGAGTGTCCGAAGGAGAGGTGCAAGGAGTGCTGGGAAGTAGATCTATGGCAGATGGTGTACTCATTGCGTGTAAAACAATAGTACAGATACCTACTAGATCACTGCAAATGATGTGCGTGATGCGGTGACCAACACGACTACTGTCCGACATCGGTGGTCGGGGCTGAAGATCAGACGCGATAGCAACGGCATCGTCGCGATTGCCCCATCCGAGCGGTCGAACGATCACGGTCGAACAATCTCGCAAATTATTCTCCAAGAGCGGACACACCTCAGGGAGGTCTGTTGCGTAGAGGAGGTCCCGTCCAGGCTTCAGCAGTGCAGCGACGCGAGATGCTACCAACCCCGTCCCCGAACCCAACTCGACGACGGTCAGAGGTTCCGAATGTGGGTTCGATAGCGTAAACGGCGGTGGGTCGAATTCTAGCAGGTCATCTCCGGAAGGATAGTTCAAGTAGGCGAGCATAGCATAGGATGCCTCCCTGTGGAAGATCTGCGAAACCACACTACATAAAGTTCTGGATGCTACCCACCACACGCGTCCGGCGATGCCATACGTCCCGATAGCATGCTTCTGAGCAGCAGCACCAAAATGCGGATCAAGATCGTCCGGGCTGTCCACAGTCTTTCCGGTAGAAGGCCCAATATCAAGGCCAGCAGGGAAGTTGGGACCCGCACACATGAATATCGGAGAGCGGAATCAATACTGCGAGGGAGGGACTCTGACTTGGGCACAACCGGTGGGGCGCTTGTAAACACAATAATAATCCTATGATAGACTTTTATCTTATCTTATCTTCTGGCGCTAAACAGTACAACACATTAAATTCACGATTCGTGAGCCACCGACATGTGCACCGATGTTGCTCTCGAAGTTGACCGGCTTCCTCACTCCGCTGCTGGCGAGCTTCACTCATGAACGACCCACATTACCCGCCGACAATCGTCCTGACTCCTCGCTGACGTTCGAGCTTCGCCAGTACCACGCCGAGTCTTCAACGGGCCACATACTCTTCCACGATGCATACTCCTCTGATTCTCTCCTGGCTGGCGACCCGAGAACACATAAAGTCCATTCAAGACATGTAAAGACGCATCGTCCGACGTCCTCTGACGCGTTCTTCGCAGCGCGTACTCGATCGATCATGTTTGAGGAGAGCACGCTGCTGCAGTGGGATGAAGAGGAGATCATGGGCCCCGATGTGGAGGATCGCGAGACGCTGTTGGAGCTCGCAAAGATGACGAACAATGCATACCTCGAGCCTGGAGAAGCTGGGTGGTATAACCTGAGCGACACTTGGAACGTCGTAAGTGGCATATTGCAGGCACACTATCGCAGGGACGCTGATGGCGTTGCAGAGCTACCCTATTGGCTGGGAATCGGTCGGCGATGGTTTCCGAGGGCATGTATTTGCGACACCAGACAATTCGACTGTTGTGCTTTCCATCAAGGGCACCTCGGCCGGGTTCGTAGGCGGCGGCGGCGCAACCTCGAAGAAAGACAAATTCAACGACAACCTGCTCTTCAGTTGCTGCTGTGCACGAATTGACTGGACGTGGTCGACTGTGTGCGACTGCTACAGGGGCGGGTGGAAGTGCGACCAGGACTGCCTAGAGAGGTCGCTGATAGAGGATAGTCTGTTCTATAACTTCGGAACCGTGAGTAGCCGTCTATTCTGCATCGTTGATCATCGGTGACGCTTCGTTGTAGAACTTGTACTATAATTTGACGTACATGTATCCCGAGGCTAACGTATGGGTCATCGGTCATTCGCTGGGAGGCGCCCTCGCGTCCTTACTGGGCGTGACGTTCGGCGTACCTGTCGTGGCGATCGAGTCCCCAGGTGAGAAGATGGCGGCAGGGCGTCTGCACCTTCCCTCTCCGGTTTGTCATACTAGTCGTCAGCTATGAAAGTGACAGGCACTTATGATCCGTCGCATACAGCCTGAAGTGCAACACATCACACACGTCTATCACACGGCAGACCCCATCGCGATGGGCACCTGCAACGGCGTACTGTCCTCGTGTTCTCTGGCTGGGTATGCCCTGGAGAGCCGGTATGCTGCTTCATCACCATGCCGGCATTTTCGCGCATTGACGACCCCATGCAGATGCCACCTCGGCTTGTCCATTGTGTACGACACTGTCTCTAATCTATCGTGGGCAGTGGACATTAGAACGCATGGCATTGTCAACGTTATCGAGAAGCTGCTTTCCCAGCCCTGGCCACCGAGCGTAGAGTCAGGGCGAGAGGTTCCAGAGCCGATGCCAGAAGAGGATTGTGTGGTAAGCTGCCTTTGTTTTATTGTTGTTGCGTGGCGCGAGTCTGAGCGATTTCCTGTGAACAGGAGTGTTTCAGCTGGGATTTCGGCGACTACCCTACACTGTCATGACTGGGCTCTATCTAGTATCATTATCTGTTCCGTTTCAGACCGACAGCCGCGATGCGGTTCCGCTTTAGTCTTCGCACCTGTGGAAGCATGTGTAAACTACACAAACAAGCAACGTTACGTGCTGCACAGGACTAGACCTTGTAATATATCTGTACCACTCCAACTTCTAATTGTACAATTTCAACATGATCTTTGGCAGTAGTATGTGTGAAGCGAGAGTCGAGACTTCCGCGATGTTGTGGCCATCACAAGCTCCCACATTCAGACAGACCCAGACAGGAGACATGGCAAATGATCGAATTGCAAGGTGAAGCTGAACATGTACAGGCGGCTGCTGCTAATAGTATGTACATACGGGATATTCTACATGAGAAGAGCAGGCGTCTAAATCTAAGAGAAGAGGAAATGATGAATCGGCCTGTGCTGAATGGAACATTGACAAACGAATCGTGAGCTCGGTCCGTTGAACAAGGGAGAGATTACGCCCACAACCTGGGCGGTGATTTATCATACAGCGAGAAATGGTATGAAGAGCTGACGAGCCGCTCTACTTGGAGCTTGAGTGTTGGGCGTCTGCGATAGGATGAGAGGGATTGAGCTGTAACGACCCCAAAGCGAGGTCGAGTGCATCTGTGGGTGTTGAGAATGCAGGAGCGTTGACGGGCTGTTGGTTCGCTGATGCGCCGAAGACCACTTCCGGACTTGTACATGCTGATACCGCGCGGCGCATACCAGTGGAGAGGAAAGTCAGGCCGACTTGGTAGGCGGCTGCACTCTCGACAGTGAATATTCATGCAAGCTTTGGAACGTATCGCTACTTACCATTCATCCAGCCGAACCCTTCCCTAGGCACCATCTTGAAATCGACACCCTGATTACCATACTCGGCGTCCACGAGATGAGAAAGCTTGACCGCGTCAAACTATAGGAACGAGCGATGAGTAAAAGGACGAAGCTAAAAGGCACCAAGAACACTCACCTTTTCGGGAACCACGCCGTTAAAGTCCACAAACGCCGTCGTCATCCTATTCAATACTCCATCAGCTGACTACGATCAATGACGCCTTGAGAATGCGACACTCACATGTACAGCCACCTGTAGGCCAGCCTCTGTGCTTCCTCGAGATACCCATAGCGTTCGAGACCGACCCATGCCATGATCTGATGAGGGGGCCTAAAAAGTGCACATGTCAACCTTGTCGCACGGTGAAGCGCTGAGAAGAAAAATTTACCATGCGTAGCTGAACAAGCCGATACATCAGTGTTGCTGTAAAATGGGGTAAAAACGCATGGGGACTTACGGGTAGTCCCATTGACGATTCGGCCTGTCAAGCGAAATCTTTCCTCGAGACTCCTCTGTACCCGAGACGAGCCCACCCAAGACTTCGAATTTTTTCAATGAATGGGTGCTGCGAACGCGGCATTAATAGGGCGTCAGTTGCGAGGATACAAATTGAAGTTGGGCAGCAACCGCTCACATGAGTTTCCAGCACTGTTCCTCGCTCGCACATCCCGCCCACAGCGTCCAGAACGCAGTGACGCTCTCATACAAAATCTGCTTCTCTTGCACGGTGTCGTAATCAAAGTACAGGCTCTTGCTCTCGTTCCAGCAGTACTTGTCGATCATCTTCTTCCGGAACTCGGCGCGCTGGAACCAGATCGCGCTCGTCTGCGGCCTCGCGCGCGAGCTCTCACGGTGAGGACTCGCGTACGTCTCGGGCGATGGCGGGAACGGCGCGAGCGGGAAGTCCTCCTCGAGCTCGAGCTCGTCGTCGAATACTTCTCGAATGGCCGTGCCGATGTCGACCTCGTACTTATACAGCAACGCCTGCAAATCGATCGTGCCGAGGTTTGCGCAGCGCTTCTCGAAGCGATACGTCGTGTCGTGTCCCGACTCGCGCACCGCGCGGTCGTGCAGGAAGTACTCGTCCAGCTCCGGCTCCTTGATGATCCCGTTGTTGTATTTCTCGCTGAACTCGAGCACAGAGATCCCGTGCTTCGCAGCGTACGGCTCGAGGATGTGCGTGAAGTGCGTCGCCTCCGTCTCGGGAGGAATGCCGACGCCGTCCGGGCGGTAGCGCGACAGTCCCGTCTTAGGGTCCATGCGAGGCTCCGCAACCCAGATCGTGTGGTACTCCTTGATAGCTGCCTGGATAGCACGCTTCAACCAGGCGCGGTTCGCCTCCATATCTGTCCGGTCCAGCTGGTTGTAGATTTGGAGGGCCATGTCGGTCAAGAAGGGTGGCTGCGTGCGGCAGAGGTAGTAGCTCCGGCTTCCGTTCAAGATCTTGCCGTAGTGCTTGATCTCGAAGATGAAGTGGTCCACCATGCCCTTGGCCATGTTGACATATCCATCCACCAGCAGGCCGAGCGAGATGAAATACGAGTCCCAGTTGTACAACTGCCGGAAAGGTCAGCTCAATGCGCGTGCGACGTGGTCACTGGACTGACCTCATTGAACCGAGCACCTGGGACGACGAATGGTATGCCCTTCAATGTCTTTCCACCTTTGCCATCATCGATCTCGTTCATCGCCAGGGCAAGGATACCCGGCTTGCGGTTCAAACTCTTCACAAAGTACTGATCATCTGGCTTTGGCGGCAGCACCTGCACATCCAGGTTGAGGTGCGGCTTCTCCGCCGCTACTTTTGAATAATACTCAGCCATCGCAGGCTCGCCATGTGGTATATAAATGCGCGGGTTGACGCGACCGGTTCGGTTCTTCGGGTCTGCGCAGATGATCTCAAGACCGTCGCCGTCGATGCGACGGGTCAGGGCGTGCCAGAACGAGTTCTTGATCATGCGCGAAAGACGATCGACTGGGTTCTCAGTTAGACGGGCTTCATCGAGCACGATACGTTTTCTGCCGTGGTCACGCGCAAGAGCGAGCTCCTGCAACAGGTTTGATAGCATATATGTTCCCTACGATCGCTGATCAGAAATGAATCCAGCAGAAAGTGCCGTCGCGACTTACCCTGATATCAAAAGTCTTGAATCCATTGCTGGTGGCAGTCCCCAGCGACATCAGTTTCGGGCCCGCATCAGTGACGCTGATCTGGAAGTCACCATCGGTATCTTCTTGCTCAAGAACAACACGGATCGTCTCCTCTACGTCGATCAAGAACCGTCGCGGCCCACTGGGCTGCTCATCATGGGACATGCGCCTCCGTCTCTGATGCCCAACGTTCTCGAAAGCCGGGGCACGCCTTGGGTCATAAGCATGGGCAAACGACTGGAGATGAAGGACAATAAGATCAAGATGACGGTCGACGGAAGGAAATAAGACTCACCGCGCTGTATGTTCGTGATCGGCTGAACCGCTCCTCGCCGCCATAATAGTCGGCCGCTTCGGTGTGGACAGGGCGTTGGGCGTCGTCGACAAAAGTCACACCCGTAGGATGGGTCAATGCTGGGGCCATGGTAGATACGATACAGAGTGCGGGATCGGTGCTCTGGCCGACTCGAATAGAAAAAATTGAACGAATGCAGTCAAAGAGGCCTGTGTAGTTCGGCAGCGCTCCCGGGTGAGACGAGGGTAGAGACGAAAGGAAGGAGCGCGAGATGGTGAGAGACGAACACAAAATGCAGGGTATTATATGCCTTGTTGAGACAAAGACGTAGAGGGTCAAAAGCGGTGGAGTATAGCAAATGCGAGAACGTGAGCTCGGAGCGCGTTGCCGACCAGCGCTATTCTCGTCTCTTTTCCTTCAGCTCTCAACTCGCCCACACTGCTGGTCTCTGATTCGCGGTTCTCGTCGTCAACGCTGACGCTTTTGCGGGGAAGCTGGGGGAACAGGACGTGAAACACGAGAAAGCAGGGATCTACTGCGGGGTTTTATGCTACGACGTTGAGCGCCTTTTACCTCACTGATGATCTTCTGTCGCTCCAAGTTCATGCAAAAAATGGAACAGGACCTCCTCAGGGCTAGTGAACGTGTCAGGCTGTTTCCTGCACATGCGGCGATTCCAGCGGGAGTTGCAAGCGAAACAAGATCCGACGGTATTCTCATGGTGCCGTTTCCCCAGTGCACTACCCCATGGCACCATCTCTATTTCGACACCGCTGAACGCCGGCTCATCTCTTGATATGAGCATGAGCGGCCAATGGATGGCGTTTCATGATCCGTTAGACCTCCCCCGCTCTCATGACAGCCAACATACGGGAACGCCTCCTGTCGTCGGTGTGACTTTCTGAGCAACCTAAGGCACTGTCCCTGCATGATCCGCGACTTGGCCGCTACTGCTCTCCTCACGACCGTCTGCTCGTTACTAACTCGCATTACGAGCTCGGGATGTGGCCAACATTCCACCGACCGACGGCCGAACACTCGCTGTCCTCCTGACCACACCTGTCACCATGGTGTTTGCCCGGCCGAGTCCAGCGCTGCCACGTCTCTGTTACTGCGGCGACAGCCACTGCCATTGCCACCCGCTGGATCGCTCGGTGGTGTCTATGCGCCTGCACTGTGCTTCTCTCTGTGACGCGGCCGTCGCACTCCTTGTCAGATTATCGGCGGTCCATCATTGCCGCCTGTTTACTGCACTTCAAGTACCTCACGCGCATGGAAGCTTTTCGACAAATCCAATAATATACGTCTGTCATACGCGTCTGTTATGCTTATGCTATTGCTGAGCGCTGATTCCTCTTCATGCCCATCCAACAACGCGCTGCTCGGCCATTTTTGAGAGCGTTCCGCTCATTCTGCTGCACCACTATGCGAAGCTCACTAATAAGGCTCTTCAAACACTGCGCTCGACACGTTCATCCTCAAATTTCATCGCAGAATGCAAGCATCTTGCAGGGAATCCAGATGCTTCTTGGCTTCAATCCGCGCTCACCTCGTGCTCCTTGGCTGTCAGTCTGAGCTGCGAAAACGGCAAAATATTCTCTTTGCCGAACACCACGGATGCAATGTGTTCCATCGCAGGCAGTCCGTTATTCGTCATTCTCGAATCCCTCCACGGTTCACGTTCCTTGACGTCAACCACGGCTGTGCTATCGTATCGCCTCGTCAGGTTGATTATATCGCCTTGTTTTTGTGAAGCGAAGCGATAGATAGAAGCCCCTCAGCGTACGTATTAGATACTGTACAGACGTCAAAACAGGATGTAGCGATACTTAGAGTCTGGTCGCGACAAACAAATTATGTAGTACTTTCGTGACGGCGAGGGTTACGCGCGCATATATGTACGAGCCAGCCTAAGTGGCGCTGGAGGCGGCGTTAACGCTCTCCGCGCTCCTCCTTGCCATCTACAGCTAGCATGAGTTGGACGCAAGTTGTCCAGGATGCTGGCAGCGTACCACCAGACGGCGTTCTTGAGATGTCAGGAAGACTCCAGCCCTGGCCCTCACCTGCAGCGCATACGATGATCCTAGGGACGATCATTCCTACGGTGGCTGGACTGCTCATGCTCTTCAAAGACGTCTCGTCCTTTATCCCAATTCACAAGGCCCTCCGCAGGACGTTCAGGGCAGTCTTGTCGCCTTTCCGCAACTTCCTGACGCTGGACGATCTGGAGGAATGTCCGGAACGCGCTCCTCCGCCGGCGACGTGGAAGCGCAGGGCGCTCGTCCTCGGTGCTGCACTGGAATGCATGGCGTGGATTGCGGCATTTGTGTACGCAAGGGCGATAGACGACCGCAGTATGGCATTGGAGGCGGTGGTCGCGTCGGTGACATGGGTACGCGCTTTCCATTTTCCATACGCTGGCTGAGTGAGACATAGACGGACGAACGTTTCGCAGTTTTACGCCTCTACGAGAGTGCTCTTCAAGCCTCCTACTACCCCTCCGTACCTCTTAGTTTTATTCTATCTGACTCACGCTGTCGCTGCTCTGGTGGATTTGACGATGGGCCTCCTTGATGGCGAGGTAGGCGTCGGGTTGACGCTATTGAACTTCGTGCGAGTAGCTTGGCCCATGGCGCTCGCTTGGGTGGCAAGCTCCTTTCCGCTGGAGGCTGTATTACCTGCTGGCAACGTCGCACAGGGCACAGGTGTGAGTAACCATTGCTGTATGCCGCGCGTACCGCTACAGCGTTGAAAGCAGGTGCCCTCAAATGAGCTGTGCATGCCGGAGGACAGCGCAGACTTGTTGTCCTGGTCGAACTTCTCGTTCGTTGAGCCGATATTCTCAGTGGCCCAGAAGCGGACGCTGAATGAAGGCGACGTGTGGAGCTTGTCCCCGTACTTCAAGCACAAGAACGTCTTCAGCAAGTATCTCAGATACAGAGAGCAGTAAGCCCGCTAACGGTCACCACACTCCTATCCGAATTGAGAGTCGTTCATCAGGCACCCCACCCACTCCCTCCTACGCTTCCTGTTAGTCTCGAACTCTCTGGATCTGATCCTTGACATCGTGCTAGAAATGTGGAGCGCCGTGTTTGGTATGACTCTGACTAAATGATGAACGGACAGGGGTGCTGAGCTGTCGCAGGTTTCGTCCCTCCCTTCGCACTGCAGCAAATCCTGTCCGCGCTCGCGGACCCATCTCCGGAATCAAGGCGCGCCGCGTACGTATTCGCGCTGGTAGCCTTCCTGGCCAATCTGTCGTTCGCACAAGTGGACCTCTATCAGACGTGGTACACGCGTCGATGCTATGAGCGTACACGGGGCCAGCTGTTCTGCGCGTTGCACTACAAGTAGGTGTCCGACCAGTTTGCTGAATGCCACGTTGTTGACTGGCGCATTTAAGGGCACTGACGAGACGAGATGTCGGCGGAAAGAGCTCTCACGACGGTGAAGAGAACGAGAACGCTGACCTTGGCAAGATCGTCAACTTGATGCAGTATGTCAACCTCTCACGGTCATACAGTATGCGTCTGATCGTCTATGCAGAGGCGACGCCTATGCCGTGGCGCAACGGTTCTGGGAATTCTCGGGAGTCTTCACTGCCCCCGTCCGCCTGGTGATCGCTATGTTCTACCTGTATCAGTGAGCAGCAACACATCCTATCGCATTCTCCTCACCCATGACATGCACAGGATCCTGGGCTGGAGCTCGCTCGCAGCTGTCGCCGTTGTGCTGGTCGCATACGTCCTCAATTACCCGCTCATGAAGTTTTCGATCTATGTACGGTTGTACACTCAGTCATGGTTGACGAGTAGTAACGATTGGGCTTGCAGATCACGAGAAACTCCTGGAAAATAAGAGATAAGCGAATGAGTCTTGTGAACGAGCTGTTCCAGAACATCCGTTTCCTCAAGTTTTATGGATGGGGTGAGCACCGAACACTGCGCCAATCAAAGTGCCGCTCATCATAACCACGCTTTCACTAGAAACACGGTGGACAGAGCGTGTAAAAGAAGCAAGAGAGACCGAGTTGAAGTGGCGCGTGAAAGACAATATCGTCTCCGTGCTGATCGTCTTCATCTGGTCCTGGATGCCGTCGGCGACAGCTGTCGCTGTGTTCCTGTGCTATACCCTCATTGCAGGCGAGAAACTGACAGTGGCGAAGGCATTCACATCGATTGCGCTGTTCTCGTATTTGCAGGGGCCGATGACGGCACTGCCCGGACAACTTTTCGCTTTGTTCCGTGGTATGTGGCACGCGACTTACTGGCTAACAGGAACTCTATTGACGCATGAATAGCATACGTCAGTATGCAGCGTATAGAGGCGTTCCTCAAAGAGGCGGAGGTGCCCGACTGGGCGTCTTCCTTGAAGAAGCCGCCCAGTTCGGAGACCATCGATCAAGACGAAATCAGTTTTGAGGATGCCCGGTTTGAGTGGGATGTCTCTCCAAAAGACACCCCGTCAAGGTTTCAGCTGGGCCCACTGAACATACGGTTTCCCGAAGGCAAGTTGACTTTGGTCAGCGGGGCGACCGGATCTGGCAAGAGTGCTTTATTAGCTGCTCTCCTCGGCGGTATGTGCTGCGGCGAGACACCAATTAAAGCTTGCTGACGTGATTTCTAGAGATGCATTGCTTGTCTGGACGTGTCATCTTAAACAAGTCCGGTCACAGAGTAGCATATTGCGCGCAGAATCCATGTTCGTTCAAAGTTATGTTCTCCACCTGCATTCCTTCTCACCGTTCACAGGGCTTGAACATGCGACAATCCGAGAAAACATAATCTTCAGCTGTGCATATGGCTACGATGAACAACGGTACCAGGCAGTCATCGAGGCTTGCGCGCTTGTCCACGATCTAGAAATATTCGACGCCGGCGATCAGACAGGTACTGTTTTCTGGAATGCAATTTCCGGTGCAATAAGTTGACAGCGATGTAGAAATTGGTGAGAAGGGAATCACACTGTCGGGTGGACAGAGGGCCCGTATTGCGCTGGCACGAGCCTTATACTCCCAAGCAACGGTACGAGAACCTCTGCCATATGCGTCACCAATGCTCATGTGTCTGCAGTGCATCCTACTCGATGATCCGTGAGTACATTCTCACGCACGTTGCTGATCGTACTTCCCATGTTCTAAAGTCTAGCTGCCGTCGACATGCACACCGCTCAGCATCTCGTCAAGAAAGCGCTTTCGGGAGAACTAGCCAAAAACCGGACCATCATTTTGGTGACGCATCACATTAGTCTTTGCCTTCCCATTGCATCCTACCTCGTCGAGCTCTCGAGCGGCACTGTTGTCCGCCAGGGATCTATCCAAGACTTGCAGCGACAGGGCCAACTTACAACGTTCGTAGAAGCAGAAGACTTGACGGTAGAACCACAGACATCTCCTGCCTCATCCTCGGCGGCTGTTGTTGTGAATGAAGCTGACCTACTCAGCGGCGAGCAAGAAACTGACTCAAAGCCCGAACCCGCGAACGGGAAGCTGATCGAAGCCGAAGCTCGTGCAGAGGGTCGGGTGTCTTTGCAGACTTACTTGACCTATATACGGGCTGCTGGCATCTTCTCCTGGTTCCTGACGATAGTCCTGATGATACTCATCCGCCTGATCACGATCGGCAATCAGGTACATTTATATGTCGTGAAGTTATGGAGAACCATGCTGACACCATCGCGCAGTTCTTTTTAGCGAGATGGGGTGAGGCCTATGAGCGCAGTGGATCTTCCATCATGCGAGCCCTTATACGCGTTCCGCCGATCTGGGAACGCCTTCCTCCGCCGGAGCTCGACGTCAGACCCTGGCTAGTGATCTTTCTGTGCATCTCCCTATCGGGCGCGTTTTCCGTGATCGCCTATATCTCCCTTGGATTCTATGCGAGCCTTCAAGCCTCTCGATCCCTGTTTGCATCTATGCTCCAAAGGCTCACTGCTGCTCCTTCCCGATTCTTCGACGTCACCCCGATCGGACGGATACTCAACCGATTCACGTCAGACATCAACACGGTTGACTATGCATTGCAAGCCTCTGCCCGTGCGGCACTCTCGGGATGTCTCAACTTCCTCGCCTCCTTATGCGTGATTTTGTGGGTCGTACCTTCATTTGCACCCTTTGCTCTGTTCATTGCTTGGCTGTACATCCGGCTTGCCCCGCCATACGTGCGAGCGTCGCGCGATCTCAGACGGCTTGAATCGGTCTCTCTTTCGCCCGCGTTCGCTGGTTTTGACGAGCTGCTGAGAGGATTGGCTCACGTTCGTGCGTTTGGTATGGAGCAGAGATATCAGGATAGATTCTACCAACGTGTGGATAAGTTCCAGTCATTTGATCATGTCTATGTACGTCGCATAGTCGTTGATCTGCGGCCGTCTAATTTAATTGTTATCCCTCTCATGCAGTGGCTTGTGTCCGCATGGTTGCAATGGAGATACGATTGTAAGTGTGCTGCAACGTCTCTCGTGATCCATTCTCCTGAAGTCGCCGTGTCAGGCCTCGGATCGGTGGTGGTATTCCTGACGACGACGTTCGCCTTGTGGACCTCTGTATCCTCCGGCTTCGCCGCCTTAGTGATCGTGCAAGCAGGAGTATTTGCGGATGCATCGAGAGATCTCGTACGGTACGCATTGCTAGCTCGTTCCCTGTCAGCACCAAACTGAATACTCTGAAACACTCGTTTCAGCGTTCTTGCACAGCTTGAACTCGACTTCAACTCTGTTGAGCGTATAGTGGAATATCTAGTCGCACCTCAAGAAGCACCTGCAATCCTGCCGGATAGTAGACCGCCGGCATATTGGCCATCGAGTAACGGAGAGCTCGTGGTGCAAGATCTTGTTGTGCAATATGCCCCAGCGCTTCCAGCAGTACTGCAGCACGTGTCATTCACTGTGAGACCTACAGAAAAGATCGGAATTGTCAGTACTTAATTCACAACACCTTCGCCTTTGGCTGAATCCTTTCTTCGCATTCAGGTTGGCAGAACGGGATCAGGTGAGATCATGCACGTGCGACTCAGGCAAAGATAATATATACGGTTTGATAGGGAAATCGACTCTTGCGCTCTCATTGTTACGGATCATAGAACCAAGTGAAGGAAGAATCATGTGAGGTGGTATCTCCGCCTAAGATGCGTCCTCCTGACTCAAATCCTACAGAATAGACGGTGTCGACATCAGTAAAATCGGCTTGGATGACTTGCGAACTAGAATTGTAAGTTTATTGCTTGTCTCGGACTGCCAGCATCTCTTAGACGGTCTTCGAAGACGATCATCAGTCAAGATGTCTCACTTTTCTCGGGGACGATCAGGAGCAATCTCGACCCTTTCGACGAGCACACTGACGAGGAATGCTGGGATGTATTGGAAAGATGTCATTTGACGTCCATCCTGCGCCGCTCAACCGGCAAATCTGGAGAAAGCGAAATTGCGTTGGACATGCCGATCAGTCAAATTGGCTCGCTGAGCGCTGGCGAGCGACAGCTAGTTGCAATGGCGCGCGCTGTGCTACGACGGAGTAATATAGTAATAATGGACGAGGCAACTTCGCAGATAGACTCTAAGCTCGACGACGAGGTGAGAGATTGCGCTACGCTGTTCGTTCGTGATTAATTGATCACGCAATAGATTCAACGAACTATTCGTGAAGTGTTCACCGGGGCCATAGTAATCACAATCGCCCATCGACTCAAAACGGTATTGGACTACGACCGCGTCCTTGTCATGGGCAACGGAGAGATCCTGGAGTTTGACACCCCAAAGGCCTTGATATCCAAGGAGGATGGAGCTTTCAGCGGGATGTGTCGAGTCAGCGCGGATTGGAGGGAATTAACTGCGATCGTGCAAAAGGATAATTAGACGCAATAGACCTGCTTATACGCCGCGAAACGTTTCCTGCTTGCTCTGCGAGCGGCGTTCAATCCCGTCATGAAAGATCGCATAAATAAAGTTCGGCATAAGAACATGATGAACGGGATCTGATAAAAGGACTTGAGGTTCGTTCTTTCTTCTGCTGCTTTCGTTCGGGTGAAGTGATCAGAGACAGTGTTTCGGAGACGAATGGAGAGACTGGCGGATCGAAGCACTGTCGCGTGAATGGACGTACTTCAGATGTGGCTGAATTGTCAATTTAATTCTGATCGCTTTCTTACGATGAAAATCGGTACGTTTCCTGCTGTACCCGCGGATAATGTGAGTTTGACGATCTTGAGAATACACAGCATCTATTCCCGCAACCGTGAAGTTCCAGGCTTCCAGCGAGCATCGGCTTGCAGAATCTCATCAGGCGCATGGAATCGTACCATATGGCTTGACGAAGTGCGCTGCGTTGTGGTGTGGCAGCGACTATATCTTGCGTGACGTGCGCGACAAGCGGCAAGAGTCAGAGGCGATTGTGGGGGATGCAACGATGAAACGAACGTTGTCGTCGCGTCAACCTTCATCGTCTCCATGCAGCCGCCCTGCACCTAGATCGTGTTCAGTGATGAAAGGCTTTATATTGAAAGGTGCGTCGTGTATAAACCCGTAGACGCCATTGAGGATTGATACTCATGTGTTACTTATAGGGCGTCTCAAACCAAAATGGTCATTGCAGCTGTAGCCTTCACTCTCGTTGGTCCAAGGCTGATAGCAATACTTGGGGTGTCGGCGCTGCATCCGCACGCCCGGTTCCGAATGACCGGTGAGGATGTCGCAAATGCCATGAGAAGTGTGTTCGGCGCGATAGTCAGAGAATAGTAGATGAGGTTAACGAGCAAGTGTTGTTGTAGTCAGTGACAATCAATAAGCCGCTGGTCCTTCTTCAGAGAAAGCCGATCTACCAGATTGCTCAGTTTATCCAAGGCGAATGTGTTCGACTCGGATATGGTCTGGCAAGATATGGTACATAATCGAATGGGCAATTACATTAAACGATCAACCAGGTCATGATCGCGAACGCGATCAAGCCGAACATACAAAACAATAACAGGAGAACAGTACCGATTATGCCAACAATCACCGGATACGGGAAAAGGTCAGGATGCGAGGCATGCACGATGCGCAGGATCGCGGTGCCCAGCGCGTACCCGAAGAACGATGGAGGACCCGCGAGCGCGAACCACTTGGCTGAGCCTCGATGATCGCTATCGTCAGCCATAGGAATAGACACGTCCGACGGTCGTCCGTCGAGATGGTCTTTCAAGTGGTGGGCGAGGGCGATCACGAGCCAACCCAGAGAACCGAGAACGAGACCACCCAGAGAAGCGCGGAATACCGTCCAGCCTGTGATAATGAACGCGTGCCCGGACCGTCCGACGCCGTAGTATCCGAAGAGCATGCTCGCGCAAGAGACGAGGGCGGAGAAGGAAGCATGGAGTATATATCTCGCAGCGGCGAGGAGTCTGGGCGTGATGCCTCTGCGGCGTGTGGAGAGCGATTCCTTCTCGGTCTGTAGTAGCGCTTGCTCTGTGTCGTCGAGTGAGTCAACGTATGTTGCGTCCTCGTCGATCTGTAGCTCGGGCTCATTATTATGGTCGGGTGTAGGAGCCTGTAAAAAGGCAGTGGAGGTGGACAGCATGGACGGCTGGAACATGACGCCGGCACGAGATGATGCCAAATAGGAGTAGATGGTGAGGATATTCGATATTGAATAGCGCGGACGAGCAGGAGAGAGGAGGCATTAGCGACGTCCTGTATAGCTACCGTTAACATTCTCACATTCCGAATTTCAGCTCGATTTGAAATCAACCCACCGGTTCAAGACGATACAATATATGTTTGCTCACCGGATCTTCAAGAATAGTCGACAGTGCAGATGATAACATGATGTTAGCTGAATACAGTGTCGATGAAAGGACGGATCAGCTAGTCAGTCTAGAACACTTCGCACGTAGATCAATCGAGATTCTCTTGATGGCTGCTGGCAAGATAGCTGTGATGGAGTACTAAGCTGCTAGTAAGGTGCAGGCAGAAGTTGAGAAATGAGAGCTGATGGATGGGAGTGAAGGAGCACGATCCCTTTCGCTTGGTTCAACTTGTGAAGTGGCTAGGTCCTTGTTCGGCTCGATCATCATTGTTTATCCTGTCCGAAAGCGATCAATCGGGTAAAAGTACACTTTGAGGAGCTTCGCAATCGGACGACCCGGATCCTCTCTTGAGACAGAATAAAGAACGCGGTTCAGCTCAATTTTAGGACGAAGTGACGCCGAGCCTGTTGTGATATCATGACACAAGAATAAATATCCTTCTTAGCCATAACGCCGAGGTCTCCAGTAGACGAGTGAAGACCACTGTGGTGACACCGAATGCTGCATCAATTCAGTGCATGCAGATGATGCACAGGCTTTTCTCAACCACATACGACGCAGATCGCATACTCACGGTCCCGCCTGTCATTTCAGTTCGCGCACTGTCCAGCCGCTCATTACGAACCATCGAGAACGGAGGGGAACGGCATGAGATAAAAGCAGGCGTACTTGGAACCCAAATGACAGATCATGCGCGTGGAACAGATGTGAGAACCTTGTCGAACGAAAAATAAGTGAATTGAGACGCGCTCAGGCGTTCCATTGCGACAGATACACGTAACACGCATAGTTGAAGAAGAAACATTTTATACAAGATATATAGTGCGAGGTATGTCCGCTGAGATTGGCTGTGAAGCCCTGTGACGAAGCTTGAATCGCGAATGGCCACATTGTACGGCGCAAAGAGAAAAAATGAAGAAGAAATTTTGCGTAGAAGGTCTGCGAAATGCAACCGATGAGAGGGAGGGTACGAGATTGATGTGCCACTCACAAATAGCAAGCAAAAGCACAATCACCGCGAATCCGACAGCGCGGCTCGGACACTCATTCTCTCCCCTTACTCGTCGTCCTCCCAATCCGACCGCGTTTCTTCCTCGACATCGTCTATCCCCTCTTTCTCATTCACGTCCTGATGAGCACCGCCGGCAGTAACAACATTGCGCGATACGCTTCGCGGTTCAGCAATAAATTGATCTTGTTCAATAGAGTGTTGCGGGTGAGAGCGATCGCTCTCCGGGGCTTGTTCGGTACTTCTCAGGATGTTCAATTCGAATGACATGTTTTCGACGTCCGCTTGTCTCTGCGGTCCATGCTGCGACCGGACGAAAGACGGTGTTTGGGACTGCTCTCCTCGTGTGGACCGCGCTGCGGCTCGGACATTGAGGAGGACACGGGAGATCAGGACAGGAGCGAGTCTGTGAAGTTTATCAGTGTGCCGTTAGTAGAGAAAACGTAAGAAGAATGCTTCACGAGGTTTGCAAATAACCGACGATCTCTTGAGCACTCTGCCATATGCACAGTCGTGTACAGCAGAGTGATTAGCATCTTGCAGAAAACACGGCCTGGGTGGAATGAACATGCACTTACGACATCCAGGAAGTTCAATACAGTTATACATAAATTGAGTAGAAGCAATGCTCTAAATAATATGCTTTAGACGTTGTCAAACTGTTCCCGATTTCGCTTCTCACGTCAATTGAATTGTGCCTGTGAAGATGGTGGATACAGATGTGTTTGAGGTCAGAAATCCATGTCATTATCCGATAGCCGTACCATCTCTGAGCAGTAGTGCTGCAAGTGAAGGATTCCTCGCAGCCAGGAGGTCAACGGTGGCTGGTTTATGATTGATATATAGCTTGCGCCAAAGAACTGCGAGTGAAAGGATGCTGGCAGCTATAACACAGACGGAATTGGCCGTTTCCACTGCAGTTGGATCATCAAAGAAGTGTGGCGAGAAGCATTCTTGAGTTCGGACTCACATCTATCGATAAACAGATTAGCAAGTAGGGATTTAATGATGATACTGGTCTTACACACTTTGTACCAATATCTTGCGCTGAACTTGAAGTGGTGGACGAAGAGCACATGGCCATTCCAGCCAGTATGATCACGGAATATGATGATTCAAGGCCGAAAACTTCTCATGAATTCATCGTAGGTCAATCAAGGCTATGTCCCGATCAGGAGGAAGCGCACCAATAGAGACATTGAAGGCCACGTTGAGGACCGTTATCAATGTGAGGAGCATAACAGGTCGTCGATCGCCGCCTGTCACGGCATATACTCGTAACACTGTAACCACTTTGCTGCCCTTTAAGCTCTGATAATTTGTCATAAAGCATGCCAGCCTACCCCCTGAGATCAGCCCTATGAGAGTGAAAACCAGATTGCTCGTCATAAAATTTGCCATGCAACTATGATATAACAACAATCAGATATGAATAGATATGACAGCAAGGAACAGATCACCTCTTGAATATCGATAAGTCCGAGACATATGTAATCGAGGTGGTATCAAATAGCGCACCGTTACTGAATGAAAGTTCACGACGGACCGAACAGAGACGCTAGCATAGACCAGTGCAAGCATCCGATTGGCAAAGAACAACCATGCAGAGAACGAGCGCTCGCCCCAGAATAGTTTGACCTCCTGACAGAATGTTACGACATGGTCAAAGAATATGAGCGCTGTTTGAATGGAAGTCGTCAACCAGTCAACAACAAACGAGAAATACCGATTGACCGGCACCGACGACAAGAGCGCAGCTTTGTGTAAAACTGATAACACATCTTTCAATGCAGTACGTCCAAACTATCTGAAGAGACACACTTTTCTTCCAATAGAATAATTGCTTCAGATGTGGCGGTAGACATGTCTAGGCAGAGAGGGAGTCGGACTGTGGATTATGAAGTGGTAAAAAAATTGGCTTCTTTATAGGCCCATATTCCATCATGACATAATGCTTCATCGCCCGCTGGTACAAACCGGTTCATCTGCCACCAGTGAGTTTCGCGAAACAGGTACGACTTGGCTCACAATGTTTGACCATATCACGCAGACGTCAACGAAAACGGCACCTGAATGAACTTGAAGCGTACACTTCCTACTTCGGAATGCACGAATATTTCTTCCCAGTCGAAGTTGACAATCTGCGGGAGACGTGCCTGTGGCGTGGCAGTCACCTACGTGTTCGAGCGCGTCCGATCAATCACACAACAGGCACTTGAGTCAACGATCTATCGTAATCTCGACGGTGCCTGCGAATAGCGTGAGACGCAACTCTGGTGGCGATATCCGACGACAGCCCGGGTGATGAAATGGTCTCTCGGGAAACCTGTTCCATCTCACTGATCTAGGTTTGTTGGGTGCTCCGACGCTGGTCTGGACGTGATCTTGTGGAATTCGACTTCCAACTTTCAGGTGCATGGGCCCCTGACTGTCAAGGGCATGGCCTACAGGCTGTACTCGCTGTCGATCTGCGGCCAGCCTGTCATGAACGCCGGAACACACCCAACCTCACTGCCGGATGCCTGCGCTCCTTAATTGCGCCTCAGCTTCCCTTTCATTGCACGACGGAAGCTCATATGTCGGATCCATGCCTGGTATGACAAGACGCAACCGATTGACGCTGGTATGAGAAGAGGTGATCTGTAAGGTAATTAGCCTAACGACAATCCATTCGGATGCTAGTCAGCCGCTGACAGTCTAGCTTTCCCGCCAGCGGGTCCATTCTTCTTGAGCAGCGGGAAGAACGCGTACTGAAGTACATTCTGACATGCGTCTCATCTCGCGTGCGATGAAACAATTGTTTCGCTGCTAAGCACCTTGATGCAACACTCATCGAAACATATGAACGCATGTCAACGCGCTTTCCGGGATGATCATTTCCAATTGCCCGCGAGGCAGGATCAAATTTCACGGAATAATTGATCCTGTAGGCCAGCGTTGGCAATGCTGTAACTGAATCTTGCATGAAGGATGAAATTGGAGAGATGATGAATAAAAGCGGCCGTGACAACGATACACGTCGAAGGAAGGAGGGCTCACTGAGACGTGTGTGTATGACGTGAGAACCGCCGTGGCTCAGTGAACTGCACGAACGCACGCATACTTCGCATCACGAGATGTCGGCATGTCTTCTTCCTGTCTGTAAGGTTTATTGCTAAGGAAATACGCATAAGGACCGATGCATCGATATTTATCAAGGATCGCTCAAGGAGTCGTGTCGTCGGTGAAAAAAATTGGGTATGCAGAGCATGGAGCGGATAGAAGAGAGGTACACTGAGCTCAAAAAGCAACGAGACGTCTGCGATGAGCCTGAATCTTCGGATGGGATTCTTGGAATGGACACCAATTCAACATCTCGGAGGGTGATGGCAGGCGCTCGAAAGGCGTGCGCCGCGACCGTGCCACAGACGCGTCCTGACTGCAGCGGTTCCGATTTTTTTAACGAAAGTAATCGCAGGCCGCACTTTCTCGACGCCTCGATTTCAACCTGAGTCCGAGCAAACTTCCTGACCTTCATTTTCCTGTACATCTCAAAACCTTAATGTATCGATTTATCTATGAAAGTCTCAATGGGAAAGGTTAAATTACCCAATCAAGTTAAAACGCCTTTCTCGAATTATTCCACCCTGCCTGCCCTCATCTTCCCACGCCACCTCGCGTCCACATAAGTCGCGCCGCAATTTTGCCGCTTTCTTCAGTGCGGCGACACGGCCACGATCTTCCCCATGTTGCTCATAGCTGCGCGTGCTACGCGGCCGTTCGAGTGTCAGGCCGTGTCAAGAGCAAGGCGGACGTCTCAGTACCTGGTGTCTCCTCTGTCGTGATTTGTTTCCGTGGCGAGGGGACGGGTCGGTGGTTCGTACAATTTTGAAGGCTATTTGCAAAGGCTGTGGATCCTGTGTGCCTTGTTGGCGAGGAGTCTGTTGGGCTGTGTTAGCTAGTCTACAACTCGCTTGCTTTTTGCTTCGCTATGCTGGAATAAATGTGTCTTTCCTGGCATCGCACTTCCGAGCTCTTCGTCTGTGTCTAGATTGGAACATTCGGATTAGACTACATGAAAACGAACCGAATTCAACAAGTCCGCTGAGGTCCGTTCTTGTGAAATGCAGGGTCTTTCGAACGGATCGTTGGCGAATACTTGACGTTGGGAAGGCGAGGAGGTGAGCCCGTTGCATACCATTGCTACCGCGCTTTACACGGTGTGCTTATTAGCATGTAGTCTGCGTTATGTCTCTTAGTCTCTCTACTTGAACTGCCCAACATCTCCTTTAATCGCACCACCATGTAAATTAGGTCTCAGTATCCACGTTGATTTTGCAGTATCCAAGCTGTGATACTCCGCGGATCCAGCTGCTGTCTGCGTTGTGATATCCTCACCCTCGGTTCGACGTCTCAAAATGCAGACTTTCCGCCCAGATAATGGCGTGCGTCTCATGTCCCGTCGGCTCCCGTCGGGCAGCGCTCATGCTTCAACTTTCAAAGAACGCAAAATGCTTTTCTCAATCTGGCTCATTCTCTTCGTCTCGTCTCGTTCACCATGTTCCGGCGATCTCCAGCCCCACCTCCTCTGCGCGAACTATCGTGGCTTGCCGGTACCGATACCCCTCCCTGGGTCACCGTCGTGCCCAACCTGTCTACCCGCAGCTATTTAACAGCGGAGTCAAAGAACACCTCCGACGCACCCGCGGCCTGCAACCAATTGCGACACTTGTTCCAGGCACCCAGATCAGACCCGGTCTCGGGAGCGTCCCATTCCATCCAATCGTACCTGCTCGCAACCGCACACGAGGCTGCCCACCTGATGTGTGCGGAAGGGCAGATTGGCAGGCGGGGCGGTCGCGTGCTCGTCCTTCCCTGACGCTGCGGGGTAACAAGCTTCGCGATCTGGCGCGGGGTTGGCGATTCGTGATTGGACGGGCTGTGTTGGGGAATGCGCGGGATGGGCGTTGGTGAGCTAGTAGGAGGAACGCGTTATGGGGTGGGTTACCCGCCGGTGTGCAAGTTGCGCTGTCTACCCTCTAGTCATTGGGCATTACTTCCGTTGATCACCGCTCTCACGTTAGGGCTCTTCGTGTGCTGGGTGTCGAAACCGGCCCGTATCGACATTCCGGGGGGCGCCTGCATAACTACGAGGTCCGAGGAAGAGCGTGCCGAGTTCTGAGCGCGGATGCTCGCTGACCATACAAGGCTCATCATACCACTTGTACGAGCGCTCGCGCTGGTCTCTATTGCGATGAGAGCCCGGGGTATTTAGATCTTGTGGCTTGTGACCTGTACGACGCGCTTCCTGGGCTGCAAGGTTGGTGATCGCTTAGCCCACCTAATAGAGGAACGACTGCAATCTCCCCACCGGGTCGATGGCGCTACTTCATTAAGGATCTGGGAGAGGTAAAGAACAACGAAGATGGCTGAAGTGTACATTCTATGCAACGTAAAATTCCTCGAGGACGTATCTTCTGATCAATTGAACGCCAGGTCATCTGTCTGCCTGCCGGTGAGTAGGTTGTGCTGTCGTGAATCCGTTTAGGGCTAATTTACCGAGAGCTAAAGCGCACTTTCTCGACGCGATCTCAGAACGACAAGACGTCGAGGTTGAGTTCCTCAAATGTATGCGCCCGTCAATCAACGAGCGCGATCGTCTGTGTCGGTTGCATTCATCTCCCAGTGAGCATCTCGTGCTGTCATCTGCCCAAGACCCAAAGTCTAAGTTCTCGCCAGGTATGGTGCACGATCTGCAGAGACACATTTAGCACAGACGCTAGAAGCCGCAATGCTCCTGATGATGCTACGTGGAATAAGGTGATGCCTATACCTTAGCTGCCGCTACTTCGCGCGGCCCCAGGTGTGAAGAGAGAAGCACGGTGTGCCTCCTGTTGATGTCATGGGTAGCCTAGAGTTCGTGCTCGTATTCGGCCATTGCTGGGAAAGGAACTCGCCGCAATTCACTGGAACCCTCGGGCTCGACCATAGAGTCTTCACGATCGTTCGCGAGCACCGTTCGGACAGATACGCAGCGAGACCACGAGCGTGAAGAGTCCTGCCACTTACGAAACGACTCGTAGCCATACACTCGGTGCGACTTCGTTTCACACACCCTCCCAAGGGATTTTCCCGCCCAAGACCGCGGAGCCGACCTATACATATTCACGCTGCATCCGCTGTGCTGGGAGAGGCGTGACCTGAGGAAGGCGGGAGAACCCTGGCGTGGGCCGGCTAGCGTAGGAAGCTGGGGGCCGACAATGGAGAGCGTTGCCGAGGGGGTTGCTCGCTGCGACTCTGGCCTCAGCGAGACTCTCCTGGCCACGGCGCACTTGTTGCGTTGCGTGCTTACATGGAATGGGGGAGGAACGATGCAACGGTATGCTTAAGCTTATGGGCATTCATGTGCATGTGATATTTCCACTCGATCGACGTGTATCGCGAATGTGGTGGCTGGAGAATTGCATTCAGGCGGAGATAGGCTTAAAGTGGAATGGGGCGCCGCCGGCGGAGCGAGGACGAAGGAGGATGGAGCTGCTGGGAAAGAAGCGCAGGCACGGTCTGGCACGGTGCTACGCATTTGATCGGAGCCTGTACACATTTGTTCATAAGCCACCCGCCGGTCACCAGACCCGCCCAACTGCCTCCCGCTGCCCCTCTCTCACCCCCGCTCTCGCTTCCACCCACTCACCACGCACATAACGTTGAACCTGCTGCCGACGTCGAACACACCCATGGCGCCCGTCTCAAGCTCACCCACCCAGCCCATCGCAATTGAAGGCCACGGCCGCCGCCGTTCGTCCTCCGTCTCTGAGTCCTCTGACTCATCCGCCTCGCCGACAACGCCCCTCGCGCCTGGCGCAGGCGCGAGTATGGGCAATCCACCGCGCATCGCGCCGATCTCGCCGTCGACGTCGCCTACTATCCTGTCCTACTTTCTCGGCCAGTCCTCGCCCAAGTCTCCCTCAAGTACCTTCCCCTTCCGGCGCCCGCTCGCGCCCCCTGTCGTCGAAGGTATGCATGCTGTGTCCCCTCTTGTCTTCGGACTTCGCTGCTTGGCTTCGCATACGCATGCGAAGGCACCCCTGTTCGGCGGCATTCGCGCGAAGCCGAAGCAGCGGGTGGTGTGAGCTAGTAAGATAAGGTACTGACATATGCCAATATGACAGAAGACGAGTATCCCTACGGCCAGCAGCCGGTCCCGTCGAAGCATGCCCGCCGCGCCAGCACCAATTGGGCCGGTGCCGAACGCTTCGTACAGGGATCCGCGCCGCCCCCGCCTGAACAGCATGACAGGGCCGCGGGTATGCTCCGCCGCCTCTCTCTCGGCGGTGCTCTCGCAAGGGTGAGTAGATCACCTTCTTTATGTCTCTTGTCTGTTCATGTCTCTGACTCGCTCTGGTTCTCAGCCACAGATTCCTCCGTTCGTTGGGAAGTCGACGGGCAACGGAGGCCGAGTGGAGCACGGCTCGACTCCGCCGCCGAATTCGCCTGCTACGCCGACGACTGCACAGGCCATGAACGGGTCGGCGCCGGCGAATGCGCAAAGAAGGCCGAGGAGGGCACATACGATTAGTCCCGGGTCACAGAGGCAGCCGCGTGCACCATCGCCGATGGGCGAGCGGATTTTGAAGGGGCACTTTGATGGTTTCAACTGAGCCGATGTTGGGCGATATCTCTGCGGCCTCACCTCTGCGCGTTTCATCCTCCGCCGTGTTTGCTCTGCTCCCCTTGCTAAGCTGGTGGACCTCCACGATACCCCTCGCCAAGTGTCGTTCGCAAACGATAACTCCTTTGGATAGCCCTCCAAAAGTAAACGGCCGTGCTGCTTCGCATATTTTACACTCTTCTGCAGCCATCTGCGCTGCCTCTGTTTCCCGCTCTCGGCTCTCAAGTTCAAAACCCGCCGCTTGCGTCTCTACCTCCTCTCCGCGCGTCTCCCCTGCCCACTATCGACCACTGTATTTGCACCCACACACACGCAAGCTCTCGATCCTCGCAAAACTTCAAGTTTTTTGTACCATTCCCCCTGCGTTGCGTAACGGACTTGGCGGCCGCCTATATATAAATATGTGCATTAGTGTAACGTTATCGCTACTGGCTCTGTCTCTCTCGAGGTTGATTGGATCGTTGACCCGCTATAACATCCCGGATGGATCGGGTGGTTGTTAGTATACTTGTACTGGATACTGGTTTTCGTTCTATATGTACAATCCGCGATGATCGATGATCGCCAGTGATCGTCAGAATATCATGAATGCAAGGATTGAGAGCAGTGAATCATGGCGCGAATGAGTCCATTGTGGAGGGAAAATGATTTTGTCGCAAGTTCCGCCGCCTTACTACTGAACACGCACGTCCTATCAGTATGCAGCACAATACTCCATGGAATCATGGAATCTAAGTCCACAGATTCAGACAAGCATGCCAGTTGTGCAATCAACAACGATGATTATTATCTGCACGAACGAATGCGACTGCACAGCGTACTCTAGCTAGCGGCTTAGAGACAGCGCAAACGGTCAATCAACCAATCATGGTCAGTGAGTGAGGTATTGCGATATAGCACATCCCCAAGTATCCTTCTGCGTTCCACCCATTCTCTCGCGGGTCAAGACAACCCCTCTACATTCAACGTCAAAGTCAAAGTCCAATCCCAATCCCAATCCGACCCAGCCAGCCACGGTCCCAAACAATTGACGAAAAAGCAACAAGCTACCAATATTCAATACCAGTGGGCCTGCCCGCTGATACCACACGAACACGGACACGAAGTGCCATCAATCGATCTCGTCTGGGATCTCCATTATCTCGTCTGGGATGACCGTCATGCTCATCGGGCGCATGCGCGCGTCCTCGAGCATGTTCACGAGGTCTTCCAGCTCGTCCCTGCCTTTCGGCGCCGGCGTCGGCGTCGGCGTCGTCTTCCCGTTCGCGTACTCTTGCTCGTGCTCGTGCACTTCTGTTTCTGGTTCGGTTTCCGTTTCCGATTCTGAAAAAGCCCCATACGATCCGGGCTCAACGGGCTCGAATGCACCCTCTTCGTCCACATGCTGATGTTCATGTTCAGGCTCTTCCGTCAGGACAGCCTCCGGCTCTGGCTCCTCATGATCACTTTCCTCTCTTCCCTCTTCATGCGCTCCCTGCTCGACCATCTCGACGACCTCCTTCCCCGCCTCCTCATGCTTCACCTCCGCGGCCCCGTGCCGCTCGTCGATCAGCGTGCTGTCCGAGTTTTCTTGCCCGTGCGCCTCGACGGGGCTGATCGGGCTCTGGGGTTGCTCCTCGTGCTCGTGCTCACATTCGTGCTCGTGCTCGGACTCGTGGACTTCCGTGGAGATCTCTTCGTGATCCTGCACACCGGCCTCTTCGTGTGCATGGGAGGGCTCAGGCTCCGCCACTGCTGTTGCCGAAGAAGCTGGCGCGGCCTTCGCCTTTGCACCCGCTGTCGCTGCGCCTCTTGTCTTCGCCGGGCCCCCTCTCGCAGACGCCGCTCCTCTCACCGCACCCAGCGCAGGAACCGCTCTCCTCGCAGGCGCAGCCCCTCTCGAAGCCGCGACACTCTTCGCAGGCGTCACCGTTGTAGACGCAGCTGCAGCCGCGGCCGCAGGCGCACGCGCCTTGCTCAGACTCGCCGCGGTCGGCTTGCTCAGCCGATCAGACGCGGACACAGCCTTGCGCGGAACGGCAGGGACGGAGGAGGCTTCTGCGTTGCGCGCGCGAGCGAGGGACGCTGCGGTTGGAGCGAATAAACCTGAGCCGGACGTCTTTGGCCGGGCGGGCGCGGTGGCGTTAGCTGTGCTTGTCGCGTTTGGCGGCTTGCTCGAGCCCGAGGAAGTCTTTGGGCGCGCTGGGGGCTTGCTCGATGGGGTCTTTGGGCGTGCAGGTGTGGAAATAACATGGGAGATGTACGAGGACGGGCGCGACCGGGGCGGCGTAGATGCAGATGCGGAGGCGGAGGCGGATGCGAGCTGCGGCTTAGACGCGGTAGAAGACTTTGATGGGGAGGCTGTGGTAGGCTCGCCGTGGAAGGAGCTAGGTGGGGATTTTGTAGCTGTGCGCACGGGCGTGCGGGTGGTGGGAGTGTGCTTGTTGGCTGTTGTGGTCTTGGACGGACGTCCAATGATGCCCATGCTCGACTGGCGCGCCGGCGGGGCTTTGGGGACGGGGACAGCTGTCTCTGGAGGAGAGGGCAGGGGATCCGAGAGTGGGCCAGAGGAGCGTGGGTCGGACACGGGCGATATTGGGCCCGAAGCTATCGCATGCTCGGCCTGGGGCGACGTGGGTTTGCTCTCGTTTGATGGCAAGAGTGGGACCGTCGGATCAGCATCCGATGTCAACGTAGCGACGGTGGGCTTCGGACGTGGAGGCCATTCACGCTTCTCCTTGAGCTCCTCCATGGCGGAGTCGCCGGTGAGGTGGGAGGCGACGCTGGAGGTGCGCGAGGGCGTGGCGGGGGCGGGCGAGCCAGTGAGGGACTGCCGCTTGGTCTGCTGCTCGAAGCGGCCGATGAGGTTCGCGACGCTCTGGCGAGGATGCTCGTCGGGCAGCGGCCTGCGCAGTGGGGCTGATCAGCGCGGACGGGACGGATCGCAAGGGTGGGCGTACATTCTGCTGATATGCGGTGCGATGGGTGGTGGTAATGGGTACGATTGGGCGGGATGGACGTGATGATAAGCGGCAAAACGTTCGCTGCTCTTAACGGAGAGAGCGGTGGTGTGATGGTACGCGGACGAGGGCGAGAACGAGGGCGGTGACGACGACGACGGTAAGTTTGGCTGTGAGGGCAACTCTTTGCGCGTCGTGCCATTCACGTTGTCGCGATCACTACTGCTCGGATTCCCACACTTAGAAGCGTTTGTTACTGTGCTTAGAGACACACCATAACTTTTTGTGGGCTTGGCGCGAAACACTATCACTGATTGCTCCTCCTTCCAATAAGCAGAGAACTCCGTTGATGGCCTGGTTTTCTGCACGAAGCTGTGTCACCCCGTTGTCTCGAAAATGAAACGATATTGCAATCTCAAACCACCATCATAATTTCATCTTGATCCTGTTCATCACGATAATTCTTGCGCAAGTCGACAATTCGCCAGCAGCATGAGGATCATGATCTACGTGCAATATACTTATCGTTCATGAGCCCGACTCGACGACAGAGCCTCATCTTATGCGTGGATGTCTTCCGTGTGGTTCGAGGGAAGAAAAGTCTGAGATGAAGAGGTCTGGGGCGATTCTCGGACCGGTAGCACGGCAACGACGCTTCTCTGTTGAAAGCCCCACAATGTGCGAGACCCCATTGCGAGTTGCTCTTCGACTCGCACCCTCACACCCTCTGCAATCTCCACCTCCCTTTCGGACGCCACCGTCTGCTCAACCTGAACGCCGCGGCGTTCGACCGCTCCTTTGGCTCAGTACTTTAATCACCCTTAGTTATTGGACGCCTCGCGAGACTTTCCGACGGTATGTTTCTCCATTCGGGCTCAGGTTTTCGCGCAGCCTTTGCGCTGTGTCTGCTTGCTGCGAATCAAGCGAGTGCCGCTGGTACGCTCAAGGCTCCCTTCAAGTCCACTCTTGCGTACGTACTCCGAATGTGATTCGCCTTGCGTGGCATGTCTGATCAGTTTGGTTTCGTAGATCGGGAACTACGAGCCTCTATAGTATGTAGGCAGTATCGCAGATATCTCAATAACCTGTCATGACATTTGTGGATTGCAGACGCCTCCGCGCCTTTGGCTAATGCTGCGCTGAAAGTTGTGGCTACAGGTCGGTACAGGCTGTTCGAGGGGCCACAACACGTTTCTCATAGATATGGCATGTACAGTGCAAGCTGGCGACAATCAGACATTCAGCGAGGTACTCATTGACACCGGAAGCGCGATCTTATGGGTGGGAGGCGAGTCGGCCTACGTCCCAGGAGCGTACACTCAAGTGTAGGTGGCTACACAACTCATGGCAATCCGCACTGCTCATCTGACAACGTGCAGGACCAACCAAACATTCAGCGTCGGGTATGCATATGGCGTTCCGCGTAAAAAGCATTGCTGACAACGAGGGTCGTAGGTACGGCGCAGGTGGCGTCAGCGGCACCGCATACATCGACCGAGTGACAATCGGTAGCGCCACCGTGGACTCACAGATCATCGGAGCCGCAAACTGGTCGTACGGCTTCACGCTCGAGAAGCCTATCGACGGCATCCGTGAGTCTCGCTCCTTCCATATTTCACACTTGCAATCCCGAAGTGGAACACTCCAACTCATGTAACCCCGTACCTGCCCGCAGTCGGTCTTGGCCCCTCCGGTTCCAATGCCGGTGAAGTATCCGGATATACGAGCACGCCGACCTTTGTCGAGAGCCTTGTGGCGGAGGGCACGATCGAAAAGCCTGTGTTTGGGATCTACGTCAGTCCGCTCAGCGAGACTGGCGTCCCCGAGGGATCAGGTGAGATCGCGTTTGGGGGCGTAGATGAGAGCAAGATTAGTGGCGATGTGACGTGGCTGGAGCAGACCGAGCCGATCAACTTCCATTGGGAGTTCAATGTGCGTGTAGCGATGCGAGATGAGTGATGGGCCCCCGGGCTGATGCATTTACGTGATATTGTTCCATAGGCGTCGAGCTTCAGCTGGGGCGACCAGGTTCTTGCGAGCGGGTCGATCGCTGCACGCACGGACACCGGTGTGCTCCCCATTGCGGTCCCCAAGTATGGTTACGTTCTGCAGATCTCTGCGAAACGAGGCCCTGACAAGATGCATTTTGCAGCGATGGCTTCTTCACGATCGTCGACAGCGTCGCGGGTGCGACAATCGACAATCACTCCGCGCTCGAGGGGTGCATCATCTTCCCATCCAACATGACCGCGGACAACCTTCCCGATCTCGGCATCGGCATCGGGAATCTGAACTTCTCGATTCCGGCATCGAGGTTCGTGTGTGAACGTTTGGCAGGGGCATCGTGTTTTCTGACCGGTCGCTGCTGTTGAGCAGGTATATCGTGCCGACGAGCCTGTTTGGCGCTCTGAACATTACGGACAACATGACGCATACGTGGATCGCGCCTGGTGGTCCGGAATTCTTCGATCTCGGGCAAAAGTTCCTCGAGGGCGCATACTCGGCGTATGATAGTGCGTACTGCTGTCTTACATTCTCCTGTTAGCTTACTGATCACGAGAAATATCAAATGCATTTTCAGTGGAGAACCATTGTAAGTCGATTCGACGCGGCGCTCACCACGTTCCTGATTGCGCTTTGTATTATAGTGGTGGGATTCGCCTACCTCGCATGATGGCAAAGAACGGATACGGACGGACTTGGTTGTTAGTGACCATGGACTTTCGACGCTGTCGTTACTTTCGGACACGCATGGACTATGAAATACCGGGCATGCATATAATCACCCCCTGGACAGTGATTGATGGCAGGATTTGCCACTTTGACGATTTTCATTGATCATCATGGTCCCACGGCCAGGATTGTCGTGCCTCGGCGATTCTGACGTGCGTTGCAGCTTCGACATTGGCTTAGGGAGCTGAACTTCGTCATCTCTGCATCGAGATATTGTCGCTTCCAACAACCTGAGTAACTCCTCCCGCACCGCCAGAAGTTTCTCAAGGTCGCCTTATATGGCGTATGACGGTGGACATCTCTGCCTGTTGTTCTTATATGCTGATTATGGAACAACATGGCTTTCGCATACTGATCGTGAGCACCTTTCAATGTTTGCTAATGTTATCGCTTGCTAATGTACAATATGTAGGTGTTGTCTCGCGTATCCTGCTTGACATCATGACCTTACTACGAGTGGTGTGTTCTAAATTTATTTCTCCTAAGTTATAGATGTCAGAATTTGATCATCAACGGAAGAAAGCCGACACCATGCGTATCTTATTAGTTCTGATGGATTGCACATGAACATCTAGAGTCAAGTCCTCGTTACACATGGATGAAGCGGTCATGATGCGCCGCATGCTTCGATGTTGTCCGTAGGTCTGATCTCGTTACTTCCACTGAATAAGACATCTATACTGATCGAACTTCAGTTTGGTGATAGACATGCATGCGTAAACCTCCTCTGCGCTTGAAAGGTACATGGTTTCTCCGTCTCACATATCACATAACCGTGGACAACCTCCCGGTTTTGGTAATGGAATCAGGAGCGTGATCAAGCTGCTTCATCGCGCATTGAGTAGCGGGCCATCACAATTTCTGTTACACATGCGACCTTCTGATCGATGGGTATTTTGCCGCAGACGCATCATTCTGACGAGTCTGCAAGACGCACTTCGGTGGATAACTTGCATCGTGGTCAATATCACGAACACTTGGATCGCGTCCGGATCCGGAGATTCGGATTTCTTCGTTCTCGGGCAGAAGGTGCATAAGTACTGTGCACATGATACGACGTATCGTTATCCCGCGGATTCCCGCCACCTCGTATCAGCTCGCTAATCACGGGGCATGTTATTACTTTTGCTCTCGGGGAGACTCATCGTAAGTCTGGAGATGCTGCAGCGCCCATCACGTCACTCATGTTCTTTGTGCCATGCGGGTTGGATTCGCGTACCTCGCTTGAGGACAAGGCAGATGACACGACTGGATCTGAATGGTGATTCTTACGTGCCATCAACTTGGAAGCTGCCATCATTTAGGGTCAAGTATCGATGCTGGGCACGCAACTAACCATTTCTGAAGGTTGAACGTGTAAAAGTGGATGATGACATGAACTGTCAAATTGATGGCTATCGCGAGATCGTTGCGCCTCGGCGGATCTGACGTATGGTAGCTCGTTAATGGCACTAATCTCACGGTTCGGAGCTTCTAAAGACAAAACGGCCTTCTTACGCCGCTCGACGGTCCTTGATCGCGGTCATGCTGGTCGAGTCTGCTCTTCTATGGATGTTCATCTGGGTCTGAAGCCGTGCCCTCCGCCCTGTCTGGCTCATAGACGTCGCTCTGCCGACCATCTCTAAGTCAGTATCTATCCCGGATCAAGCGTCGGCCTGTCCCCTCCCAGTATATAAGTTCGACGATGTCCGCCTCCCGAAGTCCATCCCAAGTTGTACCTCGATACCTTCTCCATTTGTTTTCCGTATTGTTCTCCACATGAAGCCGGTTTTACAGGCCCTCGCTGCGTTGTGCCTGTTGTTTGCAGGACACGCTGGTGCCGAGAATCTATACAGGGTCCCTATCAAGTCGACGCTTGCGTAAGTCATCTTCATGCCTGCTCTGCCGTGGACGATGATCTATCTCTTACAGGCAAAGGCGTTCCGATGGTGACATTACAATCGTCGTGTTACGATTTCATCCTACTGAATCGCTTTGACAGAGGCGTCCGCTCCCGCGGTCAACGCCGCGTTGAAAGTCATCACAGCCGGTGCATGATGTCTTCCTTCTATCAGTCGGTCACGATCTAACAGGATGTGCCATTCAGTTCAAGCCGGCGATGACCAGGTTTTCGCGGATGTCCTCGTTGATACTGGAAGTGCGATTCTCTGGGTTGGCGCACTACAGCCATATGTTCCCGGGAAATATACCCAAGTGTATGTAGATGTGCCTGTCATTTTACGGCTTCTGACCAAGATGGTCATTATTCACAGAATCAACGAAACATTCAGCATTGGGTAAGTGTCTTTAACATTAGGTCATGCCTACCATGTTAATATGGCTCAAACAGATATTCTGGAGGTGGTGCCGAGGGAATAGCATATATCGACCGAGTTACAATTGGCGACGCGGTCGTAGACTCCCAGATCATTGGCGCGGCAAATTATTCGGTTGGATTGCAGATTGCGAAACCGATCGACGGAATTTGTTCGTCTCGTCTTCGCCATTCCTCGGGTTGCGCACGCCTAACGTCCTGCGTTTGTCTAGTTGGCCTTGGCCCTTCCGGTTCGAACGAAGACGAAGTATCAGGGTATTATACCACTCCCACGTTCGTCGAGAACCTAGTCTCGGAAGGAAAGATTGATCGCGCACTGTTCGGCATCTACGTCAGCCCGGTAAGCGAAGAAGGCATACCAGAAGGTCTTGGAGAAATTACGTTCGGCGGGGTGGATGAAAGCAGGTTCCAGGGCGAGATCGAGTGGCTAGAACAGACTGAGCCGTATAACCAACACTGGTCATTCAATGTATGCGGCAATGAAGATCGTTCTGTTGGTGGGTGGTGTCTGATACGTTCGTTGCGTAGGTTTCCAGCGTTAGTTGGGGTGACCAGCTGCTTGCCGAGCAACCCATGTATGCGCGCACTGACACTGGCATGCTGGGTTTCGCTATCCCCAAGCAAGCTTCCCACTGAATTGCTATACAGTGTGAACGTACTCACTAACGTCTTTCCAGTGATCTCGCTCTATTCCCGATCCTCGACATGGTGCCGGGAGCATCGATTGACTTGACGTCCTTTCTCGAGGGATGTGCCATCTTTCCTTCGAATATGACGGCTGAGAACTTACCCGACATCACCATCGGCGTTGGAAGTCTAAACTTCGTCATTCCTGCATCGAGGTATGGTCCCTTTGAGTCACTGTCAAGCTCCCATCTGTTAAGAGACCTGTGTTGCTCTAAAAGGTACATCGTTCCGAAGACCTTGTATAGCGCTCTGAACATCACGGACGACTTGACCCACACCTACATCGGTGCTGGCGGCTTTGGCGAATTTTTCTTGGGGCAGAAGTTCCTCGAGGGCGCGTATTCGGCGTACGACAGTGGGTGCTCCGGCCTGTATCAAGCACAAGTTTTACTGACCATTAACGGTTTGATGCGCAATTTCTAGTGGATAATCATCGTAAGCGCTTTGCTGCTGTCGTTTTGACGTCATTTGTTGACGTGATCGCTCGCAGTCGTTGGATTAGCCTACCCCGCGTGATCGGCAAAGACGGACAAATCGATTGTAAACGGCATTTTCCTGACGTTGTATTGATTAGGACTTCACTACGATAGGTGACGCTTACTGTAGCTTTATGATCACTAATATGTTACATTTTCATGTCTCTTGAACCTGTGGCTGCTTCGGTTTGAACTTCCTGTTCTCATCGTTGGCGAGCGGGGATGTCAATGTCATATAGGTTCTGTCAGTGCTAACGGCTTTCAGTACAGGAAACGCACAGAACCTGGCCCTCAGTGCTAGCATCGAGAATTGCAAGTTCGGCCAACTAAAGTGCCAAGTGATCTCAGTCCCTCGCGTAACGTCCAGCGATTGTATCATGTAAAATCCCTAAACCTGGAGTTAGCAGACCACTATGACGATGCAGTTGAAGCACAAGCCACCTGATGTGTGCAGCGGCGCGGTGGAACAGCTACCGCAAACATCCACCTTGGCCTTGTGAGTACTAGTAGTGTCTTGGTGTTGATTGGCCTTAGTGTGCGCGATGTGCGCGATGATGGCGCAGCCATGATGCGCTGTGTGGATCGCTTTCTCGTACGTATGCGGTATATATCTGGCCGAGATCACACCTCTTCTCAAAGTCAAAGCTTCAAGACATACATCATAACGCGGCATTTTACCTACACGTGTTGACGCGAAGCCATGTGACCGCAGTTCCATCGCCTTTTTACACGTTTGGCTTATTTGGAGGCTTTTAGGGGGCAGAGATGGCATTTAGTGTGCATGACGAAGGCCAAAGCAGGGGTGCGTCCATTCACCAGTCTTGCATCTCCAGGTCAGAAAAATGGACTGGGCAGCTATGTACAGTCACTATCACCATACTTCCAGGGATTCCACCGATATTCTCGCGTTCATTCTGGCCATTCGCTCTCTTACATAACGGGGTCTAGAACCGAGAAATTCCTCACTACGGAGGGCCAATCTCGGAAGCGATCATGGACAAACGGTTCACATTCGTTCTATGTCCCTGCCCGAGATCACGACCTTAGTCCGAACTTGCTCCTGTCTATCAAAGGCATTCCTGCTTAGGCAGTGATGAGTTATTTTTCGTCGTTCTCTTCTAGCATGGCAACCGATAGTATGCAAGGAAATTCTGCAGTGGCAGCAAGCGTCGTTGAAGGTCCGTCCGCGATCTGATAAGAATCTTGGCCACTATGGACGAAAGTCGATACTCAGGTCCATGCATGTCTTAGGTGCACCTTCAGACACATCCATTCCTGAAATGAACGGTGCCACATACATGCCGTCACAAATAGCACGGCGCAAAGGCGGGCTTAGTTGTACAGGTAAAGTTCAGTTGCTCGTTATTTATCTGGCTTTCGCTTTTTGACCAATCGTACTCTTTGATCTAGAATGTCGTAGAAGGAAAATCAAATGCGACAGGTCTGGCTCCCGTTGTTCTGCTTTTGTTCCTGGCTGACAGTTGTCCCGTTTGAGCAGAGCTCGACCATGCGGTCCATGTACTCAGAGGGGAAGCACCGCATGTGACTGGGTAATGCTAGAACCGGAGTAAGTGGCAAATAAGTTCATTGATCAATGAGACAATGTCTGAGAGACGTCAAGAAAGAGGGATGTAACTCGACGGGAGTCTGAAGACATTAAGGCGGAAGTCAGTCGCAATCATGCAAAGCTGCGCGAATTGGAGCTAAGTCTCGATGTTGCGAACCGGAAGCTGCTGGAACTGGAAAACATAATCAGACACCTCACTATCAGTCCCGGTTCAAGCTCCCCCTCATGTTCTGCACCAAATCCCGCGCCACCTTCACATATGATCCATCCGACAGCTGTGCTCCCATATTCGCAAAGCGTACAGTTTGTTCCGCCTATCATAGAGTCAGCGTCTGGCCAGTTGTCGCCTGACATACATCGCTCGCAACATCAGCAAGGCTCAAGACATGCACTTGGCCCTCAAACGGAGAGTTATCCTCCACGGACATATAAATTCTTACCCCCCTTAACTAATATCGAGCCGCTCGTTTCTCAACCGGTCACTGTTGTGCCTCATTATTCCTTCTCCGGGTCGCCTACTAGCGAGGATTCCTCGACATCGCCTTCTACTTCTGAAGGTGGAGGCATGCAATGAACAGTACTCCCCGATGAAGCTGCTTATACTCCTCCATCTGTATCTTCATCGGAAAGCAGATCAGTACCTCATGCAGAGGCCCAAAGGGTGCTAACGGAGCAAGGCGCAGGACCCACTACTGCCAGTGGATCTGCGTTACCGGCTGATGGCTCTAATCATATGCACTCGAGAAGAGGGATGCTATCACTGGCTGCGATCACGAATCACGAGCCGTATCCCGCATCTCCTCTGCAGACAGGCGGCATGCAATTAGCATTTACAGATAGTTACGCTCGTTGTGGGATTGCTCCGGACTCTACTAAGTGATTTCCTTCAAGACTACCTCACTACGCTGGCTTCGTTGATATGTTCGTTCAAAGCATGCGAATAGAGAGACATACGGTGGATTTACAGACATGATATCTACACAGTGTATGGTAGTTTCCAAGCAGGAATGCAGTCTGGCCTCAAGTTGTGCTATCGAATAGGCCGGGGGCCTGCTGTAAGAGGAGTAGCAAGTCTCATTGTCGCCCGACAACATAGTGTATCATGTAACGATTACATTATTTGGCAGGAGAAACAAGTTTTTTTTCGTGCTGTTTCAAGGCAAGGCGTTGTACACAGGCCTATCCTTCATTCAAACCACTTTATCGACGTCATGACCGACCACGTCGGATCAACTCGACCTCGATGCACAAGAATGGCAGGAATTCATTTGTATACATCAATGCTCAAGAGCAACGAAGGAGCCAGAGTGCGTACTGCATATCAATACGCCATTTCGCATACATCTGTCCAAGCGTGAACTTATTTATGAATAGATGTCCATCCGTCCTCACATGTGCAAATCCATATGCAACAGTCCTCGAACAATGCACAAGAGCGAACGTGTCACGTCGGCAACCAAGACTCGATCGCCTCGACTAGCCGATCTACAGCATTCTGTTCCCTCCAGAAATGCGTTGCATTCTCGACCTTGGCAGTCTGCAAGGAGCCACGCTCGCCCTGAGTGTCCCTATTGAGAGCCTCGAGCCACTGCTCATACTGCTCCGCGCTGGTGAACTCGTCTCGGTCGCCGTAGATGATGAGCACGTTGGACAACCGATCGCGGATGAGGGAGGTCAACGCGTCTGTGTAGTTTTTGCCATGGAAGGCTGTGAGCCAGTGGCGGGCCCCGAGAGGGTATGAGAGGAGGACGTGAGATACTCTGGGCTCAGGGAGAAGGGGTTGGAGTGAGGCTATCAATGCGCCGTATGAGTATCCCTGCACACCACATTAGCGGGAGACGAACACAAGATGGTGGAATAGACCTCACGACATACAATGATCACAATCGAATCTACTGGGTTGAAGGCCTCTGTTGCCCATTTCACCAGCTCGTTTAGATCTTGTGCTTCACGGCTGCCGGTAAAAGACGACCACCCTGATGACCTTCCTACACCACGAGAATTATACCTCAGAACGTGGTAGCCGCGTCGGTGCAGCGGTCTTATCAAAGTGTGCAGTACACTGGAGCGAGATTCCGCAGAGGAACAGCCAAAGAGGAGAAGCAGATGCGATGAGCATGAATTCTGACCACTGCATGACTCTTGCGACCCACGGATCGTCCATTCTCCCACCGAGCCATGACCAAGGATGCAAGCAGATCGCGAGCTTGTGCGTAGCGTCAGAGTCCTTCATGGGTGCTGGCGCAATGTGACGTTCGAGCGACGTCCCTGAAGGCAGCTGGACGGCTAGAGGTCCTTCAGAAATCTGCGTCGACATTGTGGCACATAATGGAGAGCAAGAGCGGAGCGTACGTGAGCGTCGCACTACGATATGGGGCTGGACGAGAACTCATGGCACGTGGATTGCCACAAGCGCGTCGAGGCGCGTCGCGATTGACTGTGAACGCGTCTTCCCTCAGCCACTCTCGCTCGACCCAGACAGACCCTGTATCACTGCTAGACCACGCCATGATCATCCCAATCAACATCTCGGCTCCAAGCTCTTCCTCATCTTCCTCGCAGATATTCCCACCACAGCTGGCCCAGTTCGGCAGCGATGAGCTGGTGCTGATAGAGCTGCAAGGCTCGTTGGAGGTGAAGGGGGACAGGGAAGGCCAGGTGGTTGGAAAGCTTCGGATAGACGATGCGACAGTGAGTGCCCTCGTCCACGCTCATGACTGTGCGAGTAGATGCGACATGCTCTAAACCATCACACAGCAGAAGCCGACGCTGCTAATAGGCTATCACTTGCTAGAAGGCCGACTCGTCAATCTCCCTAAGCCTCTCGCGGTCTTGCATCGCAGGTCGTTACCGTCGGACGCACATGACGACATCCCAATGGACGATGTGGATGCATCAAAACGAAGAAGCTCTGAAAAAGGATGGGACGTGGTCGCCATCGTGAAGCGGAAGATGGTGTTTTCCAAACGACCGATGCCTATGGTCTCCAAGCCTGCTACACCAGCATCGGAATCACAATCTGGGAAGAAGGGAACATGAGATGTATATATTACTGTCGGACAGCGATTCGTCTTTCGTGTCTATATGCTGTACCGACCTGCTGTATCCAACTGCTCCGCATCGATATCCAATCGTCTAATACACAATTTTATCATTTATAGAATACTCACGTAATGAACATGCCTATGATTCAGAGGAATGTCATGATTGGGTGATATCAAAAACAATGCATTGCGCCACGAACGGAAGAATACAACGTCGAAGCGTACTCTAGCAATGGAATGTCGGTCCTCTCCAGTGCAGAAACCCGTCCTCCCAATCAACCACCACTCCGTCATGAGCACCAGCCGAAGCGATACCTCCAGAAACAGCAGGCCAACCAGTCGAGCGGACGAGTCTCAAATCACCGGAGAAAGCACCGTCGGGTTGTTCTAGAGGACTGGAACGCGGACAAGGAGACGGAAAGCAACAACCGAGTCCGAACTTTTGTGTCCTCATGGATTTGTTCATAGAGTTGCGAAACGCGGTGGCTGAGAATTTATGTGCGGACTGTACAGCCATTAGATAAGCGTTTCACATGACATGGCGCTCGCGTGACGTCGGTCGGCAACTCCGCGGGTACGTGTTACCCCGGATCGCGAGGCCTCGAGGCTTCACACCAACGCTCCTCCGCGCGGAGTCGACGGAAGTATTTGAAGTTCACTCTTCCTTTTGACCATCGTCTGCCATCGGTTTGACAACCTCTGCTGCACACTTGTCTTTAATTGTAACGAGAATTGCACAATGTCGCGACCATCAAAGATGCTCACCTTGTCTCGCATTGAGGACCTAACTTTGGGGTCATTCGCGTTCGTTCCTACCTCGGAGACGTTGGATCATCTCGTGCGATACCTCAGCACGTGGAGCGGTAGCGAGTCAGTGAGACTTGGAGCCCTCGTAGCTCAGTGCAACTGACGCGTTCTTCCCCTGCAGCAAGTTCTTCATGGTCAGAGGGGCAATGCTACGCGACTCGAGCAGTTACACTTACGTGAAACTGTCCGTCATAGATCATCCAATACGCAATCAAACTGATCGTGCCATTCCTTCAATTCCGTGCTCGGATGCAGCATAATGCTGGATTACGCCCGGCACCCGTCAGTGCTTCTGCAGACGGACTGGCGAAGCTAGGCAGCATCCTCGGCGATGCACGAATGCTCTTTCGTATCTGGGGTAAGTTGACGTAGAGTCTCATAGGTTTGAGCTATGGGGAACGGAGCTCGTGTGCGATCTCAACTCACTTACCTCTAGGCCTCCTGCCCATCATACAATGGCTTACTTCAATTGAGCGGAGCCACCCGCAAACCCGCAAGCTGCTCACTATCGAGAGGTTGCAAGGGTGGTCCATGATTGCATATTATCCCCTTGAGCACTTGTATTACCTCCTGTCCCACTCCATCATCGCGCCTGAGCTCTCCATGCCATCGCTATCGTCATTGCTTCCGTTCGGCAAAGCGAAGCCTGGAAGGCGTATCCGTTTGGACCTGAACGCCTTGGGCATATGGTCTTGCCGGTTCTGGGCAGCCTATGTTGTCCTGCAGTTCATGCACCTGCGTGAAGATGCTCGGCTGCTCAAGGTCCGTGAACGCGTAGTGAGCAAGTCCAAGGTATGTAGTAAGCTGTTTCCTATCTGTCGAAGAGTGCCTGATCACATAGAAAAAAGGCCGTCTCTGCCAAAGCGGAGAAGGAAGAGCTGAAGCAGAGATGGGATGCGCTCTGGAATGAGCTCATAGTCAACCTCGGCTACCTGCCATTGACCGTGCATTGGTACGTGCACTTCCACGTTTGTTCCCTTCTGGTATTCTCCGTCCCTGCGAGCGTGAATTCGGCTGTGTGCTCCCGTCAGCAGCTTGGAATACTGTATTCACGCTCGGCTGCTCGACGTCGCCGAATCCTCGCTGCTCGCCTCATGTGCTCCTGCCGGGCTTCGCGAACCACCCCATGACTGCAGCTCGTCCCCATTGCGTTCTATCTCGCGCTCTGGATTCACGGCGAATTGCTCGCATTTGCATCGGGCTGTGCATCAATTACCGCGTATGCCGATCGTCCGGGTCGCTTGTTGGCCGCGCTCGTCATTCCGCGGGCTCGTGTGGAAAACGAACGTTCTTCTGGAATGCTCGCTATTGTCTCCAACAAATGAGGTCCTTTTACGTCGACGAGGCTGTGTTGCGGAAGACACGTGATGTTGGAGAGGTTCCAGCTATCGAGGTGCCTTTGTCTACTCGTCCCTTCTCCCCTGTCGCATCGACCAATGGAACGGGTCTCTTGCTGTCATCCGGCAACCTGATTTAGCATGGTCAGAGAATGGCTGTGCGCAGACGCGTGTCTACGATAGATACGCTCCCATGCCCTAGGAGGCCTCGCGCGGCATGCTCTTAAAACGTTTCCCTGCTCAGCCGGCCGGCACGTCTGACAGTGCTAGAGCTGCGGCCTGCCCAAGTTGGCGCTGGCTGCTGACTTTCTGCGATCGTTTATGGCGAATGTGCATTGGCAGTATTTCTCTTGTACTTATGTTTGAAGGTCCGTAATCGGCTCTTTCCTCCGGCCCCCAGTGCCTGCATGACTTATCACTTTCTGTATGGCTTTCGTGATACTTGAAACGTTTCCCCGATAAAGTACAGTTGTGAAGGCACGCTGCCGAAGGATGTCTCAAAGAGAATGTCAGGATATTTTCTCGTCGGTGCTATCCATCAGCAGATGCTTGGTTCCGCACGGTTTGCACGCCTATCGTACCGTCTATCCGGATAATGTGTTGTGCTGCCTTAGTCCAATCTACTTCCGCCCCATCGCACAGGCTGTGTACTCCATCCAGGGTACTATTCTATTGCATATCTTCGCTTCTAGCTCCTCGTTCGCCGTTGCACCGAACATACGGTACTGACTCCATTGTTCCTGAATCTCCGTCACAGGTCTCTGGAACAGGGTCTCTTCAGTGATGAGGTGCGTCTTCATTTGTGGTATCTCCATCGCTATCCCCCATCTGCCCATCTTCGTTCAGCGATGGCGTGATATCTGCGAGCTTATGTGCACAGCCCTTTCCATGTTTGACCATCGTGGCGCTCTTGCGCTTGCTGCGCGCCATATCGCTTTATATAATGTTGCACGTATCATTGATGGAGGCCTTGCTGACGTGACGAACTGTAGGTGTGGGTTGGCGTGTTTGGATTGATAGCGGGCCTGGCGCAATGGCGCAGCGGCTGGAAGGCCACGGCGCTGCCAACGCCTGTTGTGGAGGTGACCCTTCTGCCTACAGAGACTAGGTCTGAAGTAGTTGTCGCGGAGGGACCGTCTGCGACGCCGATCGACTTTGACCTGGAGGCGCCGACTCTGGATGAAATGTGAGTTTCGCAGACGGCGATGAAAGTATGCAAACGGAGGACAGCCTGTGAGTCCTTAAACTCAGATAAGGCGGTCTCAAAGCTCGACTGACTGCGGATGTTTATGCATAGAGTCTGGACTTGAGATGGAGTTTTCTATGTTCTATGCAGTGTAGTCAGGAGATACACGAGAAGCACCGGGAGTCGTTACTCACTTCTTTGTCAATGATTTTAAGGCGGCCTTCAATCGCCTTCTAAGGCCATTGTGTGGCATCTTTCCTCCCGCCATTCCAATTGTATTATGCCTCGAATACGTACTGCTTGTTTCAGCAACATCTCGGATGCCCAATACTACCATAATGTATGATCATGACTGGCCAAAGGTCTTGAGCGCCTAAAGTCCAAGCATCTCGCACATGCAGCTCTTTCGTAGAGCATATGGCAATAATCCTTCAGTCCAAAGAAGTGTCCCCCCGCTGTATTGCCTAAAGTACTCCTGCGCATCATAAGCCATCGCATAACCGATCGAGCAATTGATTGTGATATCTGAAAGCCTAAAGGATTTGCGTTACCATATAAGGCGCGAGCACAGCCATTTTTTAAGAAGCACAGCCTCATATTTTAGCGCCGACTCTTTGCAACCTCCCTCCATGATAACTAGCGGCTGGATTCTCCAACCTCTGAGCGAGACTGCTGTATGAAAGCGATGGAATATCCCTACCGCATAACGAGCTGTGTGTTCGAGGCGCAACCCACTGCGCACCGCCATATACATTAGATCCGAACGTCGGTGTGTTTCAAATACTGTCTTCCTTGTTCTGGTCGGGCCGCCTTTCGCTTGGCTGCGAAAACTCTGCGCAGCCAGCTTTCCTTGTCGATGTATCTCGTGGCCCGTGACGTGAACTTAAACTGGAGCAATGAGCTTGGTCATTCGTGTTTGAATTTTCGTGGACGTCTGCGTTACTTTTCTTCTCTTTAACATTCTTGTAGTGCATAAGAACGACGTCGGTGTTCCACAAGAGATTTTTGCATGCTGTGCTAGTTCTGATTCATTTTTTTTCAACTTCTCCCGCTGCAACTCGGGGTAGTGGGGAGGAGCTTTACTCCGATCGATATAGCATGGAAAGATCTCGAATGGACACCGCATGAAGCATAGCTCGCAAAATCTTTCGAATCATGCTGAATCTTGAGATCATTCTCTTGGCTTATAAAATTGCGCAACATCGTTGTACAGCACCGGTCCGACGCAATGTGAGTGTGGGCATTCCAAAACCGCCTGGGAGACGTTGACACTGGATTCTACCTTTACAGCCCCCGTCCCCCTGTTAGCCCGAGTACGCATGCAATTGGCGAGGCTATGCGAACCTTGCACCACCAAGACAACCCCCCTTTGTTCTAACAGGAGTAGCACAGCGCTCAAAGTACTTGTCCGCGTGCTTCCATCTCGGGCTAGACAGTGACCAGTATGAATTTGGACATAACCACATGCTTGCGTAGTGGTGAACACAAGATACTGGGCAGCCTAGCTTGCACCAGGGCTGCGAGCTGTGACCATGCTGCGGATACAAGCTCAACGACGTTCCGCCTTCTGCATCGGGAAACATAGCATTCAAAATGTCGGGCCGGTCCCGGGATTCTACTTTGACGTTCTTCCCTATAATTGAACGCATTCACCAGCATGCAATGAAAACGTTCGCAGTGTACCTTTGGTAGGATCTTCCCGCCTGATGCGTCACGTTACGGAGTCTGCAACCGCAGCAATCAACAGGATGCAACAAATATGCTGACGGAATGCTCGCACGCTTGTGTAACCATGTTGTCAGCGTGCGAACGGTAACATTACGACATACCGTGGGCATTAGACGTATGAAGCACGGCCGTCTGTCGAGCGTTTCATGAAAGAGTCTCCATATAAGAGAGTTACCTAGGTCGTAGCTTCTATGGAACGAGAAGCACAAAATACGCGGCCGCATATTCGTAGAACCTCAGTGCTGGGTCGGCAATAACACTGCTTCCATGGCGTTGCGTCGGGCGTTTACAACCTATCGCCTCTAAGGAGAAAACAACCTTAGCGCGCAGTTACCAGGATTAAGTCACCTCACGACAAGTAAGCATGTTACGTGCTCGATGGTTTGTGACGGCATCCTGGCCTCACTACGCGATATGGCTGCGCTGAACGGCCCCGTACTAATCAGATATGTGGCCAGGTTTCAAGAATCTCGCGTCTACTTGCCTTTCAGGGCCGCTGATATTGATCGGCGTTTCGAACTTCGGCTATACGTGCTTCCAAATCTCGAAGCGAAATGATGCCTCGAGAGTTTTGCTTCTCCGAATTAGCCGGTTCCCGCGCTGTTATCGTGGCTGATGAGGCTATGTAGGCCCCTTACCCACCGTACACGTCCTTGGAAGCATGAAGATTTTGCCACCGTTCTGGAATCGAACTGGATCGGGCGTGAATACCAGGAAGCCACCCACGAGATGAGAAGCAATCCAATGCCGCACTATGTGTGCTAGGAGAATAACATCGCATGGACCACGTTGGCTTGTACGAGGACCTCGTGTGTGCGGTTGAGGGGCGGAGATCTATTGTGTGTTATTTGACAATGTTCACAGCCTCGATCGGACCTGACCAGTGCCAATGTTAGCAGTTTGCATGCAAGTTCATGGGATATAGAAGCCATTTTGGTATGACCATGAAAACAACCGGCCTTGTTGCTCCCAAGCGCGTCACCTGAACGGTCCAAGCAATTCATGAATTGGTATTGCAGTGTAAAGTACTCCATGCGCCACTGCGGGTCCACAGCAGAGCTCTTCGCAGCATGGAGCGGAGCTAGCATGCTATACCTTTCATTCAAGCCTCCACGTGATGTACTTGCGTTCCTGCATTCTAGCATATGCCCTTGCTCCAATGTCCGCGCGCATGAGAGAAACACCTCCAAAGGAGCGTTCTGGTCAGCAGGTTGAACGCAAATACGAATACGCCAAGGACGAACCTTGCCCCAATGAACATCCCCGAAATGAAACTCTGAGGCAGCCTGCCGGCGCAAGAAGTGCGCACTAGCCCATCTCGCGGCTTGTGTCTTTCGTGTAACCCGCAGAAAATGCGGATCACTCCAGCATCGCCTCCGGATAACGCTGGAAACATGACGCGCACTCGAAGCTGGCTCGCAGAGGGTGGTGTTTCAGTGTGTTCTCAGAGTCGCCGCCTTGAGTAATACTACGTGAGGTGAGCAGACGCTAGACTGGCTCCGGTAATGAAACATCCAACTGCGATCCTCCTGGATGAGCGCTGACTGTCGAAGCCCCGCCCATACCCTATGCTCGGTATCGAGCGAGCCATGAAGAAGCTTCCGTAAGTGTGCGACACGTTCACAGCAAGAGGTACAGCTTTTCACAGGAATGCAAGAACATTTGATCAGTCGAGTCGGGGATGAGGTAGCTTGGCAGATGCATAATGATGTTCCTGATTATGCACGATCTTTGTGCCGTCGCTTGATCGTTCGGCCAGCAAGTGATGTATACCACTGTGTGAAGAACAGTGTGTGTGTTGAACAGCCTCCCAGTCAGCCATCATGATAGTGCCATCTGTGCATCATAGACGGCGACCAGGTGTCTGGATGCGGCGCCCAATTATGCGGCCTTCGTGGCCGTAATTCGTTGGCATCAGGGTGCTTCCGTGTCTGTTCGAAGCTCGTAAATTGTATACTGTGTAATGCGCAGTGTAATTGTACTGCGTTCTCCGCGCATTGTGGTAATACCACGAGAGTTCACTGCGAAGCTAGTAGCTTTCTGATCAGAGTGCAATACTAGTCTACGATGTTTCCTTACTATGGTTCCCAGCAGAGCATTCGTCTCATCTATGCAACATGCATGTCCTTGGTCATGCCTCGTGAGCCGAAAGGTCTTGTTCATCCTGCGCAGAGTGGCAGAGTGGCTGACACACTGCAGAATTGCCAATAATTTGTTTGCCATTACCCCCAATACACGGGCGTCTGCGTTATCTGATAAGCCTTCAGGAACCACTGATCCTAATACACGAAGCAGTAGTCAGCCGCATGCATTCTCGAGAGGATGCATGACTCACAAACCTAATAGATACCCAATTCTTGGCGGAGACAGGCGAGTAGAATGAGCGATGCAGGTGACAGTGGGCATGCCAACTTGAACGTGCGAGTATACTGCCTTTATACTAATATAGCGAAGGTGGGACTCACGAGTGTACGAGACGCATCTGAATTGACGTCAGCGCTTTGCACAGTAAGTTAACGTTGGCATGAGCACCATCAAGCCGATCGGGCTTCTCCACGGATAGTAGCGCCGATGTCGACGGCTTCTGCTTGTGTGACTTCCGGGGGATCAGGCCTGTCAGGTTTCACGCTGAGAATGTGCCTGTTGCACATAATGGATCTGATACGAACAAAACATCATGACAGAATGTGCAAAGTTGAAAAGTGGAGGTGGTCGGGCGCTTGGTGTAGTACCGGATACTATACCACATTCTCGAGCGATGTTACCGATGAGGCCGGCTCAACTTCCTGGGGTGGAAAGATTTGAACCGTGTGTGCGTGACACAGAACGCAAGAACAGAGCCGCCACCAGCCTGTAGATCGTAGATTGTGGTTCGTAATGGAGCGCTCGACACTTACCTAAATCGGTGCCCTTTACGAACTAACAATGTTCTCCGGGAGCCAGTCAAGCTAACCACAGGTGGAGATATCGAGCTATGCATGAGTATCACGGAAGGAGCAAAACCCTGGATACCCACGAGTTCTGTGAACTATGGTTTACGATTCAGGACAGAACGCTCAATACCTACCGAAACTCTATGTGCCCGAGGAGCCAGTCCAGCCAAACACAGGCAGATATATCGAGCTATGCACGAGTATCACAGAAGGTTCAAACCTAGATCACCAAAAGCTCTACAAAGTGTCGGCCGCAATCGGCACGGGCCGCTCGATACCTACCTATATTTCATGCCCTCTTTCGGAACCAAGAATGTACCCGAGGCAGACCAGCTGGCCGCAGGCGAAGAGATATCCAGCTATGCGCGAGTGCCGCAGCAGGCGGCGGCGTGAATCGCCAAGAGCACTGAATACTGTGAACAGCGATTCGGGACGGGCGGTTCGATATCTGCACGAATCGCCCTGATCTCGTACCTGACGAACGTGCATAGAAGCGTCTTCCTAGCTTACTCAGGTGACAAGACATCGCGCCGTTCAAGTCGGCTGTATGGTAGTGTTTGCGAAACGAGACACCATGACCCGGTGGACCGCGAACCGGGGGGATTTGCCCACTAGCCCCGGAACAGTTCCGGCATGTATGTGACCATGATCATGATGTGCTCGTGATCTCGTACGATGATCACCGTTGGCCTTCGCTTCAATCGAAAGCTGTATGTTCGAGTCTCCGATATTCAATATTAAACCCTCCCTCGAGTTTTTTTGTCTTCGGCAGGATTTCTGCCGTCGGATATCGTGCGCGCTTCGAGCGCATTCGTTCTAGATATCCATGTAGTCAGCAAGAGAATCCGGACGCGAGGGAGGGAAATAACGATCGTGCCTCTGCCCAGAGGCCGCGGCCCGCCACTCGGACTTTTCCTGTAGACAGATCATGCGAAGCGATCGGTGGCGTCCTAGTGGCGTGAGCCTATCGCTGCGATGCTCATGGCGGCATAAGGAGTTTCGGCAGCGAGGTACACGTTCGTGTGGTAAATATTCGGTCTGGCCACCAGGAAGAAATGCAACGTGTGGCGGCCGAGATGCCGTGCGCTGTGGCCAGTTGCGCGCGCACAGAGCGGACAAGCTCACATGCAAGGTGCAAAGAGTACGTCGAGTTGTGCTCACGATGTCTGCAGATGATTTCTGTCTGGTTCAGCGATGCGCACGTGAGGTTTTCACACTTTCACTTTTGCCCAAAACGTGAATTCCCCGAAAGAGCGATTACATCATGATACATTGCTTATCTCGATCGAGCGTCTACGCTTATCCACGCGAGCGCCTGTTCAAGTGACGAGCGTCTATCGGCTGTGCGGTCAACTTTTTTGATTGACTTGCAGCGCATGGCCTGCGTGAGGCGGATTTTTCACGCACTTGAGATCTAATGATTAGTTCTGTGACGCGTCGCGGAACGCCAATTTTGGGTTTTGTGCATTGTTTCCGCGTGGGGGCGATCTGGAACGCCGGTACTTACGTGTATTAGCGCGTGCGGGGAATGCGTGAGGATGTATGTAGAAAGGGTCTGCGGCCGAGTCGGCGCACAGGACCGATGATGGTGGAGAGATGAGGATGGCAGGAGTGATAGTTGGCGGCAGCAGACGGCGAGAGCCAGGCAACGTGCATGGAATTGTATATTACAATAGAGCGCCCGATGGCAGGCGTTCATACATATGTCGGTCCCAGTCAGATGAGTATGCTAGGCGGGCCGCATGTCAGAGCTACGGATCGAGTAAATGATCGAGCTGTGCGTTGCGAACAGGACTTGATCGATGGACGAACACGAAGGCGCCTCGTTGACGGGAAGCTGGATAGCTTCCCTGCGTAAGGAGCCAGCTCAGGAGCAGCGGTAGAGGGGATACACCGATAGGCAAAATATTTGTCAGACATTGCGTCATGTTGAGTAGGGCGACGATCATGGAGAGCAAGGAACGTATATGGTTTGGATGACTTGATACGGGATCTGAAAGTGACAGAAAGGAGCTTATAGTCCAGCGGCGTTAATCGAACGCGGAAACCTGATGTATGTTCCGATGTAGAGAACTCCGACTGTTTCCCGAGGAAAATGCCTCAGCGAGTCACCGAAGCGCAGAACGGAAGGGACGGAGGTTCATAATCTCGGAAGGGGAAGCCTATTCCGTTGGGGAGGTATGCGGCTTCTGCCGTTTATTTTGAAGCAACAATGGGTGTTTCCTGTACAGCCAACACATATAGGGGAGGGTTAAGTGTGCCCCCGAATACTGAGTACCGAGCCTGACGAGCGGAAGGGGAGCCATCCTGAGAGCGGTGCGATGTCCTTGGAGCTGGGCGTGGAGACAAACCGGACAGCTCCAGACTCGATGACACAGGCTGACTGCCAATATATATGACAACGCCGAGTACGTGTGCCTCACAAGCTTTTTGTGAGGCTGTATACTTGTAACATCGTAATTTGTGAATAATAATGATCGCGTACAGAGCTCAGGCAGGATGTGGGATATCGGCGCGTCGAGTGGGGAGGCGCCACACGGCCGGGCTCCCGGACAAGATCTGAATCACAGGCACGTGCACGTTCTGATGGCCACAGCCTCACGGCTGACGACGGACTGGCATCGACGCAGCGGACATCGGACACGGCGACGCTTGCAGTCGGGACGGCACAGCAACGGACAGGGAGGACGGACGGATGTCGAGGAGCATTCGCGCGGAGCCTGGGTAGGTCGAGCATCTAAGCGCTTGGCATATACCCGATTTGGGGGAGGCAGTGTACGGCCTTCTGGAAATATGGTGGACGTTCAAATACCGAGGCTCGTAACCTCCTCTTAACCTCGTTATATAGCACGCCCGCTAGTGTAGATGACCATCCTCTCCTGCCGGCTCTCTCTCCCATCGTCTCATGTCTCTCCCCACCAGTGGCCCAGAAATTCCACACATTATCACCACTGACCTTTCGTCGTCTTTTGACCTGGACGAACATGCCGACCGTTCCCACGCAGATTCCCTTCCTCCTCCCTCTGATGCCAGCGCGCTAGGCGCTCTCGCGCCGCTGCTTTCCGACCACAAACAGCATTTGTCTTCCCCGACACAGTTTTTGTCTCCCGCGCCCATCCCGCGGGCTTCTTCCGGCTCCTCTTTCGAGGCTTCCTACTCGCCGACGCTGTCCCCTACTCTGGACAACCGCTCGCCGTCTCCCTCCTATGCTGGCTCAGTTGAGGGGTCCTCGTCAAACACGCACGTACCGCCTTCGCCCACCCTGTCCCACGTCTCATCTGCAAATTTCAGCAACTCGCCTGTGCAACGGGACACCAAGCAGGATAGGGACTCGCGCGGCTTCCTCTCGCCACCCACTCAACCCCGCAAACATGGCCGCAGCAGCAGTGCCGCAAGCGCCATTTCGCTAGGCTCAGCCGACGGCGCAGAGCCTGAACCTCCTATCCTTGAGTATCATCTGCAGCCACTCAAACTGCCGCAGTCACCGTACGAGCCTGCGCCGGCATCGCCGACGCACTCGCACTTCGACCGCGCATCAGAATTTGACGGGACTACCGTCCGCTCTCGTTCGGGCTCGGCGCACAGCCGCCAGAAGCTTCTAGGCGCCTCGTCCCATTCACATTCGGACGAGCAGCTCGCGGATGCACAGCATCCGGTGGCAGGCATAAGCGGCCACATCAGTGGCGAGCCGCCGGAGAACCCGGCGGGTCCTGAAGCAGAGGACGAGGAGCCCACTCACGTTGAACTTGACCTGTCGGCGGACGACGATGTCGACACCGGGCCGTTTGAGTTCAAGCCTGTGCACCTTGCGGCGCTCGTCGACCCCAAGTCGCTCGAGCAGCTCGAGGAGATGGGCGGCATCAAGGGTCTTCTCAGGGGTCTCGGGACGGACGCGAAGCGCGGTCTGTCCGCGCATGCGCTCGATCTGACAGAGGAGCAGGCGCATTTTGGGCGCCCCGCGTCGCCGGTAAGTAAGGCACACGATGACAGACCCGGTGCGGGTACGCATCCGGGCGCAGGTGAGGGTGCGAGTCAGAGACACGACCGACAACCGAATCCCGGTGGACGTGGCAGGAAGAGGAATGATGTGCCAGGGATTGTGGTCACGGGACCAGCGAGCGAGGTGGACCTTAGCGCAAAGCAGAGCGTGAAGAGCGTGACAGAGGTGACTGAGGAGGAGGGAGAAGAACCGTGGCAGAAGGGCAAGGCGTACGAAGCGACCTTGGAGGAAAGGAAACGTGTTTACGGCGAGAATGTCTTGCCGATACGCAAAACGAAAAGCCTGCTGGAGCTGATGTGGCTGGCCATGAAGGACAAAGTTTTGGTGCGTATGCTTGCCGCGTAAGCGGTGCCTTTGCTGACGCTGACTTGCACAGATACTGTTGACCATTGCAGCAGTAGTTTCTCTTGCGTTGGGTTTATTTGAGGACTTTGGGACTCCGAGAGAGCCGGGCCAGCCCCCGGTTGATTGGGTGGAAGGTGTTGCCATTGTCATCGCCATTGTCATCGTTGTGCGTACTACACCGGTTGCAGCGCGTCTCACTCACTGATCTTTCACACCTACCGTTTTTGGTCTTGGCACTTATCTCGGCAACTCCCGACGTTCTCGGCGCTTCCCGTGCATACATTCACATACACGCCTCCGACCGCATAGGTCTCCGTCGGGTCCGTAAACGACTGGCAGAAGGAGCGGCAGTTTCAAGCGCTGAATGAGAAGAAGGAGGAGCGCGGCGTGAAGGTGATCCGCGCCGGCGAGGAGCGCGTGGTCGATGTTCACGAGGTCGTCGTTGGCGACGTCGCGCTCGTGGAGCCAGGGGAGATCATCCCCTGCGACGGTGTCTTCCTCAGCGGCCACAACGTGCGGTGCGACGAGTCGGGAGCGACGGGCGAGAGCGATGCGATCCGCAAGATCAGCTACGATGAGGCGATTGCGATGAGGAACGAGAGAATGCACGGCGAGTCTGGCCCTGTGGCGCACGGACACCATCATCAGGGGCACTCGGACTGCTTCATGGTGAGTGGGAGTAAGGTGCTAGAGGGCTATGGTAGCTATGTCGTGATCGCGGTGGGCACGAAGAGTTTCAATGGGCGCATCATGATGGGTGAGTGTGTATCCTTTTGCCGGTACCCCTCCTTCCGCTTTATGTCCACGCCCGCGTTCTTGATCGAATGCGGCGTGCACGTGGCGCGCCGACCACATCATTCCCACATGTGGGCACGCTCGCTGACGGCTTGTTCTTATTGGATATGGACAGCGCTTCGCGGAGACACGGAGAATACCCCGCTGCAGCTGAAGTTGAACGATCTTGCGGAGTTGATTGCGAAAGCGGGGAGCGCGGCTGGTTTGTTGCTGTTCATCGCGCTCATGATCAAGTTCTTTGTGCAACTTGGGACGAATAATCCGCCTCGCACGGCAAACCAGAAGGGTATTGCGTTTGTGGACATACTCATTATCTCTGTCACGCTTGTGGTCGTCGCTGTTCCAGAAGGTGTGTAGTCGGTCCCGGCATATAGCCAATCCTCCATTGATCTGGATCTGTGCAAATGTAGGTCTGCCGCTGGCGGTTACGCTGGCACTGGCATTTGCTACGAAGCGGATGACGAAGGAGAACTTGCTGGTGCGGGTGCTCGGCTCGTGCGAGACGATGGCGAATGCGAGCGTAGTGTGCACGGACAAGACTGGCACGCTCACGCAGAACAGCATGACGATCGTTACGGGCACGATAGGCATCCATTGCAAGTTCGTGAAGCGGTTCGAGGAGAACCCGGCGCGCGCGAACGTGGACGCCGAGGCTGGGGACTTTGCGATCGACCAGACCGAGCTGAACGACGTGCTCTCCGAGCCGATGGTTGAGCTGCTCAACGACGCGATTGCGGTCAACTCGACCGCGTTTGAGGACGCGGACCCGGAGACGGGCGTGATGGCGTTTGTTGGGAGCAAGACGGAGACGGCGTTGCTCAAGTTTGCGAAGGAGAATGAGTGGGCGGACTACAAGCAGACGCGGGATGCGGCCGAGATCATACAGATGATACCATTCTCGAGCGCACGCAAGGCGATGGGCGTCGTCGTGCGTCTGCCGGATGGCCGGTACAGGTTGCATCTTAAGGGTGCAAGCGAGATTTTGACCAAGCGATGCTCGAGGTATGTTGTGGTTGAGCGGGGCGGTAAGGGCCCCGATGTCGATGCGCTGGAGACGAGGGAGGTGGATGAGAAGGCTGGGGAGGGGATCGCGCGGACGACGGTGTTTTATGCGGAGCAGATGCTCCGCGCCATCGCGCTGTGCTATCGCGACTTTGACATCTGGCCGCCGAAAGGCGCGAGGTATACTGCCATAGACGAGGTGAGCATCCAATGCGGTTTGGACGTGTGAACTTCAGTAACTCCGTTTCTATAAGGTTGAGTATGAGGACCTTGCAAAGGAGCTTACGCTTATTGGGATAGTCGGCATCGAAGATCCTCTGCGTGAGGGCGTTCGAGATGCTGTTGCGGATTGCCACAAGGCTGGCGTCACCGTTAAGATGTGCACTGGCGATAACATACTTACGGCAAAGTCTATCGCGCAACAGTGTGGTATCCTTACCCCCGGCGGTGTTGTCTTGGATGGCCCATCGTTCCGGAAGCTGAATGACCAACAGCTGCTTGCAACGGTACCGAAGCTGCAGGTGTTGGCTCGCTCGTCGCCGGAGGACAAGAAGCTGCTCGTCGAGAAGCTGCGTGAGCTTGGTGAGATCGTCGGCGTCACTGGTGATGGCACGAACGATGGACCTGCGCTCAAGACGGCCGACGTTGGCTTCTCCATGGGCATTGCTGGGACCGAGGTCGCAAAGGAAGCGTCAGACATCATCCTGATGGACGATAACTTTGCGTCTATCGTCAAGGCTATCATGTGGGGTCGTTGCGTGAACGATGCGGTGCGTAAGTTCCTGCAGTTCCAGATCTCGACGAACATCACCGCCGTGGTCATCACGTTCGTCTCTACCATCGCGTCTGGCTCGGAATCTCCGGTTTTAACTGCGGTGCAATTGCTTTGGATCAACATTATCATGGATACTTTCGCTGCGCTCGCGCTGGCAACGGACCCCGCGTCACCGGAGCTGCTGGACCGCAAGCCGGACAAGAAGACGGCTCCGCTGTTTAGCGTGGATATGTACAAGCAAATCATTGGGCAGTCGATATACCAGATTGTGATAGTGCTGCTGTTCCATTTCCTGGGCGATCAGATATTTGCCTTTGACCCTTCGGCGGACGAGACGAACATTCAGACGGTGGTGTTCAACATATTTGTGTTTGCCCAAATCTCAAACTCGTTCAATTGCCGGCGCTTGGACAACCACCTCAATATCTTTGAGGGTATTTCGCGGAATTATTACTTCATTGGAATCACTCTTATCGGTATGTCTGGTCATCCTTCCATGTTGCGTTTTGCTAATTCGTCCGTTGCAGAGATCGCTGGCCAGGTCTTGATCGTCTTCGTCGGCGGCGACGCGTTCTCGGTAGAACGTATCGATGGTGCGGAATGGGGTATCAGTCTCGCTCTTGGATTTGTGTCCATCCCGCTTGGCGCCCTCATCCGTCTCATACCGAACAAGCCGATCGAACGCTTCTTTATCTTCATTCATCTCTTGCCTAATCCTGAAGTCCTCCCGACGAAACGTCCCGAGGGCGACTGGAATGCGGCATACGAGATCGTGCGGGATAACCTCAGCACGTTCGCGCAGGTTCGCGGTGGACGGATGCGTGCCTCGTCTTATGTGGGCAAGAGTCGTAAGGCTCGCCCTCCGCCGGAGGCTCAATTGACTATGTATGCGTCGCTGTATCTCTCTGGTCTTCCTAAGCTGACACATTGCACAGGCCTTCTATTATGACTATGGTGCCCACCTTCATTGCCTCTTCAGTTGGTGCTGGATGGACCCCGCCGATGCGGACGAGTCTGTCAGACTCTCCTCAACGCCGTTCACGCAGATCTATATTCTTTGCAGGCCGTTCGCACAATCATTCCGGCAGTCTGGCCGATACCCCTGCCATTCAACGCTTAGGCTCACGACAATGATGTTCTACGATCATGAAATCTCAATGAACTCTCTCTCCTCCTGCAAAGCTCGATATCCGCAATGTGCCACGCTCGTTTGCAGCCTTGATGCAAGCTTCCTCAACTATTTACCTTATATTGTCACTGCTGTGTGCGCTTTTTGACGTCTTTCTTCCCTCATATTCACTTTTGCGTGTATATACCCCGCACGTTATCTCTTCCGTGGGAGGGTGCCCTATTCATCAAGGCCACGATCATCACGACCCACACGTGCCCGCAGTTCCTGGATTCGTTATTCGTTCCTGCGCCGCAGTCTGGTGTTGCCCGTAGCTTATTGTGCATATTTGTTGGTAGCGTGGATATTCACGAAACATGTACGTACCCTGCATAGATACAGTGTTACCAGAATCATAAAACACGACCATTACAACGAAACGAGGCACGCGTGCAGATGTGCTGATGAATTGGGCGTTAACGAGTACAGTGTCGCAAATCAAAGTACGATTCGTTGAAGAGAAATACAACACAGCGATGCAATCTTGCAAGTTTGCAACCGCGACGCTCTGGATTCATACCATAGACAATCAACCACTGATTTTCATCACACGCCGATTCTTGAAGGGGTGACCGTCCCATTCGTGACCATCCCCATCCTGAGCATCGGCACTTCTCTTCACCCCCCGACCATAGGCAATCAGCTTGGACACGGGAGCGTATGCAGAAACCTGGGCTTTGTTGTTGACTGACGCCGGCTCAAAGGCATGATCCTCTTGAGACGACGGCATCTCAGGCGATGAGCTTGCGCTCGACAAGTCGAGATCAGATGATGAACTCGCGCTCGACGAGTCGAGATCAGATGTGTCACCGTCGACACACAAGCCCACGGGGTTGACTTTGAGCTCCGACGTGGCAACATGGATAGCCATATGTTCCGCGGCATTGCTTTGGCCCGGTGTTGCGTGAACAGCTTCCGCTTTCGGCTGAGCCTCGACGGTATCGGATTCGTACCACTCGCGAAGAGAGGGCCGAAGCTGCGGGGATGGGTCCATCAACCGTCTCGCGTACTCTTTGAGACCAGGGACAGGCTCAAAGTCGAAAAGAAGGAACGTCAGGAAGCTTTGGCCGCACGAGTACCTATCAGCAAGAAAGGGATTATGCGGCCTTGCTGGGTGCTTGTCCTCTTCTGCTTCCTCTTCGTCGTCGTCTTCACGTTCAATTTCCGGAGCCATCCAAGGAAAGGTTCCAACGTAGTCTGTGCATACGGGATAGTCGCACGAGACTTCAACGGCGACGTCGAAATCAATGATCTGAAGACAGAGCTCGTTGGTGAGGACCATGTTGCCTTGTTTGATGTCGAGATGGGCGATCAAATGATCGTGCAGGAATGTGACGCCCTTCGCGAGACCGACGGTCAGCTTGTGAAGCTGGGTTTTCAGGACGCCGGAGGTAAACGTTTCAGAGTACAGTTCCCTCCAGACGGGCTGTCGCATCGGGAGAACGATGCATTTGCCCACACTCGCGTCTATCGAGTCGATCAACTGGAAGATATGCTCAGAGCCAGGGATGAAGGAATTGAGCTTCTCGAGGAGGCGCAGCTCCTCCTTGCAGCGCAGCTCCTCCTTGCAGCGAAGCTGCTTCGCGACATATAGCGTACCGCTGGGGTCCGAAATCTTCCGAATCGGAAAGATGGATCTTGGTCTCTGTTGAGTGGGACTTCATTTTTAGACGCAAAACGAAGATGATATATGGGACAGCTCATACCCCGTGTGTGCCGAAATCGAAAGACGGCACCAAAACATACTGCTCGGTCGTAAAGTCCTGGTCCTGGTTACCTCCCGAGCCGCCAGCGGGTGGAGGGTTCTGGCCGCCACCTGCCTTCTTCTGCTTTTGGGGACCTTGCACATGATCTTGGTCCTCATTGAGACGTTTCGTCGACACTGACTGAAGGTTCCGGACACCAGCAAAGAACTTTTCAGGTATCGTGCCCGAAGGCTTGTTCTCGTCGATCAAGAGGTCGACATAGTTGTTAAGGACTTGCATGAAAGCCTGGCATTCGGATAGAAAGTTCAGGTTGAATCTCTTCTCCTCATATTTGACATGCGAATGGACCTGTGCGATCATTAGACTCAACCATACCATAAGCACTGCAAGTTGCCTTACGTTCGCAGGGTCTATTTGGAAGAGATAGTAGAGTCTCATTGTGCTGGTTGCTGACACATGGAAGGTGACAACGACAGCGCTCTCATCAAGAGCGTTTGCGTTTGCACCTGCATTTGCAAGGCGCACCTGATATGCTCCCTCGCAAAGTGCGCCGATATAATCGTTGTCGCCGTTTCCAGACTGAATTTCCCCCAAAAGCAGGACATGCTCGTCCCTCCACCACGAGACGTCGCTCTTGGGTTTGTACTTGCGAAATGTTTCCTCGGCATCGACCTGGACAGGCACTCCCGCTTGAAACGGCCACGGTTTCAAGCCGCTAGAGGATGAAAGATCAGAGTACACCATGTGAGAATGTGTTTAGACACTTACAACTTCATATCCAAGAGAACTCTCTCTGGTTTTTCCTTCTTTTTCGAAAGCATATACTCCAATAGAGGAGCGAACAGCCTCGCGACAACGATGTGCTCCCTGCCGCTCGCAAGAACATGTGAGTCCCATGTGCGAAAAGCAAGTTGCCCCACATCGGCCATCTCCATCAGCTTCGACTTCGGAACGTCGGCAACCTTGGGTGCCTCGCAACCGTTGAAGTAATTTTCCAAATCGTATCCCTTACAGAGAGCTCTTAGATCGTCCGAGTCCATGGAGGACGCGCCGGAGCTCGGAATCTGCAAGTGTCTCAGTTTTGCTCCAACCAATCAGGCATGGGTGGACACGCACATCGTCTTTCCAATGCCGACGCTTCTCCAGCTTGTTGAGCAGAGCCTCCACGTTACCCGGAAGAACTAGCTCTGCTGGGAACGGGAACACATCGTTTAGCGCCAAGTCTGCCCATCCGTACGCATTGCTGCTCTGCCTCCGAATGAAGACGCCCCCAAACGGTTCCTTGGGCATTTGGTCTGGCTGCGTGAGCGTGGAAGGTATAAACGAGCGATACCACAGAACGCACCCATGCCGGAACTACCGGATGACGATGGAGTGATTGACGGTTCTATCTGCAAGTAAGATCTCCAACTTTCGAGAAAAGTGGAAACGCACCAGGCTTCAGCACAAGCAGCACTTCCTCCTCCTCAATCTTGGGACGTCCCACTTTATCCCTTCCATCGAGCTGCTCGAATGTGTTGCCGTCATCAAGATGGATGTTTTTGAGCTTTGATTCCAATTGGATACCTCGTACACCAGTGAGAAAGCCTCGGTCCTTGCATCTCCATACTATGAGCTCATTGACAGCAACGCTGTCAAGGGTAGGTGACAACTCTTCCTTGACCTTCTTCCTCAATGTACTGACACTGGATACAGGAGGCAAATTGACATCGAATACTGCTCCGATGGGCTTCTTCTCGTGGTCAATGAGGAGACACCAGACTTGGTCGTGGTGGTCATGGTGGGAGGCTGAGTGCGGCCTAAGATAGGGGACGCCAGGAACAACCTCCCCCTTATGTAAGCAGCCCGTCAACCACTGGCAACATTCCCGCTACTATTAATAGTTCAAGCGCCGGCTACAGAATTCGTGACCATCATGTGCAACTGCACTCAGTAGCGGGCATTGCTGGCACCGGCCCTACCACCTTATTATATATGGTGCAGGAGATGGCACATAGGACATGCTCCCAGATCAGATGACTCTGAAAATCAATGAGTCTTTCGCGTGTCGCAGTTGCTGAGGAGCAAATAACGTATTGCACAGAAATTTTGTTAGCTTCCGAGGCCTATCCAACAGTATGAATCAGAAAATCCCCCGACTGTGGATGATCCCTGCCCAGCTTCGGCCAGTGTACTCGGAAAAAGTTTCCGCCTCGTTCAATGAAGATTCTAGAGCAAAAGACCAGTCCAATAAGCTGTTGAGAAAGTGATATGCTGTTTCAGGAGACTTCAATTGATGAAGTTCTGGTGGAATGTTCGTCAGCTAGTGGCATCGCTTGAGTTTCAGTAGATTTTGCTACCTGCAGCGGCGTATGCGGCCGCAATCGAGCCGCGGCGCGCGTACCAAGAGAGCTGATATGACACACGTGCTAAGCAAACGTGACGAAAAACAACGCGAATCGGGCGTACGCCAACAGTAGTATCTCCGGACAAGTAGCATGCTTGATCCGCGATGCTGGTGCAGTGCTTGATAGCTGGTGTGGGATCGATCGGAACCGAGACTGGCCTCTGAGTAGCGAGGAGTGAGAACGCCTGCGCATAGTGTCAATTTTGTGATGTTCACGAATGCACGAGACGGACTTCGGGGAGGTATTGTAACACCGGCTCATTCCACTTCAACCTGTGGTTGAGGATACCTTTCAGGCTCCGTGTTGGCGCCGACTGCATGTTATCACGAGCGTCGTCCAGCCATACCTCAATAAGCGTTCGTCTAGCACCGTCTCCTTCGCCAAAGAGCGCAGAGAGTGCTGTCTCGCAGAGCGGCTCTGAAAGGGGAGTCGGAAGAGAGAGGACAGAACGGGAGAGGGCCTCGCGAGTAAATCCGTGCGTCTTCACCAGGGGTAGCGCTAGCTGCAAAAGGCGTGCACTGTAGCAGATCAAAGGTGCGTTCCATAAAGCTGAACAACAACAAAAGGTCTGACCTCGACATGGTGGCTGCGCGATAGAGACGTAACAAGACACGGCACGTGATGCGATTTATCAATGTGGGAAATTGTGTGTGAATGTCGACTGATTTCTTACACATGCGACAAATATTTGCAACCATGGCATTTCATGTTGAAAAATGTTTCACTTTGGCTGTGAATGTGCACTATCTGCTGTTTAGATGCTAAATTGGGAAAGCTTTGTCACAATTGTAAGACATCAGCCGACAATCCCACACGATTTTTTACATTTATAAATCGCGTCATGTCTGCCGTGAGAGTCGCGTTGTGTCACACCTTATGGGGGTGCACGTGCTCTCGTCACCAAGCGAGTCTCATCACGATGCCACGTTTCATCGATCATCGGACGGACGAGACACAGTTATAATGTATGTTCGAAGTGTGTTAATAGCCAAGCAAGTACTAGTGCTTCACAACAAACAAGAACAGAGCTGATAAATCGGTCATCAGTCCAGGTCATGTTAGTCAAGTGATCTGCGTCCTAACAGAGTAGTGATCTCCCGTCTTTCCCTCACCCATTCCGGGAAGACAGCCTGCGACTCGCGTAACTCCATCTCCTTGGTCTCAATCAAGTAGTTTGCGAAGACGATTAGCATACCATATCGGTACCTATATGACATGGGAGGACACGTCAGTAGTAGCTAGCACGCAGGACACCGTCGTACGTACAGGTAGTTGATTCCGATGTCCATCAATTTGCGCTGCTTCAAACTGCCTTTCGCGCAGGCGCTCACCTTGAGCTTATAGCTGGAAGGCAGTGTAAACATGCAATGTCTTTGATATGGCGGGATGCCTGTACGTACTCATATATTGCCTTGCGCAGATTCTGAACATCCTGCATTAGATCGATCGCACGATCCGTCAACCGCTTCGCCATTTTGCCATGCGATAGCACGCCGACAAGCTGTAGGATGGTCTTGTACTCTCCTGCGAAATAATCATCAACGAATCTGCCATCATAGCATATACGGCATCCTTGTATTTTCACCTTGCAGATATGCTTCCTCTTCCGACGGTCCATCGATAAGGTCATACCTCGCGAGGTTACCGTCATTCTCCTCTTCGGTTAGACGCGGGACCAACTTCGACTCCTCCAGATCATGGTTCCAATTCATAGTTGTCGCGATCAAGCACGCAGTTACCATACCAGTTGTTGTTCGCCCGCGGCCCATCTGGCAGTTGAATATGAAGTCTCCAGTTTCGTTTAATTCCAACCCGGAACGGACTCGATGAAGTAAGTGAGAGAACACCCCAGGAAGCGGAGCCTGCTCGTCCGTCTACGAAACTACCATCAGATCGACGAATTATCTGAATTAAATTGACACACGCACCACTGCGACTCGCTCGTAGTCCACCTGCACAGGGTGCTTTCAGATGATGGCCAGATAAACAGCGCTAGCGATCATACCTTATATCCTTCTCTCACCATCAGTTCATACACATCCCGTGGAGTCATGATATCATTCTCGGCTACTTCCTCCCATATAGGAATGATTGAGAACACGCCTGGTCGCTCCTCTACCTCATCGTGCAGTAAAATGCGTCCATCTCCGGACCGGACTTCACGAATGACATCGCTCTTGAAGTTTGCCTCCATCGCTTCTACCATGCTCGTCGTAACTCCCGTTGCCCTGACAGAACTCTTGGGTTAACTTGCGCAATGCTGATATCAGTTGTAGCTTACTCGACGTTCTCAAGCGGCTTGTCGACCAATCGCAGCACATGTGGCCTTCCCGCCACATAAATGACTGGTTCCTGACAGCGTTTCCCGGTCAAGCCAAGCCTATAGCCATTGATGACATTGCAGACTCACCTCTCTCAGCGACGTCCAGTATACCATATTGCTTCCCTCTGGGCCGGCGCCGACTCGTTGCAGTGCATTCCTCAAGCTGATTTTCCAGAAAGTGAGCCAAAGTGCTTCGAATGAGACGGAACTATAATCACCCTTGCACAGTTGGCATTCCGCTGTGAACGACTATCGTTATTATCCACAGGTCTGTATATACAAGCTAGGCTCACCTTCCGCAGACCCATTTTCCATCACTCGCAGTACCCGCGATAAACTCTGCATCCTCCGCTGGCGACGACGTCCCAGATGGTACCAACTTCAGCGTCAGCGGCACACGACGGAAGTTCGGGGCCCCCTCAATACGTCTGCAGTCGACAATTTATCAACTCAGTCATGAAGCATCGAGTCTTGACGAGGAATTGCGCACTCTGGTAGGCTCATCTTCTGCAGGTTAGAGAAGAAGTCGCTCTTGAGAATCGTCGATGCGGACAGGATGCTGCCGGAACGATTCGCGACGATCATCCGAACCTCGTCCGCAGATGCGATGCCCTCAACTTCTTCGACCCGCTCCAGTGGTTTGAGAATGTTGATGTTATCTGTGACCAGCTCTTTCTCGAACGTCTTGATCACTATATGCAAACATGATTACCATCTGACTGAGAATTGCCAGCTGTTCATCAACATACCAGGACGGTTCTCGACGAACGACTCGAAGCTCTCGAAAGACTGCATGGTGTCCGGCTCTATAGATTGCAAGTATGCTTGGAATATGATCAGCTCAAAGTACCGCCTCAAGTTCTGCAGCCCTGAATTGCACTGGCTATCAGATGAAAGACCGGTGCATTCAAATAATAGGCATACCCTTGTGAGCAAATTGCCGTCGTTGTCGCTCGTCCGTCGCCTGCTCCGCACGCGCTCGAGCTTCCTCAATGGAATCTCGTAAATTCACAACCTGCCCACACTGGTCGATGGCGTCGTCCACGATGCTCTTCACCGCCGGACCCTTGCGAATTACTCGCAACAGATCTGAAATGCCCAACTCAGTACCACATCAATCAGTTAGTCAAGAGCACATACTGTTTATAATCTGGTACGAGTGGCGTGGCGCGCGGTGCCCATGCCCGCTGATACTTTCTAGCGTCGAGACAGACAGGTTGGATGTGATAGATCGTGTGGATTGATGCGACGACTGGGGTGAATGCTGCTTCGTCTGCTTCGTCGCCGCATCCAACCATTGCTGGATGAGGACGAGGATCACCTGGATCGCACAATCACATCATCAATCACGAATAATGCGCATGATGTAGACCTATCGCTCACAGCTGTCAACGTGCTCCTTCCCCGACCAAGCTGGCAATTGACCACAATCGGCGCACCCACCGCGCTCGCACCCACCGCGACCTCAATCAGCTCGCTTAGATCACTGAAATCCGGTGGCCTCTCAGCGGTGATGGGTATCCTCGCATACGCCAGCTCGACACCCTCGTCTATGTGTCTCCGCGATGCCATGATTTCCTTCAGCACGGACACATTCTCCGCTTCAACCTCTTCCCAAACGGGGATGACAGACCCATCTGGCGTCTCTGTGTGCAGTAGCAACCTATAAGGCGTCCTTCCGTCAGATTATGCTCATATGGGTTCAGCTACAAAAGATGCGAACCTGCCTCCGAATGTGCTTAGCTCGGCAATTACATCGTCGCGTAGCCGCTCTTCGAGCACTTCGAGCCTCGACGATGAAATCCCACCATAGTCTGCGCAGCGAGCTTAGTGTAACCTCTAAATCAATCAACCCAAAAAATACCTTACCTTTCATATTCCGCAACGTAAACCTCTCTCTTCTCAGACAATACGGCGCCCCGTTAATATACACAATCGGTTCCTCCCGCAGCGTGATCCACAAAATCTTACTAGCAGACGGGTGAGCGCTGCGCACGCGGCTCACGACCTCCTCGATGGCCTCGAGCGTGGGTTGTCCAAGCGCATAGATCTTCGTTCCAGGAACATTGCGGAAATTGATCGCGCCGCGGACGCCGTGAGACATCTGGTGAGACTGACTGAGCCATTGATCTGACTTCAACAATGTGCTAACAGAGCATCATCAGTGATTGTTAATGTGTTATCTCATTGAGGATACACACCCTTCACGAAGGATGATCCCACTGCGATTCTACGCAGCCCATTGTCAGTATAATGATAATGAGTCGCTAACACGAAATACTCACCCGAACGACGTGATCAGAGTATTCATCGCCCAATATTTGCCCTCCCGCGATCGCGACATCGTTTCGCTGGCCGGGGACCAAAGCGCCCGCCTCCGAGCCGGTCTTTGACAAGGTCGACAAATCATTGATTGGTGCGAACACGTTGAGTCGCGAGCCGTAGGACTTGCGCAGGAACATAACCTGGCTAGATTGGTCATCAGCACCAGGGATTGAGCAGCTCTATATGCCGGTCGACTAACTTCCAAATTTCTGTCCTGGCCTGTGAGGAGACCATCAGTGAACACAGTCGGGACGTATAATCGCAAGCGAACTAACTTCCAGCCAGCTCGAGAAACTCTGCTCGAAATCCACCTGAGAGCCGACATACTCGGCAAACGCAATCATGAAGAAGCTATATGGATCGCATCCGCATCAATTCCGTATGCCCTACCCTTGCAGAGATCATCACGTACTACTTCTCGAGCGATCGCACAGCCTTCGTGAGGAAGGTCTCGCGCTGCGCCTCGTCCATCGTCGTCGTCAACGAGTACTTCACCCGATGGATGAAGATATCTTCACGCAGGTTCGTCACCTGGTCACCTGCCCCACGCGAAGCATCAGCAGTGCGCAACTAGAGCGACGGAGATAGGCAAGGGGCTAAAGCTCACAGGAGTCGATAATCCGATCGACGAGCTTCTTCGACTTGAGTCCGTGGTCAAGACACCCAAGCAGGCTGAGTATGATACCGTAATTTCCCATGTGAGCCTTGCGCAAACTGTCAAGCAGTGTCGGCTGCGTGAGGAGAAGCTCAATCGCCAACTGCGAACTCTTCGTTTCCAGGCCTTTTGTTTGCGTGGTGAGCGTACATGTCACGGTTACAGCGGGAAAATACGCACATTGCTGCAGAATGGACGTCATGCGCAGGAGGGACCGGTTCAGATCTTGCTGCATGCTCGCTCGTTCAAGGGCTTGCTGGAGCTTCACGACTGATAGCTGGCGACACATACTTTTCAATCACGCTTACCATTGGCGGCTCGCATTTCAGTGCACGCACCTGATTTCCAAGTGGCTTCTGCAAGTAGTGACAAATTGCGTCCACGAGACACCAAACCACCAGTCAGGCTTTTCTTAGTGTGCTGCAGAAATTCAACGTTCAAACGCTGCTTACCGTTCCGTTCATCGTTCGCATACTCGGGGCATAGGGGTCATCCAGGCCGCGCGTAATCAGCTGCTTGCGCCGGATCACACACGCCGCAACCATCGCGAACGTCGTCCGCACCGCACCCATGCCGCAATTGAATACAAGCGCGGTCGTCAGAGGATCAGTCTGTGCGATCACCCGGAGGTACGCGTCGAGGTAATTGTCCTAAGGAATGCAAAGATGGATGAGTGAGAGTGGAAGGTAGGAAACGGGAGCGGCTTACCTCAATAGGCCGCTCAGGCGAGATGGGTATTCTAGTGCGATCAATACAGCATCTCAGTTTCTGTGGAACACGAACGGGCCAATATATGCGTACCGATGATACTAAACACGCTCTCTAGTCGATCAGTACGTGTCGAAATTAAGCCCTCATGCTCTACGAACCTCGATATTCCATCCGTCCCGACGCATATTCTCCATCAACTCACGCGTCGTGCGAACATTCGCGGAGTCAACCGCGGTCCAGGTGGGAAGGATCGCACCCTCACCGGCATCGGACGCTTGTGTACATGTCACGTCTTGCCTCCAGATCATGAACAGCAACGCACTCACCGACTTCGTTATGTGTCAAGATCAGGCCGCCGAACCTTCCGCGTACGTTAGCATTTCCGCTTGTTCATCACACAATGAACACCAACTCACCGATTAGCTTCCACCAGAATGTCGTTCTTCAACCTCAGTTCGATCGCTTCGAGGTTCTCTGCCCGGTCTGAGAGCTTGAGCGTGCGCCGGGGCTCAGAGGCATCCCGGAGGACGAAGGGGCGGCCAGAAATGTATACTACAAGGGAGAAGGATCAGCGTCAGCGATTCAATTTTTAGAAAGTTGACGAGACCATGCGGGAGTCAGGAAGCCAGCTAAAGGTGGATGTATGCGCATCAAATGAAGAAAGATGGCCGCAATAAGGCATATTACACCATGCGCACAGCTTCATCAGCTGTTCGGAGAATGTATACTGGTCGCACCATACATGCATACAGTACAGGGCTTAGTTCCTGTCTAACAGAAGGCAGCATCGTGATTAAAACTGATAGGCGACAATAATGTGTGGGAGCCTTTCCGACAGCCGCCGCCTCGTGAGACAACCTGAGGGCGTCGATACGCGCAAGTCCGCACACTCGACCGACTGGACCGGTCGCGCGCATATTAGGTGGACCCCCATGTCATCTACTCCTCGAAGAGCCGCTATCCGCCCATCCGCATGGTCACCGACTCCGCAAGAAACAAACGTACCTATCGGCTCTTCACGTGTACAGAACCAGACAACGTGGGTAGGGTTATCAATGTTCGGGCGACAGCGGAGGACAGAGAGGATGCCGCGGAGGCCCTGCGTGCGGGGTTGGGCGACACCGAAAACGTTGAGATTGACGTTGCGAGGTGCACGGAAATTGGGTGCGCCGTGCACGTTAATCTCGAGATCGAGTGCTCGGCCTGAAGGGGGTGTAATGTTTGGTGATTTGTAATATTGATTGAAGAGTTAGATGTGAACTCACCAGATGGATAATGGTCAGTCTTGAGTATGAATCCTCGCGAGAGTACACTCCCCGTCCTTGTCTTCACAATAGATGGTCCCGAGCGTTGTAGTTGAGGCATGATGTCGAGCGGTGCTGCCCCAGCAGGCTCAATTGGTGTCTGTGCCTCACTGGACGGACGAGTGAGTCCGACACCGGCCAAGGGATGCGTATGGGAGGGTAGCGGAGGATGTGATCTGCGGGAGTCTGGGGGAGCCGAAGAAGGGCGTCCATCGCGAAGGTCGGGCAAAGAAGACAAGTGTTGCTGCATGGCGGAGGACATGGGAATGACGAAGAGAAACCTGTAGAGAGCGGATGCACACTGGCCAGATCGGAATGGGCGAGTCGGAAATAGCCTCACGCGAGGCGCGTCGACACACGTCATGTGCCACGCGACGCGCTGGTGGCGGCCACTTCCGTTCCGCCTCAAGGTAACGATCAGCGCTCCTGGGATAGCGGTCGTTGCGCACTCCCAGAGCCTCCCTGAAAAGTTACGTGCTCGCCATCGATATCACCTGGCGAGCAACTAGAACACGACGATCTTGCGTCATGCCGGTCCTCGACTTTGCGAAGTACCAGGCCAGTGACTTCGGACGTGCTGTCATGGGACGAAGTGTATAGTCATTCTGTGCGTCATGAAGGATTCTGCGGAGACCTCCTGATAGCTTATAGCCTATTCAAGTACTCATAGTAAACTCCGAATGCAAGTTACGCGCTGCAAGAGCACACTGCACATTCGGGGCATGTCACTCACATTGGAACGCAACACAGCGAAACATAACCTTCGTATAATATTTCGCTGCTATCCAGCACGAAGTCATCGCTTTCGAGCCCTCATCAAGATCAGGCGAAGCACCAGCTTGAATCGGCCATCATTATCTCTGTGCCATCTTCTCTCGAAAGACCGGCATAGGAAGCATTAATGTCCTGAAGGCATCAGCGCTGCGCAAGTCGCCCTTTAAATTTACACCTTACGAGCCTTGATGGTCCGAGTCCGTAGCATTAAACGCTAGTCGACGCACCTATCCTCATTTTCGGGCAGCCATGAAACTCCTGACGGCTATACAGCGCAGGTTATTGCGATATCTCGCTGTTTGTCCAATACTACAACACGTGTTATGGACAGTTTCATGGCTATGTCGTTCTAGGAGATTATGCGGTTTGCAGTGCATTCACGGGAACTAGAGAACTGTGGACGCTCACACACCTTGCTTGTGAGCAAACTTCTCGAGAATATGACGAGGAGATTTTACAAGATAGCCTTATCTTCCCCCAAAGAGTTAGCAGCACTCACGACTGCTCGGTTCATCCTGCTATGGGTTTGAATGTGTAGTTCGATAAGTTCATACTTGCAGAAGCCTCGTCGATGATGATTACTTTCCGCCAGGCGATATAATGTCAGGATTCCCGTTACGAAGAAGCTGCCTTGTCATTCACATAACCGAAATCCATAGCTTTGCTATCATTGCCAAGCCCTATCCCCCATGGGAAGACAGTTTGCAATCTCCAAATCCCGGTTTTGTGCTCATTCGCAGTTCCCAAAGTCCGTGGCCGAACTCAAAGGCGCTTGGCGTTGTGATTGTTCCAGGTAAGTATATCTTACTTGCCGCATTTACGCATGTCTACGAAGCTTATCTAAAATGGCAGGTCAGCGCGACAAGTTTGACTCCGTCGCAACCGCCGTGAAGGCGTATATAATATCTGAGTGAACACGGATGGCTTCACGGTATGTAAAGAGAAACAAATCTGGTGCGGCATCGAGATCCATGATCTCGCAGAGCAGCTGGCGTGAAGCCCTGCGAATAGAATAACCTCAAATTTGTGTCGAAATATGCCGAGATTGTCCTTGAACAAAATCTGATGGAGCGCTGACTATTGATATTATAGGTAGCAATTCATAACCCAATCCATGAGCGCGAACACTACGACGGAAACGGCGATGGAGGGCTTCCTTCAGTCCTAATCCTTATTATCAGTGACTTAACCATGTCTTGCTGTCTCCTACTTGGACATGTCAATAATGTGGTATGGGTTGTTTGCCAGAGTTGATTTCTGGACGCTGATCTGATGACAACAGTGGGTGGTATTCAGATCAGTGAGACTCAGAAGCAGTGATAGCTGCATCCTTGTCGCTCATGTAAGGACGATATGTGTTCCAATGATTGCCCTTTCAGACCCCGGTCTCTGCCAGAGACACACGTTTGCTATTCAAAGCGCGACTCTGGTCAAGCTTCGCAAATCCAGCGAGTGGGTCGGATACGAGTACCGAAGACTACGTTCGAGACTGGCAAGAAAGCCGAGGTGATCTACGTATCGCATGATGAGTTTTTCAAAATTTCGGACACGCTGATTACCCCGTTGCAGATGATTTTGGTGACCTGATCGCTCGGAAGGAGAATATTCAGGCCAGTTGGCATCTTCATGACGACATAACCCAGAGAGATCAGTGCTGTGCCCAAAGGATGACTATAAGGGTCACTTTCCGGAATCGTGATTTAAGGAGCAGGATTACGCCCGGGATGAAGAAAAACGGCCGAATCGCGTTATGAAGAGCTTTGAGAACGGGAAGAGCGTCCTGCCAATTTGTAGCGTATCAACCGTCTGCGATTTGGACCTGCGCTAAAAATGTCGCATCGCTTACACGGACGTCTGTGTCTAGATGTTTGTGTTGAAATCAAAAGCGACTGGCCCGAAGCGCTGTTGGCTACAAGGAAACAGTAAACTACGAAGGAGTGTAAGAGTCAAATACGGTGGCGATGGAGACCGGTTGATCATCCACGTTATTGAATGGCTACTGCGACTGTGCCACAATTTTTATTCCTGAATCCTCGTCGCTAACTGCACGGCGCATAGGATATCCAATCACCTACACCTGATCTGTATCATTCAAAATGCTGAGCATCCAGTAGCTGTGGTGCAGCGTGTGTACGCAATTAGAAATATAATTATAGATCGAAACAGTGAGGATTTACCGGTTACTAGTATTATATCGATTGAGACTGGTTGTATCTCGATTCGTTTAGACTAAGAATTTGCTGACCAGCAGGGATGCCGTGACTCTGCACAGCGAGTGATTGGCATGGGCAACGTATCCACTGTTTCTACCATGGTGTCGTTCGATGCACACGGATTACGATGTATGAAACGTTACGCGTTTATTGATGGAGTTCACAATGAAGTATTCCGTCGTCGGCGCGTCACCTCGGTCGGCGAAAACACGGTCACGTGGTGCACATGTAGTGGGGGCGCCTATTCGCGCGTCTTACATAAATTGTAGTGTGCGCCGAACGTAGCTTTCGCGGCGAATTCAAGCATTCGAAGCGGTTCATACTCTTCATCTTTCAAAAAAGAGATACTGAAGCAACATAACAAATAAATTGTATCTGCCGTTGAGTGGAGTAGGGACATTTTCTGTTGCGGAGGCGAGCAGCTGTTTGCATTTCTGTGACAGTTCCTGGTCGCTTCGTTTTCGGGGAGGAACGCCCTCCTGACCACAGCAGGAACGCGTAGATCCGACATGCATCCTGACACTTCCGGCGCTTGGTGAAAAATGTGCATTGTCTGATAGGCCACCAGAGAGGGTACTTCCAGTGCACCAGGTTCTCCGTCCTCGCAATGGCATGGAGAACTGAGAAGCAATGGTATGTATAGTCCTTCTGAGTCCGAGGCTATTCCAATTCAGGGTCTCATCCGAAATACCTCCTCACAGCATGCGCGTCTGAAGCCCATTGCTGACTGCCTTTTGATTCAAGCTAGAAGGCCACGGAGAGCTAGAAAGAAGGCGATCAAGTCGATGACATATCATAGAAGCTCATCTCACCTACAACTAAGCCTTTCGTGCATCGTTTTGCCCTCGCGGGATGTCTGAAATTCCTCAGCCCTCAACCAGAAGCACCCCTTTCAGAGCCCGCACCAGTGAAATCAAATTCGGAAAAATTTCAACATCAATGGGAAGGAAGACGACGATCCTCCATGAAGGGTGGCAACTGGAGCTTTACTTCAGGGACGGAGGGACTCAATTTATACCGTCACCTACTAGAAGGCCTCAGCAAGCCACGTCCCCGGACCTTGTATAGAGTACAACAAGGCGCCTGGCGCAACGTTCGCGCTAACTGCGGAACTCGCCGTCGGAGTGTTCCCAGTAGAACGGTCATCTTGTATGCCTGTTGTGGCGTACGGGCCACCTTCCATCCGCTTTCCCTGTCACGATAACCTGAACCATTGATCGAGTCATCTTCGCTGAAACTGGCTCCCTCGGAGAGGCATACTACCTTGCCCGCGTATGTTGACGCTCTGCAAAGCAAATTAGAGCTGAAACGAGGCGAAGTTGCGGGCCGGTTTTGCCGGCAATAAGTGAGAACCGATTCGAATATTGCCTGTGATCAAAGTCTACAATGACAACGTACGGATACACTGATGATAACTGCTTGCAAGATAACCAATCAACCAGATGCGAGAGCTTGGTATGATACGGGGCCCGCAAATTGCTTTCACTTTCGATGACATGCATACTGTCATGCCCAGGTGTCGATGAGCGAGTCGCGCATCTCCCCAATGACTGCGGCTGACGTGTGTCCTTGTAGCTCTACAACGAGCCAATCAGGGTGAGGAAGGTCACGGAAGAAGATAAGGGACTAGCACGCACTAAACGCAGCCTCAATGACGCTGATTTCCGTCGCCGTTGTGTCAAGGCCGGTGAATGCACACCAATCATTGACGATAAGGCCAGCGCCAATGACGTCCGACCCACGGTTGACGGTACCCGCCTATTTCGAAAAGAAAAACATCTCAACGCGCCGTGAGCATGTCTTGAGCGAGAAGGAATAACGCACCACTAACGGCACCTGCAACAAACTGCTCAGTTCATCCTGATCCTGCACGCTCGTCTTCGGGTGGACGAGGCCGCCCTGATTTGTAATCGCACAGTAGCTCCCGACGAGGACATTGTCCGCGATCGTCTGGCGGAAGACTTCGACCTTGAGCACATCCGCGATGATCTCCTCGGTCTCGCGATCAATGTCTGGATGGACAAGGGCGACATGGTCATTGCAGGCGATGACATTCCCGAGGGCTGATAGCCGCTCCTCGACACGCTGGATCGCGATCGCGTCTGGGAGCGAGTTGCGCAGGTGTTGGAGCTCCTGATCCGTCGTGGTTGAAGGAACGAGCAAGCCGTGGCGATTGCCTTGGGAACGTTAGACTATGCATACGTATTGAAGAAAAATGGTACGTACCTGCAGTCAGCCGCCCTACGATCCGTGTGCCGCCAATGGTGGTGTGCACGATTGGGATGACATCGCCAAGCTCGCTCTCGAAGGCCGAGTAAAAGTTTGTGCTGCCTTGGACTGCACATAGACAATAGCTGTTCGTAAGCTTGGAAAACACCCCGATCTCACTGCTGCCTTCGAACTGAATGCCTGAACGCCATGATAAGTTTCAAAGCTCGAGATGTGTTCTGCAAAATGACCGCACGAGTAGCCATCTTTGTGAGAGGGTTTGATGAAGTTTGGGATTCCTTCCTAGTATTTCTGAGTATGTAAAACTGTGGCGATGGGAACGAATGGCTATCGCAGAGCTCTTGGATGAAGGTATAAAAGTCGAGGAGTACGCTCCCAGCTCGATGAAGTCAGTTGGCTGTTCGCGATCACGGTACCGCAAAATGGCGCGCGCGCCGCGCTCGGCGACACTTTGACTCGTCTCTCACTGTCTCCTGGCTGCTACATATTCATTCGAGTCACAGAGAGTCCTGGAACAACACACGCACTCGTTGTTGCCGGCATCTGTGGTTGGAAGAGTCAATCGCTTCAGCATGCACAGGCTCGTACCGTCAGGACACGGGCTGTTTTCTCGGTTCCGATGCTTGCCTGCCCACTCGTGGGCTGCTAAGTTCCAATTTAGCTCTCTGTGCGCAAGCAGGGAGTTTAGGACGATAACCGGCAGAATCTCACACCGAGCATATGCCACCACCGACCTCTATTTGACAAAAGTCGAGAAGATTATCCTTGACACTATCAAGGTGGGTTTCCTCTCATCGTTTGGGAGGGCTGTGTGCAATTTGACAATTCATGGTACTCGCGATCTGTCGGAGTGAGCGTCCATCCATGTGAAATTGAGGTTAGGCGCAAACTGCGGATGCAGGGTCGTTTGGAAGTGCTCGTCCTTCGACGCGTCTCGGGTTCTGCGAGGAAATTTGGTATCAGACTCGCTTCTGAACGTTAAGTATGGACATCGTCATTGAGTGATGTTTTACGTATGGTTCGAAGTCTATGCTCCGAGTCCTTGTGTTTCAAAGAATGATTTGTTTACATTGATATCTCAAGCAGGCGCTTCGAGCTGAGCTGCTGTTCAATGAATTGAACTTCATATCCGTCTTTTAATCCCCCTTTCGGTCGTCATTGACCTTTGTACCAGGCTACCGGTCCCATTTCCTACTCCACCTACATGCAACTTTGTCTTTCGCACCCTACGGAGGGTTACTACATGAACCCATCCAATCCCGTCTTTGGTGCACATGGAGACTTCGTCACCAGCCCAGAAATTAGTCAGGTGTTCGGCGAGGTGCGTATCCCCCGTCTGTACGATGAACTGATTGGGCAAAGAAGATGACAAACTCACAGTGTTGCCTGTCGCATTATTGGCTGCTGTAGCTCGTTGGAATTTGGCTGTTCATGCAATGGCAGCTTGCTGGGAACGCACGCAAGATCCGCTTAATTGAGCTCGGACCCGGGCGAGGGACGTTAATGGACGATATTCTCCGCGTAAGTGATGCAATAGCCATATTCTTTTCGCTCACAAATCAATGCGCCCTTCCACGATAGGTATTCACGCAATTGCCTGCAGGCCGAGATGCCGTCCAAGAGATACACCTCATCGAAACGAGCCCTCCAATGCGCCTCAGACAGGAGCAGAAGCTTGCATCTCACGAAAAGCCGGGCAGAACGCTTGCCTGGCACGGTTCTATTGAAGATGTCAAGCATGACCCGAGAGTGTTTACGCTGCTTGTAGCACACGAGTTCTTTGATGCTCTACCATTCCATATCATCCGAGTACGTACGGCTCTCCAGTGCATTCTTCCAAGGCCGATGTTTTAACATGTCGGTACTCATTCGACAGAAAACACAACAGGGATGGCAAGAGGTCCTCATCGCGTCGACTTCCACCGCGAGCCAAACATCTGACTCTTCAGCACCTAATGACGTTCCACGAACCGCGGCCTGCTCTCCTACCACATCTCCGTCGTCCAACACCTCTCCTCTTCCCCGACTCCATCCAGTACTATCTCCCGCTCCCACCGCATCCTCCACACTCCTCGGTCTATCCTCAAAACGATTCGAACATCTTCCGGTGGGCAGCCAAATCGAGGTATCCCCGACAGCATTCAAGATCGCTCGTGCGGTCGGCGAGCTCGTGCACCAGCCAAAGAACGAAGAGACCTTTAGAAGCTCACAATCTGCAGGGAGCGCACTCATTATCGATTACGGTGATGAAAAGGTCTTTGGAGACTCTTTCCGGGTGAGCATCTGGTGTTTGCCATAGTAGCCATAGTAAAGCTTCATTTGCACGCAAGCCGAACTGATGAAGTGACCTACTTCCTTTTGTTTGCAGGCGTTCAAAGGTCACAAACAAGTCGATGTATTCCATCACCCGGGGGAGTGCGATATGACCGTCAATGTCGACTTTGCGTATATCAAAGAGGCAGTCGAAGGGATAGGCACGTCTGCGCTCTTAGTTGCTTATCCTTACCTAAACCTTCCGGGCCGACTCACGTTGCCTTTCAGCACTTCCCCTAGGACCGATCTCGCAAGCCATGTTCCTTACTCGCATGGGCCTCTCCGCGCGCATCGAGAAGCTGATGCAGAATAGTCCATCCGCAGGACGCAAGGAAGCCATAGCGGAAGCGGCAAGGCGATTGGTGGATACGAGTGGGATGGGCAGTCAATACCAATTCTTGGGGCTGACAGGGCTGCGGGAGGGATTGGCGGAGGAGGAGAGGTGGCCATTCGTGGAACTCGAAACTGCATTGCATGAGAAACGTTCGTGAAGAGTGGTATAGTCGAGTGTGTACTTCGGAAACTGTGCGTTACAATGAGAACGCGTGCGGATCATAGAAAGCTTGCTAACGATAGCATGAAGCGTGGTTTGCATCCGATGGCAAGCGTGACCTTGAGTGCTTCCTGCGGCGTTTATGGTTCTTCTCCGCGTTATCTAAGTCACGTATCTGACGCGAGCTGTCTGACTCCTCATCCCTCCGCTTGCGCGAGGACTTAACATCAGCGCCATCTGCCAAGACGCTGACTTGCCGGGGCTTCTCCTCATCGCGCTTGTCCTGTACGAGCCCTTTCTCCCGCTCCTGGTCGCTCCTTTTCACTCGTTCCCTTTCCTTCTCTTTCGTCCGCTTCCACATCAGCTTCTGCAGGCACTTATCGCACAGCACGACCTTGACAAGCGCGAACTTGCTCTCGCCACCCTCGACATATGAAAATGGAAGCTCGACAGTCTTCAGTGACGGCTTGTCTTCGTCGATGACATGCTGTTGGTGCAGGGGGCACCGCGTATTGCCACAGGTGGTCTCACCAGCACCAGAGATGACTTCGGATTCTGTGCGCCATCGAAGGGCGAACTGAGGATAGGGGACCGGAGTTCCAGTCAGCTTCGCACGTCGAGATGATTTAAATGAGGATACATTGCTCACGTTGCCCGACTTGTAGTGTTTCAGATCGCAAACCGCGTACTCACGGTACAGGTTCGAATAGTACTTCTTCGCAAGCTTCTCGTTCCATGGGAGATTATGCACATCCTCTTCTTCCTCTTCCCTAAGAAACCTTGTGCGCAGATAAAAGGAAGCTGAGCCTCCATTAACGTGTGCGAAGAGATATGTGCTCACTTGTGTGATGCCTTTAGGATGTCAAACTCCGTTATCATGCTTGGCTGGGAGACTGCCTTGGATGAGCTTCCGTATTGATATGGAGACATCGAGTGCGGAGGCAGCTAGGAGGGGCGCATACACGCGCCAAATATGTTGCCAGGTGAGATGCAGAAAATGTCTCCGTTCGAGCTGTAGGCCAGACTCATGTGGTCAAGCTGTGGCTGCAACTGATGAGGTGCGTGACGTGACTGTCACAATCAGTCTGCGCCGATCAACAATATGGTTTTTGATCGTGTCAGGATACGCGCGCCTTGGCCACCTTCTTGTCGCTCGCAACGCCACTCGGTACTACAGAATAACTGCGGAAGAGTCAGGAACTTATTGACGCTGTTCATGCAATTTCTCCGCTGTCAACAGTGGCATTCAACCGAAGCTTTTCCTCACGCATAGTTTTGCGGAATGGCTCCGCCGATATCTTACGCATACGCAAACTCTGTCTCGCAGCGGCCTTCTGATTGCTGAAGCCGGCCCTGCGTAATGTTGCTGAGAGAATATTGTATGTGTCTCGTTGGATTATATCGTACGTAACGACTTGCCCGGCTCTCCGACGTTTACATTCGGTTCAAGCATCCCTTAGCGACCTAATATTCAGCATCACCGGGTGACTCGGCATTTATTTTGCTCCCTATGCCGCCCAATGTATCCAAATACAGTCTCCAAGGTCTTTCGCCTTGTGCGAAGCGCGGCTTGCCTCCCCACGACTACACACGGCCGGCTCTGGCGACGCGAAGGTGATTCGTGAAGGCGGTCTCCTTCTGGCATGCGCCAACGGTCTTCATGTGGCTCATTGATATTCTCAGGAACAAGGGTCACTAACAAATTTGCTCAAGCCGATTGTAAGCGGCTAGCCTCACCCTGTCGTTGCGTGTGATATTAAAAGACTCGCTCGCTTCGTCTCCTGTGAGTAAATCAGTACGCTTTCACGTTAGCATCCCTCACCTGGCAGAGCAGGCTGATGTGTATATGACGACGTGTAGAATCGGCCGGCCAGCCGCTGAGACGGATCGTTGACGACACTTCGATGCATTACTACCATCGCAGTGGACTCCATATCGTGCGACGGAGCGGTTCCCATCTCCGTGTTTTCTCTTCTCAGCCGGCAGCTTCGCGCAGCTGATCATGCGGCGGTTTGACGGCCCACATCCGAATAGGGGCAGCTGCGTGTTCCGGCGATGCTCTCTCCACGGCTCAGCGTTTTGGAGCCATGGCTTCCATTGGCATGCACTCGCGGCCCGCTGTCTCGCTGCAGTGCCGCCTGTGAAAAATCCAAAGAAGGCTTTCTCTGCAACTCTCTTTCGGGAACTGTTATCCATCTCTGTGCCCCATGAACAGATAGCCAGCGTCTCGCCAGTCAGCCAGCTCCTTGGCGCACAAGCGAAATCACCGAGCAGATATCTCTCAGGCAAAGGGTCCAATATCGTCGCATTGATACGCTGCTCGCATCATGGATTGTCTTAACGATTCATAACCGTAATTTTTGAGAGACAAGGGAAAGCGTGCAAAAGGATACGGGAATTGCGTCTACACTAATACAATCAGTAAATGTAGAAATACATCGCGATGCGTCCCGTCATGTCCATGCCGCGAAGGCTTATGCCAAAATCTTACGGATACCCTCCTTCTGTGCCGGCGTTAGCCGGTCAGGGAAGACGATATTCCACTTCACGATCAGGTCTCCCTTCCTCCTCACCGCACCCTCCTTCCTAATCGGCATGCCTTCGCCTGGCACGACTATTTGTGCGCCCGGCTTTATGACACCTCCTGGAAGTGACACCTGTAGCTTCCGCCCATCGAGCGCTTCCACGATGCGCTTGCCGCCATCGCCTGCGAGTGCGTCGACGAGCGGTAGAGGGACACTGCACACGAGGTCGTTGCCCTCGCGCACGAAGCGGTCGTGTGGCTTCTCTTCTACAACGAACACGAGGTCCTGCGCTTCGCCGGACGGTTGCTCGTTGCCTGCCCGGGGGAAGCGTACCTTCGTGCCGCTCTTCCACCCCGGCTGAACATGGATTTCAAGCACCTTGTGCTCTGTATCGCCATTGAGAAGCTTCCGACCAACCTTCAGGTGCTTCGTTGTACCGGAGTATAAGTCTTCCAGCGAGACTGGTAATGGGCGACTGATCTCGGACGGTCCCGACGGTGCTGGCGATGACGTCCTTCGGGTCCCTGCCCGTCCTGTCGATGGTCGGCTGCCGGGCATTCCTCCTGGCATGCCGGCGAAGTGATAGCCGCCGCCCATATCTTCATCTTCGTCGGCGAACATGCCGCTCGCGCGACTGCGACTGCGACCACCACCTCCGCCACCGCCACCGAACCCGCTCATACCACCCATACCTCCCATGCCACCAAAACCGAAGAACTGCCTGTGAAGGAAGAGTAAGCACGGAAGCATGTCGGAATACGGCATGAGACAAACTTACTCAAAGATTTTCTGTGGATCTGTTGGCGAGAAGCCGCCACGGCCGAAATTGCCTCCACCTGGACCTGAAGTGAATGTGAAGGCGGTTCCACCTCCGCCAGGGAATCCACCGAAGTTTGAGAATCCGCCTCCTGGACCTCCTGCCCCTTGCGGCGGGGCACCTCCGCCTTTCAAGCCCTCTTCGCCGAACTGATCATAGATTGCTCGCTTCTGCTTGTCGCTCAATACTTCAAAGGCTTCTGATATCTAAGTTTTGGTCAAGAAAGTACGGCAGATGAGCCGACAGACCAGGTAAAAACATTGATGCTCACCTCCTTGAACTTTACGGATGCCTGCTCTGATCCTGAATTACGATCGGGGTGCCATTTCAAGGCCTAATGAAAACCTGTGAGCGTCAGGTTAAGCGAACGAATCGGGAAATGGACATACCATCTTCTTGTACGCCTTCTTGATCTCTTCATCGCTGGCGTCCTTTTCCACTCCGAGAAGCTGATAGTAGTCCGTACCCATCGTGTGTCAGCGTTTGCGATAGGGAGTGAAAAACGCGGTATTTGGGTGTAGCAATGCTGTCGATGTCGGGGAGTGTTTGGAGTTAAGTACGAGGACGCTGAAGGCGGGCTGGAACCCGCCACGGTCATAACGTCGTTACCAGAACATACCAGAACGTCCGGGTTACTCTCAGCCACCGTGACGTCGCCATTTTCGCTGTGTAGGCTCACTCCTAGCTCCGAGAACTTCGAGCTCCGCTGCTCCGCTTCATCTCGTTTTGGGAAGTTGTGGACACGGACTGGGTCTGGTTAGGTCCCTCCTTCGACTTTGCTGCTCCAGTTCGCATCACTTTATGGCTTCACCACCAGACGCAACGCTAAGACAGAGTGAAGACAACGAACATGACGATGATGGAGGGAACTCTCTGTTGAGGCGATCGTGGCATGCGATGTCCGAGATTCTCTCTCCATTCTCGCCGTCTGCATTGGCTTCGCTCCCGAAGAGAACATTCCGCCGTCGCCCCAGATACACCCGCACCGACAATGTTCCTGAGGCGGAGCGCGACGAGCACGGCCAAATGCCGACGGTGCGGGACTACCATGCAATCAACAGCGTGCCGCCACAGGTACGGGTTCCAAAGAAGATTGCGACGCCCATCAAGGTGGAAGGCAAAGTATGGTTTGCGAATGAACGGAGTTAGTGGAGGCGGTCTAATGCAAGCTTACCGAGGAACTACTTATGGTATACGTTTCAGCTTGGATTTCCTATCTGAACATCGCCGTACTGGTCGGAACGCTGGCCATGGCATTGTTTAACGCCTCAAAGGATCAGATCGCGCGCAACTTTGCATATGCATATGCGGCGATTAGCGTCGGCATCTTGGTATGCTTTTGTATACTCTATCGTCGTGCTAAAGCTCACACTTTGTCCCTTTATCAAGGTCTATGGCTACGTCGTATACCAGCACAGAATCACGATGATTCAGAAGCGTGATCCGGGGCCTTTCGGTCTGTTGCCGATACGTCTAAAAGAAGCGCTATATTTACTCGTTGTGTCTTCCTATAGACCAGATAGTCGGCCCCGTTGTCATCAGCGCTTTCCTCTTCGCCGCGATTCTTGCCAATTTTATCATACGAGGTAACGTGTTACACTTGGAATGTCCCGTTAATGTTCTAATCGTCGGATCGTCTCACTGGCAGTGCGCGAACTGTGAGAAAGCTTTCATTCCAGTATTGATAGGCTTCAAACTAACTCGGTAACACAGGCAACGGAAAGAAACCCCGATCCCCGGATTATTTTTTCTGAATCCGCGCCAGGCAGGGTAATGTTTCGAGGATGCTCTCACAGCGCACGAGGCTCTGTGGTTTCACCACCTGATTCGCACTGTCTGGCAGTTTATACCATTCCTCGCTATGTATCACTAGCACTCTGCGACGTCTATGGTATCCGTACCTGCTGCAACTGCCACCGTGATCTACTGAGACACATGAAACGCTTCGGTGGGTGCACGTTTCTCAGGCTCCGTCCGCAAGCAATTCACGCCGTGGGCTTGGGACTTCGATGATTCTTCGAAGGTTTCACACGATGGTCGCTTTAGGACGTTGAGTGTCGCTTTCATTCCGTGGGCCAGGCGCGGGAACGGTAATTAGATGTCTTCAACTGAATTCCAGTCAAGCAGTCATCCTATCACGTAGGTCTAGCTGACAATCCGCGCATTTGCGGATGGTTTGAGTGAACCTCGGCGACTGTGATTGGGTTTCGATTGACGCACTTAACACCTACCATCTCGTTCCAGGTGTTTGCGATTGATGACCCTTCCTCCGTCCATTGCTGCCGTCTCGGAATCCTGGACGCGCGCTGCCAGCCAGGCATATTTCAAAACATCTTGACCGTCTAAACTCTACCGTGGAGGTTGATGTTGTCCTGCAGGCTATCTAAAATTGTGGTACGTTCATATTTCATGCATCCGATCAGGCGCAAGAGTGTCTAACCATGCTTTGCGCAGCCTCAAGCGAATGATTGTCCATTGGATGCTTGCTTTCGTGCGAATTTACTTCCAGACCGCTCGGATACAGTGTCCCGTTGCGTACTCCATCTCCATTCGAACGCGAGGAATAATTTCAAAGAGGTGCCGGCGAAATAAGATTGCTGGGTTCATGTCTTAACGGCAGAGGCGCTCAAGTATGCCTGACTGTCGTGAGATGATGGACGATTGCTTTGGTGGCAGTCGAACCCTTCTTTCTGATGCACACAACACCGCATGCCGCACATGCACAGTCTGTGCGACGTCCGCACCAGTGCAAATAGTGGCATGTCGGCGGATTGAACTATTAGATGGGGTACAGAAGCGTCCATCGGATGATTGCCCTGCCATACTGGATCGTCCCAGGTGGCAACATCCACGCGTGTTGGTTCGGCTAACAGACATCTTACCACAGGGCCTGTCATCAAGACGGGTCTCTCCCATACTACGGCTAGCGGCCTCGCACGTTTCGACGCCCATGCCCGCTTGATGGGAGTAGCGGGATGACCGTGCCATCGAGCGGCCACGGGCCGTCTCTATCCGTCGTGATCATGTGTCTACGCGCGCAGCGTCAATGTGCGTTCGTACGTTTACAGTCACTAGATGTTTTGGCGCTTACCACCGGGGCTAGACTTTCTCTCTAGTGCAATTTGGAATGGAGTGTATGGCGTAATTGTCCAGCCCACTGCCTGGTGGTGGTAAGCTCAAGGTTTTGATTGTGGACAACGAAGGTTGCAAATTGAAGGTGCTGATTGAAATGCACATTAGGCTTCCTTCATTATAGTTTATCGGAGACTTGGATCCCCGCAGATCTTCTTCCACAGGAACCGCGAGAGTTCAGATGCAACACAACGGGTGAACCTTACGCGCGCTCTTCCATGCATAACTAGACGGGATGGAGGTTATTTTTCAGGGAAAGTTCCGACGGTGAAATGCGCATCTAGGGTCTATTCTGGAAAAAGCAACCTTTTGCAGTTCAATCATTCTGTCTCTGGACATTAAGCGCTTAAATCAAGTAAGTGTTGTTATTCGTCATACAAACCTGATTGCCTTCGTGAAGATTTGTAGACTGTGCTCTACTTGAGCTTCCAAAGAGAAATGCGAGCCTGATTAATATGGAGCTCTCGTCATGCGGAACGTGCATTCTAGGCCCATATTCTTACCATTGGCATGGGCATCGTTGACTCACATGTTGGGAACTTAGTTCAGGCCCGAGCACTTGGATATACCAATGGTTTGAATCGGTGTACAGAGTTGCATTGCGCCCTGCAATACTGGGCAAAAAGGATGACCTCTAGATGACCGATCTACTGCCACATTCATGACCGATTATCTGGCTAGTAAAATTGGCGAAGTCCCTGGAGAGCAGGTCAATTGTCACCGTTATCTGTTCCCATACTCATGCCTATGTTTCTGGTCCCCTGAGGACTTTCTGTTCAGACGCGAGCCGGGATGTGGTAAACCTCAAGACCACGCTACCCGAGTCTGAAGATGCGAGACGCGCCGCGCCCTGAGGGCGTCAGGTCCCCCATAATAGCCTGTGAGCCACATCATCTCGCTTGAGTCAGCATGCTGACACTGGTCTGACAGGCGTATCGCGCAGTTTGAGCAGCCAGCCTATTCTACCGCGAAGCTCAGAAGGTAACGGATGGGGCACTCGCGGAAGAATACGCGAGATTACGACATAGTCTTGATTCCGCAATCGCGACTTGGAAGATTTTCGGGGATCTCACGGTCTGCTCGAGGGACGGGATACTATTTCACCTTCTCTGATTATCTGCTCACCTGGACACTACCCAGAGCCAAACATATACGGCGGAAAAGTGTCGGTCGTGCAGAATTACTGCTTCAAGTTTGGCAGGATACGTGGTAGTGCTGCCCGAGTGGTAACTGCCGTTGAACGTCAAGCGCACGGGATCTTTGAGATGGGAAGCAGGGTTTGTGTTATGTTAGACTCATGACACTGATGTTCCGTAAGTTCTGGTCGGCGAGACTCCATGCCATGAGACACACGAGCATACGCAGGCGAAGAATTCCGTGTGATGACCGTCAGGTGCTCTAGAACCCGTTATTAGACTCAGTTGGCAGCTCACTTGCACTAACATTTGGTTCGTTGTACCAGCCAGTGGGATATCTCATTCCGTACTGGTTAGCCACCGTTCGAGCGAGGCATCGTAAGCCTGTGAACGCAAAATTATGTCCAGCATGTTTCAGAAAAAGCCCTGCCGCGCCAGCCATGTCTGACTTGGCGTGAACATCTGCAATGCTGATTGTTTGACTCGACTATGTACATTCACTGTTCATTATTCATTATTCGTCGGGAAGAGTGGTTTCCGAGAGAGTTTGAGTGACTTCGGAATAATCAGAAGATTTCCGGGGATAGATGGGCGGAAGTATATTTTAGGAAGATTCTTGCTCATCACGGCCCACGGAGTACTGCTCGACAGCTGCTCGCTTCGGCACTGCGCTGCAGGTAGGTATTGTCGGGCATGGAGTGGACCGTTCGGGCACAAGGGATGAGAGAGCTGGCCGAGGGTCTGAGCTGCTATGCCTTTCTGTATGATTTGTTTGACCACGTATGGGGCAGGTGGGTGCTCGAGATTCGGGCTCCCCGATCAGCAGGGAAATTGCCGTGGTTGGCGTTTGCCACGAACACAACCGCTTCCATCACGAGAAGCGCCTCCTTGCTTCTCTCCTCAATGCTTGTGCCTTGCGACGATCTACATCCGCTAGATATGGCTCCTCAATTTTCTTAATTGCAGTCCCTCTGTGTTTCAGAAAACAATGCAACAAGGGACAGTGACATTCTGCTCCTTGATTAGCCGGAACAATATTATCTGTTGCCATGCATCCTCCTCTCACGTTCCGACAAGTATCAACAGTATCATCTCAACCTCCGAGCAATGCCGATACACATGGCATGTGGGTCGTGCGAAGTCCTCGCCCATTCTACGATAACCACGCAGAATTCCTGCTCCTCCCTAGTACACTTTGAAATAACACTCGGCCCTGCCCACATGTGCCGGAGTAACAGCATTGGTAGTGCCTTCCCGCGATCATACGCGAAGAGAAGGCAGACTTTTGGGGTCATCTCGCTCACAAGCCACCCGCGCTCGACGGACCGAGATGAATCGAGAAGCTGCTGCATTCGCTTATCGTCAGTGGAATTAAACGTGTTCCGCTTCTTGGTCTTCGCCTCAACGGGAGGCGTAGGTACGTTAGAGAACGCTGGTGTCCATCTATTGCATTAGAGTACAATGTAGGTGTTCGACGTAGTCATACAGAAATATCGTCTAGGCTGCGATGATGAATAAGTTACGCCCAAATCCCAAAGACCCAGCAGTCACTAGCGAGATGACTTCATAGGAAGGTCCGTCGCCACGAGAGTCAGCTTCACGATTTTCCTACTGTCTACGCTTCTATCTCTCGATTCCGACTCGATGCTGCAAAGAACCCATCTCAGCGATCACACGTCTTCCAGGTGCGGAATGATTGACTTACACGACGTTGATCGACTTATGCCGTTCATAGAGCACGGGAGACGTTCTCCCAGGCAGCATCTTTTGGATATTTCGGATGATGTAGTATCCCCCAAGTGATCCGCTCTGCGAAGAGAATCGAAGTCAGTACTGCGCTGCGCCGACTCGGAGCCAGTTCAACGAGACATACCCGATAGGAATCATCGTGTGGGACCTCCACCGCATTCAGCCACTCAACGGTCAGTCGGAATCCAGAACTCTCCACCATCGCCAGGATGGCGGTTTGTAGGTGGCTTCGTGGCAAGGGTTTTCCATTCAGCGTGAGCTCAATCTTTTGCGAGAATGTGTCATCGAGAGCACGAAGGCAGTCCGCCGCAGACTTTGCCTCGAACACACGCTTTATGTGCTCTTTGGACCATGCATAACATGTAGGGAGCATCGTGAGTGGAGAGGATCTGCACGAAGAGCAAGGTTATATGGCAGAATGTGGGATTCGTGAAGAAACACGGCAGGTTAGTGACTCGTCCCTATGTTTAGACTGCTTATAACCCAGTTCCGCTGTTCTAGTAGATTGCCTTGGACACTCGACCCGTGTGCGCCCATCGTCTGAATACGTGAGCAGCAGAAACTTCTCGTGAGAAGTGATTGAACGTTACCCGTAGGGGAAGAAACGTGGTCAGAATGAGATTCGCGAATCTGCACTCGCTTCGTTCATCCCATCAAATTTTCTTCGACGACAAGAAACTCAATTCCGTCTTCTTGATGATCCACAATCTGGATGCGAAGCAGACGTCAACATGCTGTTCCTACTTGCGGACCTCGCCGTTCAGCGTGGCGTTCCGGTTCCACATTGGGACCCGAATCCGATGCATAAGTGGCAACGATCCATGAGAACGACCTTCTCCGGTCGGGTCTTGGACGTGGACTCGGATGCAGCTCATTCCATTTACCCCCGACGCCGTACACGAATCTCAAGAGGGTGCTCGCGGAGAGATCCAGACCGTGAGCCGCACCCCTAATAAACACGCCATGCATCGGAGGAGGCAAAAATTGGTGAGAGTATGCCCAATAAGAAGGTGCACACGGTCCCCTTCGCTCTAGATCCCAATCTCAGCATTAACGTCACCGCATCGCCGATTATGCTTGCATGCCATATTAGGGACAGCAACAGCAGCACATGCTCTATGTCCGTCGACGGCTGTCTTTCTTTCTTTCCACGGAGCTCGGCAGCGCCGTCCCTAGATGATATGATTCCATGCCAGCATGGCGCTCCGATCATCTTGTCGCCCCTAGGCACGAGTTTTAAGTATACGCCTGTATGAAACCCGATATGTGAGCGAACGTTTGGAGCGTCACTGGCAGTCAAACCCCAGCATCGTGCACGATTAATAGACTCTGAAATGGGCACGCGTACAGATGCAATGATGAGCTACATAGCCGTCCGTCCTCGCGTACCGATCCACGAGTTCGGTTGCCCGAAGCGGCCTGCGGGTGAACACAAGGCACCCTGTGGGCACTGCCGAACTTTCTACATCTCATCCGTGTCAGAATAACTGCGTGGCACATGCACATTGGGGGAAACCAAATATTCGTAAAGCCGTCTTTCTCGTTGGTGTGAAGCACTGGGCTGGCCCGTGAGCAGGCCGCGACCGGTAGTCGGACTGCCACACGTAATGTGAGCTATTCAATGCAACGCCAATGCAACGCGGCGTCGTTATACAATCGACCCGCTCCACTCAGCGCAGACGGACATTCTATGGTTATACCTCAACTCGGTGTAGGACGCATTAACCGCTTTTGAGGTGATAATCATATCAAATCCTCCAACATGCGGAGCTTGCATTACCTTGACGGAAGACAAGCCAGAGCTGTGAGTCGTCAAAGGACAACCCAGCGAACAACGCGTGTCCTGAGATGCTTGGCGTCATATGCTGTCCTGCCATTCGATGGTGAACGGTCAGATTAGCGGACCACGTTCCAATCGAGGACGACATAATGCATTTCCGAACTATTAATGCGCTCTCATGCCCCGTTTGGAACGGAGATCGTCTTGAGCCAAGGATGAAATGAGGCGGAAATTCTTGTATTGTTACAACGTGGCAATTGCTGGAGTTATGAGGGACAGCGGAACACTACACAATACATACAGATAACATGATGAGGGACCAGCAGATTACTTCAGCGCTTTCTTCATTTGCTGCGAGAAACGGACCCAAGTCAGCAATAGGGTCCACGAGGATCTTATAAAGGGCGAATTTCAACGCACCTCCTCCATTGCATCCAAATCGTTCGTCTCTATCCGGATGATTTGCTTTCCGGTCGCCTTCTCGATCTGCTCCATTTGTGCCCAAGTCGTTTTGTCATGCACAAAGTTTATCGAGATCCCCTTCCTGCCGAATCGTCCAGTGCGCCCTGAGGGGTTAAAGCGTGTAAGATAATTTCGGCGAGCGATGAGAGAACGCAGACATGCGTTAAGGGAAGTCAAGACGCGTGTAAGAAAACTGAAGACATACCAATACGATGGATGTAGGTGTCTATATCCGGCCGCGCGTCCTGTCGATTCGACCAGTTGTCGCGCTCGCCCAAGAGGGGTAGGTCATAATTGACCACCATATTTACTTGCATGATGTCAATCCCGCGAGCGATGACATTGGTCGTAATGAGGACCTTCTCCTTGCCCTCGCGGAACCGGTCGATGATCGCGTCACGTTCTGCAGCATCCTTTGCGCCATGCAAAGAGGCCACCTTATGGCCCTCAGCAGTCATGCGCTGCGCAATACGATCGGCAGTATTCCGGCGCTGCATGTCGTAAATCGCGTGTGATGAACATGCTGTCGTTCGCTAGCTGTCAAGCTGGTTACTCACCTGGCAGAAGATGATACTCTGGCCAATCGTGAGCAAGCTGTAGAGAGACACGAGCACGTCATATTTATGTTCTTCATTACGGCAATCCATGTAGAATTGTCGGATGTTGTCCACAGAGAGCTCGTTCTCTTTCAGCTCAATCTTGTTCGCATTTGGTGCAACTTTGTTCGCAAAGTTTCGAACGTGATGGGGGAATGTTGCGGAAAAGAGGATAACCTGCGGACCTCCATGACGAGGCAATGCACTGCAAGGATACATCAGCATGATTTTATGTATGGATGACGAAGAATGTATGGATGACGAAGAATGTATGGATGACGAAGAATGGACGTACTTCTTCACCCGTAGAGTCTGCTCTGCGAGGCCGTCCTGATCCAACATGTTGTCTGCTTCATCAAGTACGAAGACCTTGATCTCCGATGTGTCGATGACTTTCCTCCGAATAAGATCGACTGTTGTACCGGGCGTACCCACGATAACATGCGCATTAATTCGAGTAGTGCTCCTGGGCAAGTTGTCCTTGATGGAATATTCCGTTTGTACAGGAGTGTACTTCCCCATCGTCACCACGACAGACATTATCTGGCGAGCCAGCTCTCTCGAGGGTGCTAAACAGAGTGCCTGTCGCAGATGAGCTCAATTGCAACCCCATCGAAATGAATCGGTTCATATTCTCACCTGCGTCTGGCTCTTAGAGAAGTCAACCCGACTCAGCATGGTCAGGACGAAGGCAGCCGTCTTTCCAGTCCCTGATTGAGACTGGCCAATGAAATTCTGCGGGCTGCATTGGAAAGCGTCAGTATGCCACCACAACGCTCCTGACTCTGCAACGTACGGGTTGGCCAATAGAAGAGGCAAAGCACGCTCCTGGATTTTTGAGGGCTTTGTAAAGCCCATATCATATATCCCTTTCAGGAGATCTTCATGGCTAGGAGTCGCTCGGTCAGACCATCGAATTCGCAAAATCGGCGAATACGCACAGTCCGAGCTCCTCAAAAGACTTTACACTGAACAATGGAGAGTTCGGATCGGCTTGCTGATCAGCTAAGGTAACCTGGGCGTTCCGTAGTCAGACCCAGTCGAAAGGAAAAGAACGACTCAAGACCATACCGATACTTCAAATGTTGACTTGATCAGGTCTGTTGTCAGGTCTGAGGTTGCATCTGAGACAATTAATAGGTCCGAAAGCTTGGAAAGAACCCTCAAACGCTTACGTGGCTCGGTTGGTTCTGAGGCAGGCTGTGGTTCCGTAGTTTCTGCGGGAGCTGAAGCTGCAAGCGACATGAGTAATCAGACTCAGGACAATTGACCGGAGGACTCACCTGCTGGTGGTGCAGAAGTGAAGAACCCATCTGCGTCTTTCTCCATTTCTACTAGCTGGCAGCGTGTGAGGCGGCAAGGAGATGGTGGTAATTAGGGATCAAGGTAGAATGAGCGTGAGCAACGCGCGTCAACGGAGATGAACACGATCTGGGTCTTCGATCGCGACTCAACTACGACCACGCTCGTGCTCGCCTCTCCTTTCGCAGCATCAGTCTCTGCACGTCGACGACCCTCTGTTTACGCAATTTTCTCTGCTCGGCTCGACACTTGGCACCGTCCTGAGCTGGATATATACTGTCTCGGTCATTCGCGCCTTGTTCGCGTCGGGTTAGTGCCACTCTGACTTACGCTCGGGAAGCCCACTGCATCTCACTGCTCATATCCGCCGTTATATACAGGCATGCTGCCTATCTCCGTGCTCGGACATTGCTTACGCTGGCGACGCCGCAACTGCTGATTTGTGCGTCTCGCTGCCGAGCCTGCACCCGTTTTCTCGCATCGGATATGACACCCGCCGCGACGTTGATTGACCGTGTGCGCTCCGGCGTATCAGCCGTCGAGCTCGTTCACACATCGCATGAGCGGTGGCCGCTGCCTCGGTCATCTATGGCTCTCCCTCTCCGGATATCGGTACTCGACGCGTCTTTCAATCCTCCGACCCTCGCTCATCTAGCCCTCGCCAATGCACCTTGCCCATACCCGATCGTCTCAGCCTCCGCTACAGCGCGAGATGTGCATGACTATGATGCGAAACTCCTGCTGTTGTCAGTGCGCAATGCCGACAAGCATCTGAAGCCCGGGGATGCGGGCTACATTCAGCGGCTTGAGATGATGACCTTGCTCGCCAAGGACATCATCCGGGCACGTATCCGGGATGATCATACGTCCGACCTCGACGCTCCTGCCGTCCCTCACGATAATGTGGCGGTCGCCATCATTGATGAGCCGACGTTCGTCGGCAAGTCCAGAGCTCTGCTTCAATATTTACGGCAGCGCGTGTCATTCCTCGTCCATAGCTCACCGGTGGCGCTACAGAGTCAGGGCATGCCCGACGCTATGCCGGACCATGTCACCCCGCAACTCACATTCCTCCTAGGTATGGACACGCTCGAGCGCCTTTTCGCTCCCCGGTACTATCCATCTGAACAGGCTATGCTTGATTCGCTTCACCGATTCTTCGCAACGGATGGAGATAATGCCAGAGTTGTTTGCGCACATCGTTCTTCGCCAAGTTCTCTTCACGAGGATGACGAAGGGAGCCGCCAGCTAACGATCAAGATTCAACAATATTTAGAAGATTTTCGTGTGACACTCATCGACATCGGCGGGAAGGAAGAGAAGATTAGTAGTACACAGGTTCGTCGACTTGTCAAAGCTGGGGACCCCAACTGGAGAAGTATGGTCACCGAGCATGTAGAAAAGTATATCGCAGAACGCAAACTCTACTCTTTTGCTTGAGCTGTCTTACAAACATTGTTCGCGAGGATATAATGAATCTATTGCGGTAGCGAACAATTACAATCGGGCGTGATGATATGAGAATACACGAGCGAGCAACAATCGATTTACGAGTAATGCGACAAAGAGCCCTGATGAAAAAGAGATCATGACGAGGAGGCTTGAGCAAAGGCGATGGCGACAGTCTGTGAAACGGAGGGCATCAGCCAACAATGCCCGTACTGCAGGCAGGATTGACATACCTCGGAGTGACTCAGCGATAGATGGACCTTGGAGATTGACTTAGCCTCGGCAGCCGACTTTGCATCACCGTGCAAGGTAACAGTCGGGACGCCCGAAGCATCAGGAAGAATCTCGATGTCCTTCATCGGAGCTGCGGCACCCTTTGACGATACTCCGAGCGACTTAAAGACCGCTTCCTTACCAACCCAGCGTGCCGCGAAGGATGCTTCGGGCGATGGCTGAGAACGGCAGTATGCGACCTCTGCGTCAGTGAAGTTGCGCGAGACGAACGTCGGGTTCGATGAAGGAACGGAAGAGATCAACTCTTTACAGATGGTCAACACGGCGATCAGTGCGGTAATTGCGAGAGAGACGCACCTTGATCGACACCGACACCTGCAGTGGCGTTCTTGCCAGCGAGGATCTCGGACATAGCCTTGACGTTGGCGCTGTCAAATACCGGCTGCGTCGCCTGCTGCGGCTTGAATGAATAACTGCCTGTCTTGGGATCGTAGCTCGCTCTTGCCAACGGGTTCAACAGCACTGGAGCCTCGAGATCCTTCGGGTACGGTGGCGTGTCCTTGATCCTGACGAGACAGTTGTTGATCATCATCTCGCTCATCGCTTTGTACGCTAGACGTGCTCGAACAATGTTCTTCTCCTTGTAAGCTTCATATTGTGATAAATCAAGGGCACCGAGCAGGTATCGGGGATGGACAATCAGACATGTACCGCCAACTTGACCAAAACCGAAAGACGACTGCGTACTAATGTCAGAGCTAAACGAGATGCAAGGACCTTCTCAGCTTACCATGACTCCGGCCCGAATGCCATCAGTGTGAACTGTCTTCGAAGGGAACATGAGGTAAGTGTAATCCTTGAAGTGCGAATCAATGTTACTGTGATGAGGTCGAGTTAGTCAGGAATGAGAACAATGAGCCAACAAACGTACTCAGCGTTGCGGTTTCCTGGCACAATCCCACTGTTGACACTTTGCAAAAGACCGGCGAGCTGCCATCCGGCGGACCCTCCCTTCGAATGACCGCAAAGGCTCTTCTGGGCCATGACGGGCACCGCGTTGCCATCCGTCCTGGAAATGTTTGCGAAGATGTCGTTCCAGACATGCGTCTCGTTGCCCTCCTGTATATTTCAAGCCATTAGAGCCATCACGTATCATGGTGAAGACCACTTACGTTCGCCTTAGTACCTGTACCGTGCAGAGAGAGCACGCCGATGTCGTCCGCAGTAAAACCCCAAACAGCAAGGGCGCGACGAAGGGGAGCGACTCGTGGATCGGAACCATGCAGCATACCGTACGTCGCCAATGCGTCCTTCTCTTGCCGAGCTGCTTCCTTCTCAATATCTGCAACCCTGCAGGCGAGATAGTGCTCGTCCATCGTCTCGCCTTGACTCTCGCGGAACTCGAGCTCGTCCTGTAGAAGCTGTCGTTCATTGTCCAACCACTGCGAGATCTGGTTGCGGCGGAACGTGAGCTGGCGTGATCGATACATGACATCCAGCACGGGCAGTTGCTGCTGACAGTGGACCTCTCGGCCAATGGTGAGGGCACCGCGTCCAGGAGCAGGAATAGACTTTCCGGCCTTGTCACTAAAAATACATGAAGATTTCATCCCTCGAGTAGAAGAAACTGACTTACGTAGAAGTCGACGTGAAGGCAACGATTCCTTGAATGGGACATCCCAGCTCGAGTGCTGTCTTCGCGCTCATGAGAACGTGCACACCGGTGCCTTGAGCTTCCATAAACTGTAAGAAGTACAGTCAACTCTTTTCTCTTTTCAAATGAAGAGTGCTCGACTCACCCCTCCACGCGTCGTCGTTGCTGGTCTCGACATTTCTGTCGGCTCTCGGCCCATGGCGAACTCCGTCTCTGAATTGCTAGTCGCCGTCATATTCGCGAACTCGTACGAGCCCTCCTCGCTGAAGTCATCATAGCCACCCGCAAGCATTACCTTCGCCTTTCCTGAGAGCAGCGTATCGCAGGCGATCTCGACCGACTGCAGTGCGGTTGCACTACGAGAGTACTTAGACCATATTTTGCTTCAAGACAGAACGTGACTTACCAAGCACCGACTGGAATCTTCACCGGGCCGGAGGAAGAGAGGAGCAGCAAGTTTACCCAACCGGCAGTTGTGTTAATGAACCTGCATGGCGCCTTATTACCGGTAACACGAGTGCCATGGAAAACCAACACTTACGTCTCCTGGAGGATGTCGCTCTGAACCTCTTTCTCATCTCGACGGTCCTTGAACATCTTCGAGAGCGATTCCATGCCACCCATACCACTGCCAATACTAGTGCCGACCTCTGAGGGGTGTACGTGCTCATAGAGCTCATAAGGATCTGTGATGCCGGACATATTCAAAGCATCCGCTGCAGCCACGAGCGTCCAGAGAGCGGTCCGGTCGGTCTGTGCGATGATATCTGAAGGGATGCCATAGCGTCCGGCGTGCCACCCAGTAGGGAGCTGACCAGCGACGAGACGATTGAACTTTATGGCCTTCGGAACGAACAGCCGGGCACCCTTCTTCAATTTGACATACCATTGGCCTCCATCTGCTGTAGCCCAGATGTCGCACTTATCGCCGTGCTCGTACTTGAACTTCTCGGCTTCTTCCTGACTAGCCTCGAATGACTCGAGATCGTGCGAGATCTCAATCTCCTGGTTGAACACCTTCTTCTTCGGATCGTATCCACGGAACAGCTCAGGTTCTATAACGAGATGTTAGCTCAGCTGGTAATGACGCCGAATCGCCAAACCCTCACCAATGAGGCGAACACCTGCATGGCTCAGTATCTCCTTTTCGTAGCGACTTCGTACGTCCTTGTCGTCCACAGGCTCACTACTCTTTGCATCCACCCAGCCAACGTATAGAGAACCGTCCTTGAGACGGCCGTCGAAGTGCTTGATATGGCCCATCATCCAGGCCATCTCGATGCAACCCTCGATCGTGAACTCGCCTCTGGCTTCCATCTCCCACCTGGTACGCGAGCTACCCCACGGCCCAACTTCTGCGAATCCGGTGATGACGATGACTTGCTCAAGGTCGAGCATGCCGCGGAGGTACGAGACATCCGACAGTGACTCGGCGGACTCCAATCGAGGGAACTCAAACTTGAAGTTGGCACGCGGAGTGACGTTGACCGTCTGGAGGACTCGTTCGGCCTCGACGCCATTGACCGTCTTAAAGTCCGCCGCGTTGTCCCTGGCAATCGTGCGACGAAGTTCACTCTTCTTGTTCAGATTCGTGCGAATGCGGGTGGTGATCTCAGCAAGGTCCGGAAGGCGATCCATGCCGCCGTTCAAGTCCGCCCAGATAGGCTCGACCTGCGTGATGCTGAACAAGAGTGGGTGCATCAAACCAAGCAGGTTGAACGCCATCTCCTTAGCAGAGAATGTGCGCACACCATAGCTCTCAACCTCATGAGCGACGACGTTCGTAGTGTCCATGAGCCCGGTGCCGCGCGTCCACCTGTACGTCATTGTCAGACAAATGAATCGGACGTTGGACTCATGTAAGGTCTTACCCAATGACTGCACCGGCCAAGCAGAGATACTCGCCCCAGCTTTCGGAGTTCCACCTGTTGAAGAGCGTCTCCAATCCGATCTTTGACTCTGAATATAGACCGTCGTTGCCGAACAAGCCGTGGTTGGGAGACAGCGGAAGGATGACCTGGGTTGGTCGAGTGAGGATGTGTCTGGAAGCCTTCTTGACCTTAACCGCCCCCAATAAACGCAGCAGGTTGACGAGCATGATGCGATGCGCCAGCTCGGACTTATCGTCGAGACCATCTATCTCTCGACCGTTCTCGGGGACGGCTGCGAAGGGGAGAATGTAGTCCAAATCCAGGCCAAGGGTGGAGTAGATATAGTCGATGAGAGCCTCAACGTCCTGCTTCGATCCCTGGTTGAACGGCACGACCGTCAAAGCCGACCCTTTGCTACCGAAACGCTGGAACACGCCCTGATAGTACTCAACCGTGGACCTGCTGTAGCGAGATGTAGTGATCACGACATGTGCCCCACCAGAGAGGAGGCCTTTGAGAACTTCGACCCCAATTGAGCCCTTCCCCACTCCAGTGAGGAGAGCATTCTTGTCCTTGAATGTTGTGCCAGATGTTGCAATCTCGTGAAGAATATCAAGGTACACGCCCGTCAGATTACTGCTGTACTCCCACGTCGTGCCGACTTTGCGCTTCAGGTGAAGGAGCGGAACCTTGTCGGCTGTGACTGGCGTGACTGCAGAAATCTGAGGCCGCAGGAACTGTGAGGATGAGCGACGTGTACGCTGAGCTCCCGGCCGAGCGCGGGATTCTGGACGCTTGCGAAGCGAGCGGACAACTCCTTCATAGAGAGCCTTAATACGGTTCTTCTGCTCCTCACTGATCTCTGGCTGAGACTTGACAACATTCCACAACTTGAGAACATCATCTTGAATCTTCTGGATATTTGTAGGAGCCGAAATTGTGTCGCCACTGGCCATCTCCTCGACATACGCCTCAAGTTTGCGAACGTTCTCTCGGACGACCTCTGAGTAGACGATGTCACCCTTAGCAGTAACTTCGGTGTGTGGAGCGGTTGGGAATGTCACTGAAGATGACTTGTTAGATCCTGCAGCAGCTACTGCTCACATAATACGCACCATCCTTGTATAGCGGCGGTTGTCCGACTACCTCCCGGCAGTTGTCGATGAGTTGCTGGCCGAACTGCTTCGCGAGTTTATATGTCTCGCCGCGATTGGGATCGCATTTGTCGATGTAGTATTGCATGTAGGTAACGAGTTCTGGATCGGCACGGTTCATGATGGCGATGCAGCGGGCGGTGATCTCGCGGTCGACGGTGGTCAGGCGGCCGAAGATAATGTCGTAGAACATAAGAAGGGCATCTTGACGGACCCAATTCCAGGACGAGTCGAAGTGCCGAGCCTTGAGAGCGTCGAATGCAGGCTGTATTCCGTCTAGGTACAAGTCGCCGTGCTCGCGGGTGATCGCATCCAGCCGTGCCTGGAGCGTCGCAACATTCGTCTTCTCGGCCTCATACTTGTGCTCGCCTGCGCGTGAGTCTCGTTTGAGGTACCGCATGTATAATTCGACCTGCTGCGAGGCAAGCCACTCCTGCTCTGCTTGGAACTTGAGGAACTCCTCGCTGTTGATCGTGGGGCCTCCACCTCCACCTCCGCCCCCACCTCCCGAGGCACTGGAGGACAGCGAGATGCCAGTGCGCTGGGCATAGACCGCAACTACCGAGTCGAGCCAAGCCTTGGCCTCCCCTTCGGATCCAAGTCGCTTCGGCGGCTCCATCGTCAATGCAAGTAGCAGCACACCATCCGCTCTCGACGGACCCAATCCCCACGACTTCGACAGATACGATTTGATGGCCGACAGGTTGAATCCACCAGGCATCTTACCACCAATGAGACGGCCGATCAGTCCGGACGTGTACTTGCCCAAAGAACCCGAGAAACCGACACCGAGCGCTGATCCAAGTTCCTCCAGGGGGAGTTCCTCTCCCTTCTCGGGCGCCGAGGAGAACTCCGTCTGCAGGTCTCCTAGAATCTCATTCTGCAGCGTCGATTTACCTCCAGAGAGGTCTTTCAATGATTTTGATAGCGGGATTTCTTCGACTCTCTTCTTCAACTTTTGAGCAATGATCGCCGTTAAGATATCCACCGCCTTCAGAGGAACGTCTTCTACAGCGGCGGCAGCAGCAGCAGCAGCAGGCGCTGGAGTAGAGGCGACGGGCGCGGCAGCCGAAACAGCCGAATGCACTGGGGCCACTTCTTCACTCTCGGCTGGAGCAGCCTCAGGCTCATCCTCGAACTGGTAGTATACTTCCTTGGTGTTTTTTGCGTGGCAGAGGATGGTGCGGACGTGACTGATGGAGTCATCCTGGGTTTCGTACTTGGCCTTCAGGGTCCTGGTCGCCATGCCGGTAAGTGTCGGAGAAGGGCCGATTTCGATGAACCGCTCAAAGTTGTAACGAGCGAAGAGAATGTCTTGAGTTTCGATCCAGCGCACTGGCGACGCAAATTGGTATGCAAGCAGCTCGACCAGCGTGATATATGCAAGCTTCTGGCGTTGTTCAGGTGCGCTCCAATTCTCCTGATCCCACTTGCGGAGAACCTTGTCGAGCCTCGCCGAGAGCGTGCGGTCGTAGATGAGTTGCACATAATCTTTGGAAACCTCGAATGGCTTAGCAATCAGGTTGGGAACGTACTTTCCGACGAGGGTGTCGGGATCTAGGTGCGCAGCGTTGATTTTCTTCGACAAATCTATACAGCAACATTAGTAATATGACGCTATTTTTGTAGTCGACAACTGACATGCACGGAAGGGCATGACACCGGCCCAGAGGTATCGAGAGTGGAACGGAACGTCGATACCAGGAAGAGGGATCGTGGCGAAGCCGCGCTCCAGCTTGATATAGCCCTCGGCCTGCTGCTGCTCCTTCGCTTTCGCGTAGCAGTTATCGATGATTTCGCGCAGCATCTCCTTGACCTGGTCTACCGTGAACTGCTCAGTAAGCTAGAAGACGTGCTTAGTAACGTAGATCTGTGTTCGAAAAATTGGATCGATACCTTCGGGATATCAATCTTTTGCAACTTGAGATAATTGAGGACGTTTGTAAGTGCCTGCAATGCAACGAGCTCGCCTGCGCAGACGTATTGTTGGCCCTGATATAGCGCATTAGCTTCTTTTCCAAGTTACAACGCACAATGCAGAAGCACCGTACCTCGACGTTGAAATTGACGATTTCAAGCAGACAGCCAGTGCGTTGAGCGATGTCATCAACGACCTCGCGAAGGGCTGCATCGTTGAACGTCTTCGAGATGCGACTTGGGTTGACGGCGCACATTGCATAATTCGACCTGTTTTGCGCATCACGCTCCACTGCACGTTGCATTGTGATACCACGGTAGAAGACGATGTCCACAAGAGAAGATATCGGAAGCACACCAGCGATCGACGCGAGAGCCGAGTACTCTCCGAGAGAGTGACCAGCGAATGGAGCACCGTTCTGTACGAGGCCCTTCGAGCGCATGTCTTCGAATGCAGCGCGCTCGGTCACCACTAGCGCGATCTGGGCGAATTGAGTAGCGTAGAGCAGACCTGCCGGATGACTGAAGGTATAGCGCTGAGTGCGGACATTGATGTCGCCGAAAAGAGGGAGCGTCTTCACATTGCCGTCCTTGTCCATCGTGTCGTACGTCATGTCCATGTAGCGTTTACGGATCGCCTGACCTTTGATACCACCGAAGTGGATCGTCTTCTCCTTCGGATTCTGCTTCACGATCTCGACGATTGAGAAGCCGTAGACTGCCGTGAGGTGCTCATCGGCAACTTCCCACACAGACCGAGCAGCAGGGGAATTATTGTACAGATCCATGCCCATCCCCGGCTCTTGTGAACCTTGGCCAGTGAACACATAGACGGTTGCGGGCTGCGCAACCTCGGCAGTACCCTCGAGCACCTTCTCACCTTTCGCGTTAGACGTCTCCACCTTCACTACCATATTACCGTCGCGCATTCCGATGTGCTTGATCTTCACGTTGAGCTCATCCTCCGGCAGCACCATCCCCACAAAGGTGACATCATAGCTGGAAAGCTGTCATTTATACCGTTATAGAGTAGATCTGGAGAGCACTTACGCAACGACACGATCCGGTCGACCTTGTGCGACGACAGTCTCAACGTAGCGTCTAGTTGCGGCGCTTGACCACATGCCGTGTGTGATGGTCCCAGGGAGTGCAGCGTAGTCTGCGAAATAAGGATTGATATGAATTGGGTTGAAGTCGCCAGAGACCTTCGAGTACGGCTCGTTCGTTGCAGGGGAATTGAAGAGGGTAGAACCGGAGCTTGTCATAGTGTAGCCGTCGTTGGCCAAGGGGCTCGGCAAACCTTGCGGTTGGCCATGGCGTTGCAAGTAGGCAAGGACGGGATTGCCTCGGCTATCGTCCTGCAAGAAGTCAACCGTACCAACCTTGACGAGACGTTTGATCTGATCGCGAACGAAGATATCGCCGGATACGGATACCGACTTGAAGCACGTCTTGTTACGGTAGGTGACCTCGGACTTCACGCGGAAGATCAGACCTGTTCCTGCCTGAAGAGGCTTAGACTCGTCGTCCCATTCAAACCATTCCTTCGACTGCAGGACTCCGACGTCCGCTTCCGTTGCAAGTTCGACCAGGTAATCGGGCTCCTCGAGGAGCTCGAAGGTAGCATCGTAATCATTGTACTTGCCGCGGTACAGGAATGCCGAGACAACCTCGATGACCGGCTGGTCGTTGCGCATGACGAACCCCTTGACCTTGACCGTCTTGCCAGCGTCGCTGTTGATGACAGAAACGATACGGGCCTCCGCTTTGCAGACGTCGCCAGCTTTGAGGGGGCTTGCGCCATCTACCATGCGGAAGCCGTTCGATAGATGGACCAGCTTAAGGATGTCGCCGTCGATGGATGCAGGGAAGATAGCTTTCATGATCGCCTGGGATGGTTGTCAGCTTCATTCAATCTTCAGACCAGCTATCTACACACCTGCCAGCCCGTTACGATGGCGAAATCCATAGGAGCTTGCACCTGCTCCGTGCGAGCTACCTTAAAGGCCTCCCCATCGTTGCCGATGACGGCGCAAAACCGCTCAACGGCCGATGCATCGATGGTGATCTCGGGACCAATGAAAGTCTCGCGCACGTCAATTTTTGGGAGTGCCTCGTTGTCGCCGAACCAAAGACGCCAGTAGAATTCCTTGATCCGTCTGTTGCGGTCCTCTGCGACTTCATGGATCGGCGCAAAACCCATAATCGGTTTGTACAAAAATTTGAGATGAAGGGGGATAGCGACTTCGCGGCGATCCTCAAAGAGCGTAACATTAATGAGTTGAGAAGCTGAGTCGAACCTCACTTCGACCACCTTGAACGAAGGTTTATGTATTCCATACGAGCGTGCAGCACCATAGATAGAGACTGACGAAGGCAATTCGCCGTCTACGTCGATAACGACGGTCTGACCACGACGAGGAGCAAAGAGGCGACGAATAGGGTTGTCGATGTATGATGTGCCCTGCACGATGGTCCTTGACGTCAGCAGTGCTCGGAGCCAATCATGACGAGGACCAGCGAGAGTTTCCAGCCAGGCGTCGACGTTGGGCAGCGAATTGCGAGCTGAGTAACGGATCTGTCCTTTCTCCGCGACACGCCCGACAGAAGCACTGACGACAGGAGGCTCGGGGCTGAGGTATCCGATGGTGGGCACCTTGCTTAAGTCGCCACCGTACAAGCGTTCGGCTAATCTCTCGACAAGCATGGAAGTGATGTTGTCAAGCATTTCCTTGACAGGCTCGTCCTTGATGGTAGAGTGCTTGGCAGCCACCGGCCCTTGAAGAATACAGACACGCTGCGGATCCTGGTCAAAGACGGCCTCAATATCTTCTGCGGCCCAGAGAGAGTCCTATCAGACCAGTTAGCTTGCTGAGAAGAATACATTTAGCTAATCATCACAAACCTTCTTGAACCACACCTCAAAGTTGGCGTCGAGGATCGGGATGAACGGCACGGGCTTCTGTCCCGGACGCTGAGTGATAGCTAGGAAGAAAGCTTTATCCTCGGAGGCCAGCAACTGCTCTGACGCAAGAGGATATCTTTTGAAGAACGAGTCCACAAACTCCTGCGGCTTGTCGAGAGACGTGTATGATTGAAGAAGGGACGCCTTGGCACCACCACCATTCACGCCTGCGAAGCGCTCCTCAACGCGACGGAGCCAGTCGCCAGTGAGGTTCCTCAACGAAAGATCGACCCAGCGCTCCTCGTGCGCGACGTACATAAGGCGGATCATACGTAACACGACCTCCTCGTAGGTCATGTCCGCGATGTCCTCGACGACACTCCCATCTTTCTTCCAGCCGAACCACGGCTTGGCGAAATCCCTGTTCAACTTCTTAATCACCTCTGCTCGACGCTCCTGCAGCCACGCAGCTCGCTTCTCCTTCGGCAGCTTGAATACGGTGTCGTCGAACTCTTTCCAGAGCTTGACGGCCCTCGTCGCGACCTTATGTATAGGCTCGCCAAGCTCGGACTTCACAGTCAGTATACCACCGGTTTCCTTCGCATACGTACCTTCCCATTGCGAATCATCCACTCCTTTCGCCGCGACAATCAAGTCCTTCACCGACGAGCTAGTGTGCGCTTCTTTCGCAACCATCACGCGGCTGGCGAACAGGAAACCATCGAAAGGCATTGGCTGCATGCCATACCTCTCGACGGACCAGTCACCCGTAAGATATGGCCATACATCATCGGCACCACCGAAACCGGAACCCGCAACCAATGAGATGTTGCTGTGTTGGCGAATTGCGCTGTAGGTCGCGAGAATTGGCTGATGGAAGTCTTCACACGAATGGTGGCCACCCGCACGACCGCCGGTCCACTGAAGGATAATGGGGAAGTCGGGGTTGGCCGCCGCAATATTGACGACCTGGCGGATACCATCAACAGAGCCAGGCTTGAACGAGACGTGGCGGATGCCCGCGCTCTTGAGACCATCAATGATCTCAGCAGCCTTCTCCGTGCTGGGAATACCCGCCGCAACGCAGAAACCTTCGATTGGAACACCTTCCCGGCGCATCTCTTGCCAGAGCGGGAGTTGGAAGCCGAACTGACGCGGGTTGATGTAGAGAGAGTTCAGAGTCAATCCGACGCCAGGGGGAATTTTGTTCTGAATCTCCGCAACCTTTGCACGCAAAGCGGCAGGGCTGTAGTGGCCACCGCCTGCCAATTCGACATGATAGCCAGCGGAGAGGACAGCACTGACGAAGCCTGCTTTGACTGTTGTCGGCGTCATGCCAGCGACCATGATGGGAGGCTTGCCGAGAAGACGGGAGAAGGGGGTGTCGATGTGGACAGTGCCGTCACTAGTAATGGCTTGATTCAGATATTGTTTTGAAAATAAGGACCTAACTATACATACCTCGTCTTGACGAGACGGGGCATGAACTTCCTGCTCCACCATACCTCGTGACGGATCTCCTGAGCGTCGAACAGCTCCGCGGTGCCCTTAGCCTTGTCGCCCACGACGATCACGCGTACACCGCGACCATTTAGGTTGCGCGCCGTGAGAGGACCAATGCCGCTGAGGCCACCGGGACCGAAGTCGATAGCGTGAGTAGCAGTCTCCGGGAAATTCGTAGCATCCGCCCAGTGAAGCGGGAGAGTAAAGATCTGGTCGCAAAGCGAGCGCGTCAAAGACGTCGTTAGACCGCGAAGGTCGGAACCTGCAGATAGCTTCAGCATCTGCGCTGTTTATCGAGAAGCAAGAAATTCACCAGTTTCTGTATGATACACTGCCATTCCCAATTCCTCCGTTGTCCACAACTCCTCCCCTCCAAGATCCTCCTCGCACATCTTCTCCGTCACGCCCTTCAGATATTCACTGTGATATGGTACGCCAACGATTAAGAAGCGCACAGAGAAGACGGGCTTGCGTTGCGAGAAGGGAGTCTTGCTCTGGTCGAGACCGCTCGGTGCACGGACCTTCCTCAAGCTCGTCACCAGGCCGTACAACGCGCGTGCGGGACCCGTGACGACGAACGCCTTCGGACCATTGTGAAGCGAAACCTGTAATTGGGAGTTGGCGGGCAAATGGTCGTTTGTCTTCTTGATGTGGGACTCAAGATCTTTAAGCGTGAGACCAGTCACGGACAGCATCGGGCTCGGAGCGCCTTCGCCACCTTCGATCGCATCCTGGACAATGCTTGGCTCAAGTGCGAGTACGGGGAACGCTTGCTGGCCACGTAGGCCACAGAAGAAGAGCCAGCGCAACGCCTTCTGCACGTTCGCGAAGAACGACTCGAACGTTGTCGACGCAGCGATCACTACCGCAGATATCAAACCTTGCGAGTGGCCTGTAGCTCCATGTAGATGGGCGCGCATTTCCTCGGGCGACAGCCTTGCGACCCGACAGACAATAAGATACTGCGTGAGCTGGGTGAGGCCGATGAGAGGTAATGAAGCCGGGATAGACGCGAGGTATGTAGTAGGAGGACGAGCAGTCGCGCCAGTCAACCATGACAGTACATCAAGCCCGTGAGTGTAGTATGTCGTGGACTCCAGTTCCGCTGTTAGAGGGAGGAGCACATCGCGCGTCATCTCGGAGATGAAAGACGCAACGAATGGTTTGTACGTGTCGTAAAGATTCTGCAACTCGTCGAAATAGACTTCATTTGTGCCCTGTCCACCGAAAATTGCGTAGACCGATGCGGCGTCAGATGTAAACAGCTTGGGAACGGGTGGGCGAGGGATATCGGAGACGTTGTGCACTTCCAAGGCTGCAACAGCCTGGTAATAGTTGGAGAGGACAGTCCTGCGTACTTCTGTATCAAATGCGGCCGCGATGACGTGTACGTCCTGTTCTGATAGGTATGAGGAAGTGAAGTGTTTGAGTGATCTAAGCAGCACGGTGGTGCGGGACGCATCCGCGTCTATGCTTTTGGCGGTGAAGCCAAGAAAGCGAGAGAATAGCTCTATAGCTGCTTGTCTCTCATCCTCTAGCTGGATGGGGGTATCTGTAATGTTGATATTGGCGAACTCGTCGCGGAGGACCTCGGCTGCGGTCCACTCGTTACATTCCGTCGAGACGGGGATAGCGATCTATGCGCATACAGTCTGTCAGCGTTATGCATCATAACACGACAAGCAAGCGCGACAAGCTGCTGTCGTTGCACAGGAATGCTATTTCGACGGCATACGAAGGAGTACTCACTCTAGTAGGGCCCGACTGAACGATGATGGAGCGCACCGCGCTCGCGTTTGTAGGAGACATCGTCAAAAGTGTCCTCAACGGTGAAGACAGTGACGACGTCGTTGTCAGAGACGGGTAGAGACGCGTAACCAGCTCCAGAACTTTTTATAAGTTTGTTGGTCCCCACTCCCCAAAGAGTCTCCGGGCGCTTACCTCTTCCCCGCTGCCATAAATTTCTCAGAAAGGAAGTTGTGTGTTTAGCGCCCGTTAACTTGGGGCGTTCAGTCAATCCGTAGCCTCAGATTATTCATTACCCCGAAAAGGCCGGCACAACCGACATCATCCCAAGAGTTCAAGTGACATGAGAGAGTTACGCGCGATATGTATGTCTCGAGACGCGGACATTCAAGTACTCGACGGCAACTGTACGGCGCTTAATCCACGAAATACGCGACTCAGACACGAGTTAGCACGAACCGCGCGTGGAAGAGCCGTTTATTTCTTACGAGGCGATCGTATGAACTGAAAGGTCAGCTCGTAAATCTGAAGATCTCGCACGGCAATCTAAGCATGCCGCCAGCAGCTACAAGGGCAACCTCTACCAATGCAATGCCCACTGCCGCCTTCCCGAATATGACCCCATGAGCATCGCAGCCGATATAAGTCATCCTGATTATTCATCTGCACGAGCAGTGAGTTGCCGTAGTTGTGAAAATCAGGTGCAAATATACCATTACCGCAGATCAACTGCAAGGCCCAGTGCTTGCCACTCGATTTGCGCGTCCTCGTAGGCTTTGCGTATGACCTCTGCGTGTTTGTCGGATCTCGCAGTGAATGCAACAGGAAAGACGTGCGGCCCGCTGAAGGTGCCATCAGTCCACGTTGCGTCTTCATCCGCTACATCCGGAATCATGAGCTGGCCTGTCTTGAGATCAAGCGGCGCATTAAAGTTGAAACCCCAAAGAAGACGAGACAGAACGATGAACAACGACTGTTCTGCGATGTGGGATCCTTGACAATATCGCCGACCCCACCCGAAGATATAACTGTCCGTACGTGGATCATAAGCCGTATGACAAGAATCACCGACTGATCACTTAACTGATCGCGATCCTGGAATCCTGGCCCGCTGCCCCATTGGGTGAGCTTACCGTCGGCATAGAACCGGTCAGGATCAAATGCAGTGGGGTTGACGTATCGCTTGGGATCCATGTGCATTGCCCACACATTACCAATAACTACGGAACCCTTCGGGATGAAATAACCACGGTAGAAATCATCTTCGAGACTCGCATGAGGTAAGCCTGTCAGGTACTCTCAGTTCATGCTTGGCATACAGCCTTTTAAATACTGCTTACCCATCGGTGTCGTTGGTCTGCGTCTGAGGGTCTCCTTGATGCACGCAACGACATATGGCAACCGTTCCATATCCTCGAATCCCGGTAGACGGTTCGCTCCTATAACTTTGTCCAACTCTTCCTGAGCCTGGCGAATGCAACGGGGATGGCTGAGCATGAACAGAATGAACGATTGTATGGTCACTGCAGTGCTATCGGAGCCCGCCTCCAGGACTCCGCCAGCAGTGTAGGCGAGGAACTTGTCGCGCATCCATCCGTCATCGGTGATGCCCTTTCCTGGGGCATCCTCTGCGCCAGCGCCGGCACGTTTCTGCAAATAATCGCTCACAAAGGATTCGCGGGACGTTCCTTTCTGCATCGCGGCTCGACAATCGTCAACCATGCTTCTCCAAAAGCTAAATTCCCTGGATACCAGTCACGGGCGACCTTCAGTCATCATTCGCTTTTTATTTCGATTTGATGCTGTGTACGAACCAGTCATGCATGTTGCGAGCTTCCGTTCTCCACGGAGCAAGGAAATTAGGAAGGCGACGGAGAATAGGGAACGTATCCGCTCTGAAACGAAATCTGGATCGGTACGACAGTTGGATGCACGTTCTGTCTGTTGCAATACGTACAGGTATCGACCCGCCTGTGCAACATGCAGAAGGTTCGCCAGAATATCATAGAGCTTGTGCCTGGCCAACAAGTAAGACGACTGAACGCTACATAGCACAAAGTAGTTCTTACAGCTCCGGATTGTCGTGCAGCTTGTGAACTCGTGCGCCGTACATCAGATTCAGGATAATGCTGGTGGTCTTATTTTAGACGTGAGCAGATAGGCCAGTGATTCTTCATAAGGACAGCACACACGTATCGGCGGATTATTGCGAACCAGTGACCATCGGGAATCTCGCCATGTGGACCTTCCGCTTGAAACTGAGAGACATGACGGTTATTGTGGCATAAGAAGTCATATAGTAGGACCCGGGCCTCCAACTCCTGAATGACACGGAGAGCTTTCGATGGACCAGGACCCAATGAATTCTGCAACGCCCTTCTGGCTGCCTGTGCAGATTGAATTGTTCGGTTCGAGCACGTGATGAAAGTAGAAGAACAACAACATCACCTTCCACTCGGCGCCGTACGGGAGGAAAGCCATCGCCTGACCGTCACTCACGATGTCATGCGCAACATGAGGAGGTATTCGGCTGGAGAAATTCTGGCTGCGATTGATGAATAGCTCATCAGCAGCCTCGGCGCTGTTCAGCACTACGACCGGTAGAGGGCCAATCCGGAAGTAGTAAATGTCTCCATACTGGAGGGCCCATTCACGAAGCTAAGTTTGTAAGCGCAAGCGACTCATGCAATTGAGTGTTGCACGTTACCTTGCGGTATTGCTTAGCTACCGGGAGCTGGAACATGTTTCCGAAGAATGGAATACCCTTCGGCCCCGGGGGGAGCTTCTGCCTGGCTGGCCGACGATGATAGTTGAAATAAACAGTCGCCACTGTCGAGACTAGGATGCAGGTCAGGAAGAAAAAGTCCCAGTGGTCCATAGCCGCCATGATCACAGTTCTCTCTGCAGGCTTCAGATATGCATGGGCTCCACCGACCAAGGGGTGTGCTTTTATCAGTGGTCCCAGAACGCGCGTTATCTCATCTCTGGTCAGAACCACCAATCAGGTCCCAGATAAAGAACAACGGAGGGCAGGTGTGAGAAGAAATAGCTTGGAGCGATATCAGCAGAATGCACAGCACATCACGGGGGTCCTGAAGCGCTTGATAGTTTCTGACGTGGTCCTCGAAAAGCGCTTCTGTTGAGTAAGGTTGAACGCCTGAGGCTAAAGTAGAGATATTTTCAATTGACGAAGTTGCTCTATCACGAGGTGAAGCTCATGATCCGTCAATGACAGTAATCGTGCCGTAACCGCATCGAGCTTCCAGGGACATGGTCCCAATATATTCTGCAAGGCATTTCTGACGAACTATGGATTCCTGACCAATAAGATTAATACAGATCCTTGGACAAAATATGAACACGATCACCTTTCACTCAGCCACATACGGCATGAGCCCGTTACCTGACATGCCTCACGATGCCTTGCGGAATTTGAAGAGGGACTCGAAGACATTAACTTCCGCTGCAAATGACGAATGTCCCATTAGTAGTCCCATCGCTGTTCGGCGCCGCTACATGATGGGGACCGACCACCTAGTAATAGAGTTTCCGTATTGCCCGGGAGAGCCATTTCAAGAAGCTGAATTATGAGCTAGGAAACTTGAAATAGAGAACAGGATGTCACCTTGCGCGATTGCTTAGCCAGCGGAAGATAGAACACATTTCCTAAGAACGGAACACCCTTCGGGGCCCAGTGACTATGGTTGGGTACACCACTGCTGTCATGGAATATGACATACATGATGAAGGCAGGCCCCAGTAACCCAAAGACGCCACTATCGACTTAGTGTCCGGCCGAGCGCAAAGGAGGGGGGATTCAGTCATGCTCACGGGACTGGCGCGCTTGTTATTCCATCCCCGTTCAGAATCGCGATCAGGTTTGACACCAAGATCGAAAATGACATTTCGGTTAGGTGTCAGACGCAGGACATACGGGCAAGGGTGAGAGCATGCCGTGCGCCACAGCAGCTTTGCACTACCCAATGAAGCTTCTTTGTATGATTCGCGCAAAGCACTTGCGCAGTCGCAGCGTGATAAGAACAACCATTCAAATGAAATGCAGCACTATACATGGTCGCTTGGGGTGAGCCTTAGGACGTTGGCGGGAACTTGGGAAGAGATCGTTGGGTCAGTTGAAGGTCTGTATTGACCGAGCACCTCATTGTGCACATGTGATGAGCTAGACCGGTCGGTAGTATCAATCCAATTTTACCTAGGGCCAACTGATGTCAATTAGAGAGATCGTTAAGATCAGTTACGATCAGCAATGCAACATACCATAGGATGCAATCTGCATTTTGGCGGCGCTACATGCCACCGTAATTCAGACGATCTGACGAATCTGCTCGACCACATGGGTTATGCATTCAATACCAGCGTCAGTCACAGGACGTACCGTGCCCGTCTCCACTTCATAAACCCACCCAGAGACCTTGGTCTCCGGAAGCACAAGCGAGTTCTCCCTCAGGAACTGCACATCATCCCTAACGCTCTGCTCCAAATCAGTAAACTCTAGGAAGTCAATGTCGTCGACGGCGCTCAGCGCAGAATTTGCGGGGTCGGACTCTTTGATGAGGGACCGGAGTTCCGGTGACGAGAACGTCCGCATACCACACCCCGTGTGGTGAAACACTGCAATCTCCCGCGTGCCGAGCAGACGTTGCGAGATGATAATGCTGCGCAGCGCGTCTTTGCTGAGAGCGACCGTTGTCAGTGGTACAACAAATACGTTGCGCTTGTTTGACGTACGCGATACCACCGGCGTTGCGAATGATATGAGCTTCGCCTTCCCTGATACCTAGCTGCGCGAAGACGCTAAACGAACATCAGTCACCAGGAGTACTGACAAGCAGGCTTCCAGACACACTTTACACGCGCATCCATGCACGTCACTATTGTCGTTGTGAGAACGAGCTATCGAGCAGAGGAGCGTACGTTTCTCACCGATGGCCAGCTTTTTCGTGGGGCGGATGGCCAGAGAGCCCTTATCGCCGAAGGTTGCAGCATACTGCCCGTTCGGCTCGAGGAAATCACGGTATGCCGACATTGGTCGCGACGACGCGATAGCACGGTTGCTGTCAACTGTCAAGGTGATGCGATGGCCATCCGCGAGCGCGGGGTCATCCTAAAACAAGCCATTGAGCATCGTGCGGATGAACTTCAGGTGGAAAACACTGTGGAGCGATATGACGAGTAATCGCGCTATAGAGGCGAGGATTGACGACTGTTCACAGGCAATCCCCGATGAATGGACTATTGGCATCGTTTCGTTCCAAGGACAGGACGATCAGAAAATCGTCAATACATTCGTTCGCGAACCACGCGCCAGCAACGAACATTCCCCGAGGAGCGCCCGAGAGTTTAAAAGCATGTGCAACGTTCCCATGCTGTGGGCCGACCGCGCAACGACAACGACAACGACACTCGACGCAGTACATTCCTTAGAGAGAGAAACCAACTTTAGAATCCGGCAACCTCGTGGAGCAGAATCGCACGGTGAGTGGCGCTTCGCGGACAACAACGACCTTGGGTGCGTGGTATAGCAACGACGAGGCGCTCTTGAGATGGTTGAACCCGCCATTGTACAGTCTACGTAGCAGGATTTGCATAGCCTCTCCAGCTTGTCGGCAGAAATGGTGGGTGTCGCGTACGGTGCCCTGGCGTAGGGATGTAGTCCAAAAAAAGAGCGGTAAGCGCCAGTTTGGCCTGAACGCTCGACAACCGAGTCATTGGAGTCGTTTGAGTCATTTGTGAACGTAAAGTTTACGTTAAAACGATGCCAGGTGATATAGTGATGGTAGTAGGAGTAGGGTTTGATTGCACGGAAGTCGAATACATAGGATGGCGGGGAGTCAGATGCGACACTGATACTATGTTAGTACTACTAGGTACCGTACAAGTTCCTTCCATGCGGCGGGCGATACACGATATGCGAACTATACTAGGCTGTTTGCAATAATCTAAGCAAGGTCCAATATAGCAGGGGTTCAGTGCCTTGAAATGACCAGATAAAAAAGCATCAGCCAGACACCCCACAGCGAAGCAGGAAGCTGCCATTCCGCAAGGTACAGAGTCAGGCACTCTCAGAAACAATATCTCCAGAGAAGCACATCACCTTACTATGATCCTCGCCCCACATACGGACCCCACAGTAATCTATGCCCCCGATCCGCAAAGCCGACCTCATCCGTACGCCACCCCTTGCTCTCCAACGCCTTCTTAAATCCATCATAGTTCCTGTTTGTCCACGCCAACGACTGCTCCAGTGCCTCCCGCAAAACAGCCACATCCGACTGCCACACCGACTCATCCCCACACCTCGCCTGCGCTAACAGCCTCCGCAAGCGTGCAGCATGCAGGATAGAGCGGATCGTATCGTCCGACGCCGCATCCGGGTGGTAGAACACCGCGATCGACCGATCTCTGGAAGACAGCGAGGGATACAAAAGGTATTTCTCGTGCTGTAGATATGAGTCGTCAGATAAGCCGCGGTGCACCAGCAAGGGATCAACAGAACACAGACCTGCAAGACTCCCGTGCATATCTCCCACCGCACGGGCTCCCGCTCCGC